CGTCTATCCCCCCTGTCCAAGGCGCCAACTTAAATATGAGGTTGGTACGCCTGTAGGTGATAACGAAAAATGGAGGGAAAAAAATGTACATTAAAATATAGCTATATAAACCGCGTGCTTTTTAATCGTAAACCAAATTAAGTATAACCACATTAATTTATTACCCCTTTGCTTTGTCACTGTGGAAAGCTGTGGAAGTATGCCATGTGCCCGGGGAATAATCATAAATTATTGTTGAAAACTTTTATCACATAAAAATCTTGTGCATGCGACAAAAATACTACCATAAAGTAAAAACACATGCGTATATTAATATAATACGGTATAATATTAATATCCAACAATCGATAACAAAAAAAAAAAAAATGGGTATTATTAAATTCATATAAATTAGTCGCGTTATATCATTATTATTGCCATAGTCGCAAAAACAAGTATTGGTGTAAATATTATCAATTCACAAACGCATATTGTATTCAATCATTTTAATTGTGTACACAAATGAGTTATAAATAATTTATCATAATGCACAATACAGCCCCCATACAAATGAAATTTATCGATTTTAGTTGTTATTAATCTAAAATGTAAACGGATATTTATACAATATAAATAAAAATCCGTCAAAATTAATTTTGTTTTGATATTTCTATTAAAAATGTTCCGACACTCGTAACGTGTTGAATTCGTGAACCTTTTAATGTTTTCCTTTCAATCTATAATCTAAAAAATGTACTTCTCAACTGGCGAAAAATCCAGCACATGTTTATAATATGTACACTGGTAACTGGTAAGAATTATTTCTATAATAAATAACTATTTGGCCATAAACACTACATTATAGCGTGCTATAATACCAAAAACATTTAATTAGTATTTAAAACTAAAGAATAAATATACAAGTACACCCCATTTAAATGAAAACAATTTCTCAAGTTCATTACAAAAACGATGTAACCCATTAACCAGTATAGAACAGCTACTGTTGATCATAACAATATTCATTACACATTTTCAATCAGCGACAGCGTTGTTTTAGCGACAACTTCAATTTTCCTAAGTCCTCGAGTATGTATTCAGACTAAATTAAATCAAGGATAGTGCTCCGGAATGTCAATAACACTATTAAACATAAGACGATACACGCTTTGTCTTGCACCACTGTTATTAGATTAAAGCTCAGCTGCTAAACTTTGCTACGCGGATAAAGTCTTATATTATTTAAAAACAGTAAACCAATATATATGCATGCCTCTGTTTAGTTAAATAACGGTAGACATTAGGGTGATGCATGATAGGGTTCGAATGATGCACATCTCACATTATGGGATAATATACTTAATACCACATATTATGTAATTGCTGACAATAAAGAAATCTTCAGTGCCTATATCATGTTACCTGGTGGTAGTGCAGCAAGCAATGCAAACTTTGATCATTCCGCCGGTTAGGTTATATCCAGCTAGTATATATGTATAGGGTATAATCACAAAACCGTGAAAGTTTTTTTTCTTACCCGTTTTTGTGCTCGTTGTATCCGTTTGTAAATTGAAAATGGAAATTCGCGCGTCGAAACGGCAAATTTGAATATTTTCTTCGGTAGATATTTAAATTCGACCGCCTTCTTTTTACGCCTTCGTTTATTTTATTTTTTATTTCTCGTTCTTTTGGCATAATTCCGATAGAGTGATACGATAGTCTCTTAAAACGTCTTAAAACTCGGACGGGAATTAATCACACGGTTCCTTTCAAAAAAAAAAAAATTACACATAATTTGCCTAATCCGACAAAATAATAATAATAATACCAGAAAAACCGACCATTGCGAAAGTTAATAGATTTACTGTCCGCGCCGGCACGGAAAAAGAAAAGATTTATATCTAGCTATTTCTTCGGTCTCAAATAAAAAAAAAACTGAATAAACAATGTATTGTTTCTTTCCCTCGGCGGTGCGGTGGTCGCAGTGTTAGTTCTTATCCATTCGTTGACTTTCTTAACGGCCGGCCTCGAAGAAGTTTGCTTATAGGTATACTTACTGCTTGTAGGGGGCTTCCCCACCCGGACAAAGGGAATTTTTCACATCCGCCACCGTGCGTTGGACTTGACTTAACGAGCCAGCCAACGCGAGCAGTGCTCTGCACCGGGCAACTTTTGTAATTAATTGTTTTTCGACAAAATGTACAAATAATAATAATAATAATACTTCGGCGGAATGGAAAACAACAATATATAATAAATAAGTAAGAAAACCGCGACCAGAAATGCCTCAATGCCGCCGCCAACGGGGTTCATTGTAATCGATTTGGGCGCATTATATTATTATTGTAAACGCAAAGGGACAAACTTTTGCAAAAACCGTTTTGTACCTTTCAGTGCCTCTTTTGTTGTCCGCCGCCGAATATAAATTTTATGTCGCCGCCCAAAAGAGAAATAACTTTATTGTCGACCGGTGTGCAACAACATTGTGCATAAGCTGCTTTTTACTTGGTATTATTGTGGTATATAATCGAGTATAAACTACGAGCTTTTACGTGAATTTATCGGTTTAAAAATATACAAAACAAATGTCGATTTATCCTTTTTATTTGCACAACACACAAACTCCACAGAAATGCCGCCGCCTTGTTTGGTATTAAATTTGGAAAAAAAAAACCTGTTAGAATATCAATTGTCATCTATATCAGTCGTTGAAAGGTACTGTCTTCTAATATAATAATTTTTTTATAATAAGAAAGTATCTACATCGAGCAACTCGAACCCCGCTGTGCTGAAAAACGACACAATAGGAATCACTTTAAAGTTATTTTAGTGCACTTTATTACTACCTATATATATATATATAAACTAGTTATATATACACCTAGGTACATATAATAGAACGAACGCGATAACTTAAGATGCTTAGTATTCCGCACAACTAACTATACAATTATCTCCAATATCAAAACCATAATCGTTTTTCAATTATCCTCATAAGCTCAAACAGTGCAATATGGTTGGACTATCGTTGATGTACAATATTAACTCATTGCATAAGCTGTAACACAAATATAATAGCTAGTTTATTACTTTTGGCGATACAGCTTATAGTTGCCATTAAAGTATAATAAATTATTTTGTTTATAATAAATAAGTTTCATACATTTTTAAAATTTTTTTATTAAATATGTAATAGGTTTTCTGCGTATATTTAATAAAACCTGTTTCGGATTAATACTTGCATACGCTTAAAAATCAAAATATAATATGTGACTTGCAGAATTTATTTTAGTTAGTAAGTAATGCAAGCTATTTATAGCGATATAATTAAATACCTACACGTTATTTCGTTTAATACCATTATTTAATACGACACCACCGTGGGCGTTCATTTAAAATTGCATTGACACCTACAATTACATTTAATACCTTCAAATTGTTTTGTACACATTGAAACACATTTAATTAATCGACGCAGTCGAAATAAAAAAAATAATTTACGTGCTTGCTTTTGGATCGTAGAAAATGAAATACCAAAATATAATACTGCTATATAATCTCTTAATTTCCTGCCAATGACGTCGAACGATCAGAGTTACTATAATAACTATGTAAAATACGAATATTTAATATTATTGTTGAAAAATATTGCTCACCAAATTTTAATTAAGACTTGCATTTTATGTAGGGAGTCCAATTTAGTGTTGGTGACTTTCTTGAAAAAACAAAAGATAAAATTGTTTTTCTTATAAATATAATCTATTTTAAGTCCCTAAAAACTTAGGAGATCATTATATTAAATAGCGCCGAGTAATTGTAAGTAAATGGAGAAAATTTAAATTACAATTTTCGCGAATTAAGTAAATGAAAATGTTCAATTTTAACTGAATATTTTTAGCAGCTTTATCGTTAATGAAAATTGAGAATAGAACACTTTTAGACTAAATGTACACCGCAAATTAAAAGTTGGCCAAACACCAAACTACATTTAGACCAATCCTTGTGACGGCAAACACCGAGCGAGGGGCGGGGTTCCCAACCAGTTTGAATTAAACGTAACCAAGTCAATGGTATATGGTAACACGCAGCAAAGTCGACCGCGGTCGCGGTTACCAAAGTGGCGCGACGGATCCGTCATGTCGTCTCCTCCCCGGCTATTCCGTTCGTGTTGAATTCTCCCACATATTATTATTATTATTATTATTATTATTATTATTATTATTCTGATACACATTACACATCATGTGTGAGGGGGTATAAATGGCAAGTGCTGAAACGGCAACGATCAATGCGCCGACAACGGAACATACATCAAAAGCATACAGACGTCGTGCAGTCGTTCCATTAAGTACACGCTATATACCGTGTGTGTGTGTGTATATGTATGAGAAAACGTCAAAAATGTCCGGACCCGTTTGTCTTTTGCCGTCGGGTTTAGGCACATATAACAACCGTGTGTAGTGTGTACCGTTTATCATTTCCGGAGCACACGCACACACACACACAAACACTCTCGGCGAACCATTTTACTTTTAGCAGTTTAGTATACGGTAAGGGCAATATAGACCGAGGAGTCGGTGATTTTAATGTTAACACGAGTGGCTGACAAAAAAAAATAAACGTAGGTATATACATTTCGCGGCAAGAAGAAAAGAAAAATCCTCCGCACACACGCTCTTGTCGACCCTTTCTTGCCCTTTTTTTCCCACCACACTATTGCTACGACTTTTACACCGGTGTGCCGTTTACGCCATTAGCGTTGCACACGTAGAGGTACCTGTTACATGCGCCTTCTCGCTGTCATCCGCGCTTCTGCCCGTATAACAAATGAAAGCGGCGCACACCTACACAAAGTAGTAATGAACGATTAATAATGACTCTACCCCCGTGCTCTCCTCTTGACGGTGGTTTTTTTTTTTCAATCAAAGCCCGTGTACGATCATGTATATTATATACTTTTTGTACACTGTGTGTGTGTGTGTGTATTTTTAACAACCGTGTGCGTTTTGTGTTTCCCGCAGGCAAGCTGGTGACGTACACGCAGAGACCGCCGTCGCACCGGCCGATGGCGACGCGACAACCGCCGCGGGTCGCCGCCGCCGAAAACGGCACGGATCTCTACCCCTATTTCGACTACTACGTGCCCCGGAACATCACCACTACCATTGGGCAGAGTGCGTTCTTACACTGTCGCACGGAAAACTTGAACGACAAGTCGGTGAGTAATGCCCAAGATGGATAAAAAAAAAAAAATTGTAAATTTTCCTGATATTTTCCTGATTAGGTATCATTCATTATCACAATCAGATTCAAACCGATTGTTGTCCCAAGTCAAAACGACAAATATTTTTACTAACCTCAAACCATGGCTTAAATATACAAGGTTATTGCATATCCCCACTTTATTATATTATCAATTCATAAAATTCATATATTTTGATAAATATATAAATAATACCTCGTCATCAGGAGGAACCTTGCCCAGTTAGTATTTTTAATATAAATGTACACTATAATATTTATTTTCTTTTTATTGATTATACTTATATTATGATACCCCCCTTGAAAAAATCCTGCGTACGCCACTGCCTCTCCATAATAATATGGCGACCCGTCCGTGATGTAACCAGAACTGTTGGGTATTATTTAGATAATTTTGTATTCCAATGACCGTCGAATAAAATATCATCTTAGATTTGGTCGAATCTAGATATTATTCGAATAAATAAATTATTAAAAATGCCCAACTCTGGATGCAATACAATAATTTTATCACAAAGTATAAATATATATTTCCTATACTCGTAGGTATACAGAAAAAAAATACATATAGTCGGTTCGACTGGAATTATGGTCAATATAAGGACATGGTAAATTAATAGTTGGTCCGACTAAATGTAATCAAACGCTCACATTTTTTAAAAACTGTTGTATGTAAAGTTTCCAAAATTTGTAATTTTTTCTATTGTTGCATATTTACCATAACAACAGCAATAATGGCATATTAAACAAAATACTACATTATGGCTAATGAACTAGATGTCAAAAAGCCTTATCAAAAAAAACATTTTTAAAAAAATACTACATTCTAAATCTGTCCGACCCTTAAAGGCATACAACACATTATTTGTAGAAGAAAAAAAAACTTTTTCATTTTTTATTTGGTTTCAAATTGCCAAAAACGTATTGGCGTATTTCCAAATATTTCCATCCAAACGAGCTGACAAATAAATGAACAATCACTATATTCCACTAACTGAAGTATGTTAATTAAACTAAACGCAAACAATATATTATTCTGATTGGAAATTACGCGTTTAATTAGTTTTCATTGGCAGTAAGAAACGATTATCTACTATAATTCGATTTATAGTAGTATAAAAATGACAAAGTTTTAGCATCAAATTCCGCATTTTTACATAACAAGTACAAAAATATAATTTAGTGTTTCAATTTCAGACAATCAATTTACATGCAATCGTAAAACTTCTAACAGAAAATCCAATTTAACAGTAATACATATATTATACCTAATTGTAATGAACAATTTTACAAAAATCTATGTCACTAACAAAATGTCTATACACAAAATAAACAGCAATAAGAGTAGGTACTGCTATTTCCGTTAAGTCATTTTTCAAATTGAGTTTAAAAAAAGTAGGTTAAATCTAATTTTCGATCGCATGCAAAGTATAATAATCTAGGCTTGTGTTTTGAAAACTTAAACGAGTTTTCTTATTATTTTCTTTCATTTTGTGCATATTATTATTAAACTTTTCCCGCTTGTTCGGAAATATTCTTCTCCAAACTATCAAAGTTAGTAAATACAATTAATGAAAAAAAAAATCCATAAATATGTAGAGTATAAAATTAAACTTAATATGAAACGAAAATACAAGAACATACTTTAGATTGAATTTAACATTATTATTATAAATATATTCCATTAGTTTTTCATTTATGCAAATGGCTATGTTTACAGTAAACTCTAAACTTCAATTTGAAAAAAAAACAATGAAAAGTAAAAAATATGAGCTTGGCAAGCTTTAAATAAATGTTTTTGTATTACTTATAAAAAAAAAATCTAGTCAAGTTTGTAATAAACATTTAAATCGATAATTTCCAATTATATTAATATATCAATTAGTTATAAATATTGGACAACGTAAAACGTAAGTATCTATTAATATTTTGGCCACTATGTCTATTGTAATTCTATTTCATAAGATACATTTCACTTGCATGGTATTATAATTTATAAATCAATTATGGCGTTTATTACTATTAAATGTAATATTTTATAACATCTTGTAGAAACATTTTAATAACGTATAATTTCTAAGTAAAGGGGAAGCGTTTTAGCAAACAAACAAAATTTGCATACTGTTTTAAAGGAAAATTTGTTTTATGCAAATTATTTGGGGCGTGAAAAATTGATAATAATTCTTGTAGATCTTCTTAAAGTATTTGAACTTCATTTCGAAACGTTAATCAATACAACAGCGGAACCGCGAACGGACGTTTTTTTTTTTTTCATTAACATATTTACCCGACGATCTTTATCGTCGAAAAGTAATAATAATAATAATATAAAACAAAAACTTTTGGCTTTTGGCATTATGTTGTTTCGCATAAAGTATAATATAATAAGGAACGAGAGAAATAAGCGCGCGAATTTAATTCCTGAAAAAGGAAGAAACGGTCGTCGCCATAACAAAACGAATAATTAATTTTTGTTTCATTAAATGACTTTGTATTAAATTTCTGATTGAAATCCAAATGAAAGCAACAGTAACCTCAGCTTACTGCTCGGTATAGAGCGTTGTTTCTGAATCACAGTTTTCATTTGCTGTTCTATAAGTGTTGTTTAGGGTGGGTTTTATTTTTACATAGGTCTTAGCACATATTATATATTATGTAGACGTTAGGTCAGACGTTACGTCACTCTATTGACCAGTTGATGGAATATCCACACTCAATTCCGCAGGGCTATTATATTATAGCATCAGCTGCCGGTTGTCACACGCGAGACTTGAGATGGCATTAATAAAATGCAAGTACGGTCATCGATACATATATAGTGTAGACCGCACGTCTCGTAACCGACACTTTTTTTTTTACAATACAACCGTCTGAGCTAGACCACCATTCTTATACTCTACAATACACCCGAATGAAGACGTTCTGACTGTGATAAATAAAAAATCCACAACACCTTCTCGGTAAGAATAAAAAGAGGAAAATTGGCGTTTTCAGACATTTTTCCCTCAGTTCTCTCAAACACTATCAAAGTGAGCTGTCGTCTGATAATCGTCTAGATTGAGAACACATTATTCGAGTAAAAGTTATTCGAATGATTTCAATAAACGACTATTCGAAAAATTCCAAACGTAACTGTTCCAATAAATTTTGATCCAAATAAAAGATTGTAAGTGTTTTTTTTTTTGCTGTAATTGTTTTTTTACAACATTATTTCTTATAAATATATACTACGTTTAGAAAATATATAAAACCAATAGGCATGTAATGAAAACAAATGTTTTATTCTAATAATAATTAGCACAATTCTGTTTTCAGTTTATTAAGCGATTAGTTATAATAATTTATTTTTTCACTAACCGGAACATATAAATTAGAATACCTAACATTTATAGAGAAGACCGTTTTCTAATAAGGTCTAAAAATATACACCATCTGCGAAAAAGGGGTCTATATCCGCTTGTATTCGATTTTGTTGGGTACCAAAAACAAGGACAATTAAGTCCAAACACACATTTTCCTTCCAAAAAGGCATACTATCACGTACAAGTTACCGCATTCCATTCGTATGTACATGGCATTCGGTCCCTTGTGTTAAACTACATTGACATGTCAACTGTTTTATAACCAATATATTATGTCCTTATCTTCATATCATATAGTAATAAATAAACATATTTGGTGTTATTTTGGCAATAATGTGACTTAACTAACAACGAGACAGTCACCTTAGATATAATTTACATTTCAAAAGCTCACATTTATTATAATAAGTCATAAACATTTCTTTCTGCGTTTGAAATGATTTCTGCTTGGTATACCAACCGTGAATTGATTTTTTTTTATGTACACACGGTTTGATGATTGGATTAAATCTTATACAGTTTTACTGAAATAATGTAAGATGAGATTTATGGAAAGCTATAAGCAATTAGATTATTAAAGAAAAATTTAATGTATAAAGCCAAACACGTGTTTTTTTTTAATATCTACTCATTTTTAGCTTCAATGCAAAGTTATAGCGTTTTGTGCAATTATCAAGTAATTTTTAATAACATACATCATATTTATCTGTAAATTATCGTACTTACTATATTTTAGAGTATCTTTTACTGTTCGCCTTTTCTTCAAGTCTGTACTGTGTGAAATTCTGGAAAATATATGACTTGCACGTATCAACTCCTCGGTGTTGACACCGACTTTGTACAACACGTATTCTCATCAGACGTACCCTATTCAAACTTCGCACTTTTAACAAAACTTTTGCAGATAGTTCTAAAGTAATTATTACTTCAGATTGTTAACGATTTTCGATACTTCTTCACGCTATTACATCCGCAGTGCGACTTATAAACGAGCAAGAAAATCCGATATATTCAACAACATATAAAGGTCTAATAACAATATATGTATATGCTCATATACAAGTAGATAAATCTCAAATTCCACGACGACTTTATCTAAATCTACTAAATGCGATTATCGTTTTATTTTTAACTTGCTCTTTAAACATAAATATGTAGGTGTGACTTTTTCCTAAGCGATTGTAATGTAAACCAAACATTTTTATTAAACGCATACTTAATCATGTTTTTAAAACTTATAAGCGCCTGTCTTGTGTGTTTTGTACTCTGCCGTTTAAATATTACTGGACTTTCTATTTTTGTAAAACCGGGACATACGCTTTTATTAAATTAATAGGGTTTAAATGCACGCTAAATGAGTTTAATACGAAATATTGCTGCTCGGCATTTATGACAAAATAGGTTGGAAATTAGTTAAAATATATGAATTGGTCCTATAAACTCTTACTTCACTCGGTCGAGAACGGTGTTGTACCGGAGGTAAATCCAGTGTTACTAATCAAATTATAAGAGATAAACCCCACTATATAATATATTATGTCAGCTCGATAAATTCAACGGAAAATTATTTCAAGCCAAATAATAGAGTTGAAAAACAAAAAAAGGGGGAATTTTTTCCAATTTATAATAATAACTTTGTGTAATTTAAACAATGATGCAGGTGTCGTGGATGCGAAAGAGAGATTTGCACATACTGACGGCAGGAGTACTGACTTACACCAGCGACCAGAGATTCCAAGTTATTCATCCGGATAACTCGGACAATTGGACCCTGCTGATTAAATTTGCTCAACCGAGAGACGCCGGAATCTATGAATGCCAAGTGAATACAGAACCCAAAATGAGTCTGGCATTCCAACTCAACGTCGTAGGTAAGCCGGCCATGTCCATAAAATCATACAGCACGAGTAACTTGCACCGCGGTAATTTATCAAATTTCACCTCTAGCCAAACAAATTGCAGAAATAAAATACCACATTTCCCCCCCCCCCCCAAGTATATCTAGCTATAATATCATCTATTAAAATTCAAAAAATGATATTTTTCTAGTAAATCGTATTTAATTTATAACTATAAGCTTAATTATCGAATAAAGGCTATTAAACGAATGAAATGATATGCCTATAACAAAGCTTAATGCTATTATTGCCCAGTATATAATGTGGTTCAAATTAAACTCATAATAATGATAAATAACCACCAATAGGTTCGGGGGAAAAAAGTATAAAATAAAAAAAATTTTAAATGATTATTACAATCGGTGATACATTATGAAATAATAAATAAAACGTGAATTTGGTTTAAACTTTGCCAACTCCGACGCGAATTATTTAGGTTCAATAATGTTAAAAAAGTAATTATGAAATACACCTGGGTAACTGTTATACGACGAGTATACCATGTACAGTGTTAGATAGGTTAAAACCACACGAGTGTTAATTCGGTTAGGTATATTGTTACTTTTGTAAATAATAAATGAAAATATGATACGGGCGTTGTATAATAAAAGGAGTTAAATTATTGCATAGGTTTATAACACTTTAAAATGCAATTTAACGCACGGAAGAGACCGTGTTGGGGATAAACCGGTAATATTAAATTAATGGGGTTTTCAATGGCAAACTACAGTAAAAAAATGAGATCGAGGCCTTTGCGCCAGAGACAATTAAAAATGTACAATATTTTATAATATATTATATTTACTTTTTATTAACTATTAAAAAATTACCGTATTCTCAGTTTCGGTAAATTATTTTCGACGTGGCTGTTATTACACACACACACAACAAATAATATACTTACAATTGAATAAATAAATATAAATAACTAACATTTTAAATGGCTGACCTACCTTAGTACACTTACCATAGCTACCACGGTTACCACACGTACCATGTACCATTTTGAACCATTTTTTTTTTTAAATATCCTTCTTAGAACTATAAAAGTCTCTATGAACAAATTTTTGTTTGGATTAGTATTTTAAAATGTGACACCTGGTATATATATATATATAGCAGTGCTTTCAAATAATAAAACCATATTTTAGCAATATCACTTAACAAACGTTGGTTTTTCATTAAAGGAGTATATTATTTCTAATACAGTCCGTCGAAAATATTATTGAAATATTGTCGAATATAGTTGGGAATATTGGTTTTTTTGTTTAACAACATTTGGTAAATATACTTTTGAAACTCAAATCTTCGAACAAAAAATATTTTTGAGCATGCAGTATATTTTTATGTTATAAAACGCGTTGACAACTTTTGTTTGAAATTATTTTTGTTAAGAAATGTTTTCTAAAACATTTTATTTTTATCGTATAGGATATTGAATCGACTAAAACAATTTTTTTAAAACTTAAGACATAACAATATCAAGCATATAAGTATATAATATTATATGGTTTAGAAATACAGTGTTTGTTCTATTTTAAAATATATGCGAAAACACTAAAAATGGCAACATAATATAGCCGGCATATAATATAAAACTAACCGCTGAACTTTAAAGCCGTTATTTTGTACTATTTATTGGGGTGTTAACACAAGTTACATAAGAAAAAAGCTACCCGAGCTTTCACAAGTGCGTGCCCAAAGGTTTTTCTCGAGTCCGCCTTTGGTCTCGTACGGCGTCTCACAGGCGCCGATCAGTACACACGAGATACAATAGATATATTATTATACACTTAAAGAAGTAAAAATCGTGCAATGCAAGATCAATAATTTATCATCGATGTTAATAATATACATGTTTGTGATATAAAAATCTACATCTTTATAATCGAACCGCTCACGATCTATTAATTGTTTGCACCAAATATTTACACAGATGACAGAGATAAACTCATTTAACTGGGGTTAAAATAAATTCTGTTGCGTAAACCATGTTTTAAATTTTATCTGTTGTTAAAAATGTACTTAATCACAATTAGAGGGTCATTTATCGCTGTGTAAAAATGTATGTATAGTTAAATTTTGTTATCAATATTTTGCGTTAAAGTGGTGATAGTGGAAACGTGCGTTATCAGTTTATCATTGATTAGACCCTGTATGCTGTGCCCTGTTAACTCCTACTGCTGATACCATTTATTCGGTAACCAGTATACTGGTAATAACCTGACTATAAAACACATTAGCAATTTGCAGCAAAACATAATAAAATGTTTGCCACGAGCTTGGAATAGATATAACGTTTACCGGTAATTGTGATATATATTATATACCAAACTTCTTGACATACTACCATATTGCCACATAAATTTGCCGACCGTGTCCACGTGGGTGTTGTCATCTTACATAGTACACACAATAAACTAATAAACCGACGTATATTGGGCCAAAGCACAGTTCAGACGTGTTTTCTGCCGAATTAGCTATCGCCATAACTTATATACGTTAGGATGGGAGCAAAAAAAAATGGCTGTTAGATTTCTTGTCCGAGATAAAAATCTATGGTTTTTGCTCGGTCGTCTGTGGATAATGTTTACACGGCGAAACATGGCCTCCGTCATTTCGCTTATTGTGTGAAAAAATACTGATAAAACTCGTAGCAGTTTTGTATTGGCACTCAACAGCCAACAAATGGCCAGGGGAAAAAATGAATTTAAAAAAATAACCTATATCTATGTGATGGTTTTGATAAAATGTTCAAATATGAACGTCTAATCGTATACCATAACTACTCGTTCGAGTACCCGACTTGATCGATATGCACTCATAATATTGTATCTATGGTAATAAAATATATATATATATATATTTAATTTCTGTTACTTTTATAGTGATAAAAGATTATGTACGTCGGTCAGTTATATTAAACAGCTGACGTTATCTAAAAATGATTATCCGGTAAACGAATAAACGCACACCAAAGTGAAAAATTACAAATCATTAAAAATTAACCGCCGAGCTCGTCGCAATCGAGTTTTACTACTTTTCGGTAAAAATCGATAAATTTCAATTTTTGTTTATGTCCCAAACTTGGTTTTGTTACTTTAAAACGTTGCGGCTTTTACGTTTTTACTGCTGATGAGGAAAATCGAATGCATAAAAAATGTATGATCCGCATAGAGTGTTTTTTAAACACTTACCTGTAAGTCGAAAACATCATTTAAACTTCTTTTTTTTTTTTAGTGCACTATCACTATATAAGACATCGATACTCGTGTATAGAAACCGTGCTGTAGTTGTACATAATATGTCATTATTCATCTATTATTAGTCACAGTACCTACATCAATCCAGCACAAATCCTGAGTTGACCAGAGTGTCATTTAATTTTCTAGAAAATTTTATTTAAAAAAATACAGTAATATAATTAATATAACAGTTAATTAACGTAACAGTAATGTGATTAACTCTATCAATGTAGAATATCTTTATTATGTAATATCATTGAGTATAATATAATGGTAATGTGTTAATTTAAAAATATTTTTCGGGTTTGCATAGAAGCCAGAAAACAGGCAATACTAAAACAAAAGCGACTTATGTTATTATTATTCTGACAATACTTACAGAACGGCTATTGGCGTTTGAAATTAACTTTTTTTTTTTTTTTTTTTCGTTGCCCGCGTAAACCCCTTTTTAGCTGTGGAGAACAAAGTTTTGCCTATAAACGTTTGTAGCCGAGTAACCTTTTTCGCAGTTATTCGGTCCATATAGTCTCTCTGTAAACCATTCGGCGATATCGACCGGGGCAACCGGAGCCAGACAACATTAGGCCAAAGCTAATGGCCCCAACATGCATTGTTCATTCTCACGCCAAAATAACACACAAGGAACTTGAAAATCCGTTCGTTATATTGTCAGTAATGGTTCAAAAACGACAACTCGTTAGTCGAAGTTACACCGAAGGGTAGAAAGCCAGACTGCATGTTTAAAAGGTAAATACCTATCGTTTGGCAAACGCCAAAACAATCTCCAAAAACATATTACCTCTGCAAAGTACTACAACCATATTATACAGGGGCGGAGTAATATTTTAAAAAAAGTTTTAGTGATTCGGAATGTTTTGTTTTTAACCAAAAAATGATTTAAAAGGCGAAAACGGCGACGGTCGTTGAACATTAGCGGATTAGTTAAGGGTTTTCGCTTAACTAGAAAATAAATTAAAAACGTTGTCGAAAAGACGGATAATAATAGTACAGTGCAAACGAAAATTAAATGTTTATTGCACAAAACAGAGAGAGAGTGTGACTATGATTTAGTAAAACAATAATTATTTATTCGAATCGTCACTTCGTCGAGATCGTTAAAGTAACAAAAAAATTAAAATGAATCTATTCAAAAGCCAAAAAAAAATAAACCATCGAATAACTGATTTTCGATCTAGGTAGGATAGGTATTATAGATATCAGTTTCTTAAATTATAGTTTTAAAAGTAGCACTTGGCGTTTTTTACAGTATATAATAAATGCTCTTGGTAACTGTTCTGAGTCACAATTAGTTTTTTTGTTGTCGTTCATAATATTGATCTCTTGTAATTTTCTGAATCGTCATTATGAAAATATCAAATTTCCATTAAAATAACGCGACAACTTGGTTTTCAATTTTCTTAGAATAATATTCCAAAGACAATGCAGAATTTTTTAATATTCATTTCTACTCAAGTTGACCCTGTAATAATAATGTATTTTTACCGCTTACTCACGTACTAATAGATAAACAGTATGATCACTTATTTTCAAGTTGTTTTCCCTAACTAATAACTATTCTTTTAAATTCTGCACATTACATATATAAAACTCTCATACGGCTAATAGACAATATTATAATTATTATATTGCAAGACAAATGTCTAGTAATACATTTTGTACAGAAGGGTGGTTCATTAAGGATAAGACACTAATTTTAAAAATATTCAATGAGGTAATTAAATATAATATACGTTACCATTTAAGTTTTAAAAGTTGACGGAGCATAAACTGAAGCGTCTCCATAAAGTTAATATTATAAAAAAAAATGCAAATAAGAAAAAGCGTTTATTTTTAGAGAAAATTAATGGGTTGTCCTGTACATCATTTTTGTCTTTAACTTGCAAATTGCAATTATCTTATCCTGAGTCACGATTATGTCATTTGGCTGATGTGTTTGTATAATTTTATTATTTCAGAGATGAGAGCTCGAATATGCGGCCCTCAAGAGCTGTACGTGAACGAGGAGAGCGAAGTGACCATGCGGTGCGAACTTAGCCAAGGACCGCACGACCTAGGCACGATATTCTGGTACTTGGGCAACGTACCGGTGTACACGGACCAGGTGAGCCTGCAATCGATCAGACAGCCCCGGGTTAGTGTGCACACCGAATGGGCGGACGGTCTTAAGAGTACGCTTCACATAGCCCAAGCTAAACTCAGTGACTCCGGCAACTACACCTGCGTGCCTACGTTTGGACAATCAGCTACAATCAATGTTCACGTGGTCAACGGTAAGCGTTTTTGCTTAATCATTTGCTAATATCATAATTAATAATATTATTGTGCGATTTACAACCTGTGTGAAGAGCAAGTATTGTTAAGTAAAATGTTGAACACCCTGTGTGAAACATAATGATTCATTCAAAATCAAAAAATTACTAGCTATATCACGCTTAGGTTTTAATAAAGCTCAAAATGAGCACACGAAAAAAAAATATATCCCAACATAAAATCAAATCCTTATACGTTTTTGGCATTAGAGTAAAAAAAATAATTCACATAAGGTATTATATCTGTAACAACTGTGAATAAGTGTGGAAGTCGTTGGACCAACAAGAAAACCTTGAGAGAGAAGTGACTTCCTGGTTATTGCATGCTGATTTATGGCAGTTGGTCTGTTTAAAATCGCTACCCTGTAAAATCACTGAAATCGACTTGCACACTTATTCACGGTTGTTACAGATATTATGAGTAAAAAAACTGTCCCTGTACCTGTAGAACTTAGCTGTGTAACATAGCAATAAGACAAACAACATGTGTTTTTTGGTTATAACGGTAACACTTTAATTAAGCCGTCTGTCGTAGCTATAATAAGACAAAGAAAATGTGTTTTTGTTTGGTTATTACAAACAAATGAAAATGTAATTTATATGTCTAGTCTATATATATATATATATATATATATATATAGATTAGACATATAAATATATATATGCGCAAGTTGAAACCATTAAGACATATTAATTTCATTCTTGCATTTATCTATTAGATTAAAACATAATCGCGTCTCAGTGTTGAAGCCAACACAATAAAATGTTATTCAATGTCTTGATTACTTTATTGGTCTCAACTTTGGTGTTTAACGACCGAAAATATGTTTTTTGTACCGACCCAAACAAAACAATAATTGACACACTTAATACGCTTTTAGAATCTCCAGGATGGAATAAGATTAGTGACTTGAAAGTCAAATTTCCTGATAAAAAAGGTAACTCTTTATTCTCTGTAAAAGAATTATTAGAGAGAAATGCAGAACCCGATAAAATTGTGAGCTGTAATAACTACACGATGAAATACGACATGGTTTTTTATTCGTTATCGTGTGTGTATGCAAATGCGTCGTTAAAATTTTTAAATTTCACAAAAAATATTTTATATATTAGCAACCTGGAAAGACAACGCTTGCACATACAAACGTATAGAAAGTCAGTGAAAACAGGTGAGGCAGAAAATAAAACGCAATCAGCGGGTAGCAAAAATGAACAAACTAATGAAGACGATTTTGTCGAAAACGATTACTTTCATAAATCGTCGTCGTCTTCTATTAAAAACTATGATGAATTTATGGACTCCTGGAAACTGTTTAATTGTGCGATAAAACGATTTCAGAAAAGTTGGCTGATGTTTGACCACATGTTCGAAGCGTTGCGTTTTTTACAAGAATTGGTCCCGCGAAAATACGTCGAAATGAATTTACCCGAATTGATAAATTTCAGTAACATTGTGTCGTTTTATAAAGACAGGTGTACAGACATACAACTAGTTTTGACCGCTTACAACGGGGAAGACGATAAGTACTACAAAGATAAATATGGCAAAATGAGCAGAGCTTTTTTTCAATTCCTCAACGCTACACAAGCTTTGGATAGCATTGTAAACAACTATTGCGTTATACCAGACATCGATAAACCGCAGATCGTCAAAGAAAAAGATGTATTTAAAACTTTTTTTACTACAGGCAAGCGATTCAGTACGATCGAAGACAAATTTCGAGTGGTACAACAGTTGGAACGCCAAATTGAATCGCTTGTAAACCAAGTCACTCGAGATGGCTTTAAAGATTTGGGTTTCGTATATGATTTCACCAACTAGATACTACACAATAGATAATAATACATACAGTAATAAAAATGTAACGTTACCATTCTTATATTGATTTCCAATAAAACTATATTCGGTACATGTATTCATGCATAGTTCTGTAATACCATATTATAATATATATGTATATAGTTTGAAAATAAGTAATATACCTATTGGTCTTTTTTTTTATTTGAAAAAATCAAAACCGTAATTATTTTTTTGTGCAAATCCGAAAAAATAATAGGCACATATTTCATTATTTATTCAGCTACAGATGCGTTTTTTTTTTTATTTGGTTATTAACGTTAACACTTTAATTAAGCTGTCTACCGTAGCAATAATATGACAAATAAAATGTGTTATTTTGGTTAGTACATACAATTAAAAATGTAATTTACATGTCAAGTCTATCTTGTATAAATACAAGTCGAAGCCATAAAAACATTTTAGTTTTATTCTTGCATTTATCTATTATATAAAAAATCGCATCTCAGTTAACTTCATCGTAAAAAAATGTTTTTCAATGTCTTGTTTACTTTATTGGTCTCAACTTTGGCGTTTAACGACCGAAAATATGTTTTTTGTACCGACAAATACAAAACAATTGACACACTCAATAATCTTTTAGAATCTCCAGGATGGCATAAGATTGGCGACTATGAAGTCAAATTTCCTGATAATAAAAGTGACTCTTTCTCTGTAAGACAATTATTACTAGGCAGAAATGCAGAGTCCAGTAGAATTGTAAACCATCACAACTACACAATAAAATATGGAATGATTTTTTTTTCACTATCGTGTGTATATGCAAACGCGTCGATCAAATTTTTAAATTTGATAAAAAACATTTTATATATTAGCAACATGGAAAGGCATCGGTTACACCGGAAAAAGTATAGAGAGTCGTGCAAAGCGGGCGAGGCAAAAAACAGAACGCATTCGACGGACGAAGAAAATGACGAACAAGCCAACGAAGACGATTTTGTCGAAAACGATTATTTTCATAAATCGTCGTCTTCCAGTCAAAAATCCCAAGAGTTTATGGACTCCTGGAAACTGTTTAATTGTGCGATAAAACGATTTAAGAAAAGCTGGCTGATGTTTGACCACATGTTTGAAGCGTTGCGTTTTTTAAAAGAACTGGTCCCACAAGAATACGTCGAAATGTATCTGCCCGAATTGAAACATTTCAGAAACATTGTGTCTTATTTTAAAATTAGATGTACAGACATAAAACTAGTTTTGACCGCTTACAACGGCGAAGACGACAGTGGCTACCAGGATAAAATTAGCGACTTGAGCAGAAATTTTCTCCGTTTTCTCAATAGTACACAAGAGCTGGATCGTTATGTGTACGACTATTGCATCATACCAGACAACGATAAGCCGCAGATCGTCAAAGAAAGAGATATATTTAAGACTTTTTTTAATACGGTCAAGCGATGTGCTACGATCGAAGACAAATTTCGAGTGGTACAACAGTTGGAACGCCAAATTGAATCACTTGTAAACCAAGTCATTCGAGATTACTTTAAACATTTGGGTTTCGTGTATGATTTCACCAACTAGACACTACAAAACAGATAATACGTACAGTTATAAAAAAATAATTGTTAACATTTTGTTTCGTGGCACCAAAATTTATATTATGATCTAATAACATTCTGGATAATAAAAGCTATTTTTTAAGTGTAAGCCATCAATAGTGTTCAATTACATACAAAAGACGTTAAAAGTAATTATTGCACAACATTTTAATATTGGTATTTTTTGTGTTAATGCAAAAATAATAATACATTTTATTGTTTAAGCAGCGCTGATATCATAGCGAAATGTGTTTTTTTTTTTGGTCAAGTATTAAAACAAATCAGAAATTGTATTTATACTTAACGTTCAGTCTTTATCTGCAAGTTAGAAACATAAAAACATATCTTAGTTTCATTATTTGCATTTATCACCGTATAAAATATTATACATTGGCATGGCCAAGGTGGATTTCAAAAATTCACGCTGTACAAAATAATAATAATAATACCTACCTACACCAAAAGTATTTATTTTAATATAACATACAAAGTTTTGATGTAGTAGCAAAACGCATAAATTTAATATAATGCTTTCCGTTTCCGCGAATGTTAATTTATTATAATAAGCATGTGCACAATAATTCCTTTAAATGCTATTTTAACAGTTTTATGGTACCGCGGCATGTATATACGCTTAAGTACGTATTATAGTGCTCCCAAAGGCGTCATGTAAACCGATTATCTTAACCGTTCTTCGAAACCTCAGTTTGGGTACGTAAAAGATAAGCGCAAACCACGTTTACGGACAACATATTTTTAACCTTTAAAATATAATATAGGCTTCGAATAATACCACAAAATACTTTTAGAATTGTACAAAAATGTACATACACTTTTTTTTTTTTTGTTTACAACTTACAAAACCGACTTCCCACTTTGCGAAATAGGTATATCGTTTTAAAAACTTTTGTAAGTTGTAAACTTAAAAATCTGGTGCCGGTTTATAACAATATAGTAAAAAGAGATTAGTGGTGTTTTTTTTTTTCGAAATTAATGGAAATCTTCAACTGCCATTTTAAAAATATGCAAAAATAACAACCCGACCGAGCCTTCATTTTTGCAAAATGAGAAATACCTAAAAAACAAAATGTTTTTTATCATATATATATATATTTTTTTTTTTAAATAAAACAACTTTTCAAATTATCTCCGAGATAATATTATTATAACGGTATACGTCACTCTCATAACGCCCAAGGCGGCGGCGTAGGTACCCAAATATATTTTACTGGAACACAAGTGTCAGTTGTCTTGCGAAAACCATCTTATCTCGTATCGGCCCAATTTATGTCCACGGAAATGATATATCCCGAGTAATGATCCAGATTGGCCGCATCTCGTTTTAATAATTCATCGATCCTTTGCCTAAGCGCAAGTAATCTGGTCCCGAGGTAACCATAATGGTTTCTTAATAACCGCCACTTTGTCTACATCGACCATAGTACTTCCGGGGAAACGGTCAATCGCCTGGGAAAAACCCTTCGAATGTGATGTATTAAGCAAACTCCGAATTGCACACCACCTGCTATAACTGGTGGTAACGATGATGTGCAAGTGATCGGATTTTTTTTCTCTCTCAATTCACGCCGACACCATTACCGACTATTGGAAAAAACCGCCATCTGCTAGCTGTTTGTTTCGTGTACTAAATTGGTCCACTAATAAAACATTAATTATACCTTATGGGGTTTTAATATTGGTAATCTTCGAACAAGTTGCTGTAATTGTTGTTTTTGGTGAAAACTTTAACGATGATTATTATTGTTATAACTTATAAGTAGTTGAGACTTTTTATAAGGAAAAACGCATTTTGCATAAAAAAAAGCCGAATTGGGCCCTTGTTCTAATGAGTGTCTCAATTATAGATAAAAAAACGACAAAAATAAAACTGGTGATTTGCATTGGTTTACTAGTGAATTTATTTGACGTGCCAAATACAGAGCTAATAATTAATATTTAAATAATATGTTTTATAATTGTATTTCTTGGGAAACAAAGAACCTGGGCATTATATTCGCATGTAAAAAACAAGGCAATAGTTAGCAAAATTGCCTATACTTAGCGCCGGTTGTAAATCGTTAATATCACAATAGTATTTCAATCCGTTTTTACATTTTTTGCAATCACAAGATAATGTATTTTTGCCTCTTACTCGTTTTTTCTTATTTTCCATCAACCAGTGATAATATTTGAATAAAACCAATTTTTTTTCAAAAATTGCTTCATTTGCTGCAGTTTATAATATTGTTTTAGGAGTTCAGTGCTCTCGGTTATTTAATATCGCTCCGGTGTAGTAGTTTGTTTGAATATAACCTAACGCGGTTATGTTGATTCTACCCACCTTGTTAACGCAGTCTTAATTTAATTTGATCACTCAAGTGTATACTTTCTTGATAGGGGTTCCTGTGTAACGGAAATAACGACTAGGTATGCGTTTTTGACGAACAACAATAATTATAAATATTCGTGACGCGTTAATTACTTATCATAACAGTTTAGACGGTTATTACTCTCAACGAGAGCTTAAGAGATATTTCTACGGAAATGTGTTCAATTATTCTGTGAGAAGACAAATGCTAATTAAAACCATCTGGAGGGCCAGCAAAATGCTTAAATTTTGTCAAAACGACGAAACGTTCGCAAACCTCTAACAGCTCTCTCTTGGCTGTTATGTGTTTAGGGTCGACCAGAATTTTAATAGAGTACAAAACTGGATTTTTTTTTTCTGAAAGTTTAACGTTATGGACCCTTTTTGCATTAACCGATTCAATTATGGACTAATACTATGCGAGCGAGTCCTCTATTGGTAGACAGAGTAGGTAACAGCGGGGGACTAACCGCTAATTATTATTATACACGAATAGCTATCGGTTCGAACAATCCAATGGGTTCGGCCGCAAGTTTACAGGGTAAGGCCAATAATAATTATATATTAAGTTAACACCCTCCAAAACAATATTATTATACACTGGCCCGTGCACGATTTGTAAACGCGGTGGTAATGTGTTTCAGGCGAACACCCTGCGGCAATGCAACACGGCAATCGGAGCGCGGTCAGCGGTCAGATGACGGTCCACGTGCTCGCCCTGTTCAGCCTTGTCATCATGCTGTCCAACCCGGTGCTGTTCGGCCACTGAAAAAATCGGTCTGCCGGTCAACGGCAAGTCACGGCACACAAACAACGCAACGCCCACTCGTGTGTATAACCTTCGAATCATGTACATAGGACAATGCTAAATTTATACAAAAAAAAAAAATTAATTTCATCCCGTCACGTCTCGTCACGCCATGTCACGTCACATCACGTTACGTCACGACACGATACGTCGTACGCGATTTTTTTTAGTGTAAACGAACAAACTTCCTTCCCACCTTTTTCGTTTGTTTTTTTTTTTAATTTTTATGCAAGGTAAGATTAATTCGGCCAACCGAAATAGTTTTATATATTATAATAATATTATTGTATTGTATTGTATTGTTTCTTAAACTAAATTCTCTATTGTTTATACATTTCGTACACGTACGATAGTTGTGTTTAAATCGGACATCATTTTATTAATAATGTCGACTAAATAGCTACACAAACGGTAAAGACAATGTTTCGCTCAGATCTTAGGGCGAATTCCGGGTAAATCGGTTGTTGAGAAACAAATAACGATGTATATACAGATAAAACCCTTTTCGAACGGAGTTGAATACGTATTATTGGATTATATACTATATATTTTAACTTGTACAAAAGTACAACGTATAACTGAAAGTAAGTTTTCGCTAAATTAAATAACAAAACTAAATTCGAAAACACAATGTATTATATATAAGGAGATAATAACAAGAAAATGTAACGACCCTAATGCAGTACAAATAATACGTTTTATATCAAATAACGTCGAGAAGAAGATAATTATATATATATATATATAATTAATTTTTTTTTTAATACCAAAAAATATGTACTGATGTTTGCTATACTCTACTACAACCGACCATCTAAACATTTAACGAAAGATATTAACAACAGGAGGGCGTCATTAACAAAAGTTTGAAAGTATATTTAGTCGCAGACGTTATTATTGCAATTATTAACTAACACGGATAAATACGGCAAAAACGTGAGGATTTAAAACTGACAACAGGACACGATTAAAATAGTAGTAAATAATATTTTATCGAGCCTACAAGGTAATCTGACAGACCCCGTATGCAGTTAATGAAATTATAGACTGTCCGCACCCACACAGGTTCGGATTTACAGCATGTAAATCATTAAAATATACAGCCACACACATACAAGCTTAAGTATGATGTGCACTAATACATACAATATAACGTTACAACTCTGTCATTCGTGGAATTGTCCGTACATAATATTGTTAATATTCACAATTTTATCAAATTGACGGTTTGATGGATACTCAAATCCAATATACTACAAAATGATCATATTATTATCGTAAACCACTCAATATCGCATAGGTTTAATAAGAAATTGATTTGTTTTTTTTTTTCATAATTTTTTTATACAATGTGATCTCAATTTTTCGCATTTTTTTTTAGAATGATATCGAGTGGTTTGCGATAAAATGATCACCCTGTATAGATGCAGTTATCCAATTTGAGGCTTATAATTTATAACAATACAAAGATATTTTTGATATACCATCTGACGTGACGCTGGTATTGTAAAAACACGGTTTGGATACATAAAATTATAATGTACTTTATAATAATATTATGTTTTGGATTGGATTTGTTTTTTTTTTGGAAAGTTTAAAAGAAAAGATAACGTCATCCGGCGGCGGTGAAGTAACTTTTCATTTTAGACATTAAATGTTGGTCTGACAGATTATGTGATTAAAAAAAAAAACAACCCCCCAAAAAGATCTCCGGCCCGGTTGTCGGCGTCTCGTCATAAAAGTTTTTATTTAAAACCGGAAAAAGAAACCAATAACACGAATTTTCCAGCCCCTCAAACCGATAAATTTAATTTACAAACATGATTGCTGTACAAAACAACAGAGTATAAGCGGTTTTTTTTTGGAGGGGGGGGGGGGTTGTTCCATGTAGATTTTCAACATCTTAACGTTTTTTTTTTCTCGAAGGCTATTAGAGAAAATACTGCGGCCGTTGTGTATGAATTGCACGTGTCTGTCGAAAAATTGAATATAAACGCATGTGTAGACGATAAAGCCCACCTTAATGCCATCTCATCGGGGGAAGACACATACAACAACGACAAAGGCCATACCCATTTGCCGGTCCTCCCGGTGACGTTATACGCGGTTCACATTATACAAAAAGTCATTTTTTTATTTTGTCACACCCCCACACCCTCCCCCCCATCGACTTTCAGATGATAGTAATAAAATTTAACGTCTCTACCCACAGGATATTTTCAAAAAAAAAAAAATATTCCCAGTCCGTACCTAGGTACACCTATCTAATATCTATATATATATATATTTCAAAACTCAAAGTTCTTCAAGCATACTCGCCGTCACTGTGCGTCTACATACATACCATATTGGTAGATAAGAAACGCTTGTCTATCTCATCATCTGAAAACATGTTCCCATTTGAAATACCCAAATACATACTTGTTTTACGTGGATCATTATGTGTATAGTCATGATGTATTACATTATCCCTTTTGTACAATTCAAGGAGCGGCTTATGTGGTTGGTGTTATATAAACGCTACAAAAGAACTTTCCTGGTCAAGATCTAACCAAGCCCAACCTAACCTAACCTAACCGTGAATATCTGGCTAAATTCAATAAACACCGACGACGGATTTATTTGAGATGGGACAAAAAAGTATACAGAACACGTTGTTTACCGATACAATCCGCGTACGCCATTAATTCGTATTACCCGCGGTTACCAGAAGTAATAAAAAATCAATTTCGCCCAGATGTCACCAGTCGCCATTGCTTGCTTTGACTTGAACAAATAAAAAGACACTAAACTACCCCGCGTCTGTTGACCGCTTTATATCCGCCCTCATAGAATAGGTAGGTATATTAATACACTACAGGTACAACAACTAGAACCTAGCGTGTTTTTTGCCTCGCTGACGTTACTCAAAATTATTACCGGCTACTATGCTTACTTAATTGTTTCCAGGACATTCCTTCTCTTCTTTGAACTGCGTTTTCAGTTTTCTTACAACGCTCTGCTTGTCGCTCGCTGTTTGTTATATCGGCCAGCTCTAAATAGAGTAGTTTTAATGTGTTGCATAAAGTAGGACTAAAATCAGTCTGCCAAGATGGAAGAAAATAATTATCGCTCAACATATCGTGATGATAAGATATCAATGATATCTCAGTATTTTTAAAAAAAATATTGTTTTTAAATTCGATAAAACATATTGCATTTATTATTATTAATTTGTATTTAAGTTATATTAACTTAAGCTATTTATTTGTTAATTAATTAACAATAATGCCTAGTCGTTTTGTTTGTTCAACAATAGAGACTTTTTGTTTTCCTCTATGTGGTCATACTAGTTTTAGTCCTACTTTTTACTTCGCTCTTGCGTACAAGCTAGTACACGCTAGTTCATCCCTTTATATATTATTACTCTATGCTCTAAGGGCTCGAAATGGACCTCTTTTCGACGAAACGGCAACTACATTATTAAGAAAATAATAATACATGAAAGTACAATAGGTTTTGCCACCGTCGCACGGCAAAAATTTCCGGACAAAACGTGACAATATGTCAATAACTGCCAACACTTTATTATTTTCCCCCGGCAGACTATACATACAAGCTGCCTCTTCTTTTGCCCCCTTCCGTTTTAATCCTGGCCGCGTTTGTACACCGTGTACCTGTCTGTCTATACTACTGTTCTCTTCTCTTTGAGTCGAACTGACAAAAGCCACACACAACCCACACCGTCGTCGTCGTCCCTATTATAGGGCGAGGGAAAATTTTCTAGTAGAAAACTTTTAAAGGAAAAAAAAATAAAATAATAAGTTTCACTACTGTGTTGTATTTGTATTGTCGGCTAAATCGACTCGGTCAACAGTGGGCGTTTCCTATCTGCGGTCCCGTCCTTTTATACAAAAAAACCGTTTGGATTTATCGTGCAAGTCCTCTCTATTCGACGGCACCCCGATAGGGTAATATACAATTTATCTTGAGAGAAACATCAACAGCTATACCGTGGTGCGTTAAAAAAAAAATCATAATAAAATACTGCAACCTAAACTGAAAAGATTGCTCACACATACACACATTGTCACACTATTTACAATATATTCCAAAACGATTAAGTTTACCTGTTGAAAATCCAAAGCGGAATATTTTGTGAAACAACCGATTTGCCAAACATATTACTATTGTATTGTCTTTGTCTACTAAATCACATCTTCCAAGTCAACGTCAAGGTATATGCATACCTTAGATTTGGAACTGTAAACGATAAAATGCACACACACACCAGTGTTGCCAGAATTCAAAATCGAGATTAACGTACAATGTCTCCAAATTACCGTAATTTACATTGAATTACCGTACACGAAACATTTTACACCATCTTGGCGAATTATAATATTATAACAAAGCTATACAGAATCCATCATCAATTCATATTTTATGTATTTTATGTACGGTAATTACCGTACGTCTGGCAACACTAACACACACACACAAATTGAAATATCTTTAAACAATAATTAAATTACTTATGAAATTGTTTGTACATACTTTAACACAACAAAAATGACAAAGGTTTTGTTTCGGGCAAACAAAACCTAATAATAATAAACTAGTACCTGGTTTTGCGACATATTTTTAATTTTGTTATTACTAAAAAATCGATTTAATTATTAGATGCGATACTTACCAATCTGTCTAGGTATTATAATTAAACAGACCTATTTTAATTTCAAGCAGACATAATCCCAAACCGCAGTCTGTTCTCTACAAAGCACCTAACATTATATTATACGGTTATACCTGTTGAAATATTTTTTTTTATTGATCTCTTCGACCAAAAATATTGTGTAAACTTAATGCTAAACAATCATAACGTTGTATAATAACCGATCGTCCGATTTTATTAGCATAACAATGTGTCATAAATATATATATATATTTTTTTTTAATTTTAATTTCTGTTTTATTTGGCAAAAGTATGCCTACCCTATAAGTAAAACTATGTTTATTAATATATACTGTGTACAAATCAACTGTGTTTAGTAAACCGACCGTTTTCGTTATCGAATAATACAACATTTTTACATCATCACAAACAATATACCATTTTTTTTTTTTGGTCATTTTATCAATTTTCTCAAACAAACTATTATGTTCTTCCGTTTTCTTTACTCAGTTCCTAGTTAAACTGCGAATACCAATAGTTCTCAACAACTATATTATATCCTATACATTGTTTGCTGGGAAAGCTCAGTTAAGTCAACACTAAATTCTTCCTTGCAATGTTGTATTGTTCTGTTATAGTATTATTATTATGTTATTATGTTTTTTTTATATATTTATAGTTAATATGTACAACGTTGTTTCGACTTTCTTTTCTTTCTGTTTTTGTGTTTTAAAGTAAAATCTAACATTGTTATTTTGTTAATATGTACATAATATTATACCTATACTGTATGGAAATCTATATAATAACATTAACTATTATAATATATGTCTTTGTTAAATAATTTTTATTTCCAGTTAGAAATTATATGGAATTTTTCTAGTCAATTATCATTGGAATGTGTTTTCGTGACAAAACAAATCATAATACAGCCTTTACTAATTTATCTTGGTCTTGCGACTTAGAAACTACTCATTGCGTCGGTTTTCATGCTACCTTATGTTTTTTGTAATTACAAACTAAACAGGTGTGTATACATATTATTTTATTTAAAGGAAATTATTTTCTTGTCATGTGGCAGACATCAAAGTTAAAAGTTTTATAACGCGGTTGTAACTTTGCAATTTGCATCTAATTAAACTCCAAGGCATCTCTTTCTATCCAAGGCTATACATAAAAAACATAAAATATTTATTAAGAAAAAATAATAAAAATAATCCCAATTTCTTTTTGTAAAATGATTAGTAATAACAAATAGAAGTATTATTGAAGTACGATAAACATTTTTACAGTTTTCATAATGACAAAAAAAAGTAGTCAAGCGTAAAATAATTGTCGATAAACCACCGGGCAAAAGTAAACCCAAATTTTCAATAACAATTTTAATTCAAAATACTTATCCATCAAAACTTCTATTTCGTACGGGAAATTTTGTTATCGTCAAATTATTAAACGATTAGCAACAAAATGTAATAACACATACCTACTATTTTTTTATTTTTTTTATTGTTTTTACAAAACCTATTGCGTTTAATTTAGGTACTTGTTTTACAAATTACAAAAAAAAACAATGTATACCTATTTCCTTTTATTATCACAACAACAATTATTAACAATTTTTCAAAAATAACAGTTTTATATATTTTACTTTAGCGAAATAATATAAATTAACAAGTAGTACAAAAAATAACATACACAATACAATTATGAAAGTTTTTCATACTTTAATGTAGCGTGTTGACATCACCGACATTTGTTTGTCACACTACACAATTATCGACCGATACAATATATTAATAGAGTGCAACACGAGTGGTAAGATTACATAATTTATATATATTTTATTATAAATCCAACAACATTCGTGTTGAAAAATTAATCGTATTTACACAGCTAGGCGGACACTATCCCACTCGAGTAATTTGACTGGTCTGCAAACATTGCGGAATACTTACACATTCCTTCTTCAGCGCTGTGAAAGTATTTCGAAATGTAGGCAGACCAGTCAAACCACTCGAGTTGTGGAATAACTTCGAGTTTGTGTGTAAATAGCGTAAACCGCCGTTGTGTTGCTATTTTGCATGAAAAAAAAACACATTCTTATTACCTGTTTAATAAACGCCTCATTTATCGTTTGGCGGCGATCATTCAATTTCCAATTTAGCTTGTTCAACTAAAATTATGCCACCACATAACGGAAAGGTTTTAAATGCGAAATTGAGCGAGACGTAAAATTAAAAATAATAAAAATTCGACAGGCTCGCTCACAACTGACCCTGGTCCTAACAGATACACGGGCCTAACGACTTAAAGAACACAATGTTTTGAAAAAAAATCATATAATTTAGTAGTATCATTAGATTAGGTACTGATACAACTCCGAGTTTAGTCCGATGAAATAAGTTACAATAATGTCACAAGTATACATTAGTAAATTACGAAAATAGGTTATTAATTACTAAGGTAACTTTAACGTGTGCATCGTTTTACAATATATCTTATTTGAAAACGAATACTTAAGCCTTAAGAACTCCGTAGTACATATTATAATTAAAAATATTTTTTTAAATTACATACTTTATAGTAAAGAATCGACTACACGATGAATAAGAACAAAAACCATAATGTGTGATGCACAACTGTGTAACACTATAATATTTTGTTAGTTTAGCAAAAGAAACACCTGAGCGAAATAATAATTCACATTTTATGGTGTCACAATACAAAACAATAACGGTATATAATATTATAATTAAATCACGCCATCTTAATACTAATGAAATGTGTACAATAAAACTCACAGTTCGATCAGATTAAAATTGTTTGCTTTCACGGCGTCATGCTTGTGTCTCGGAGGAGGAAGAGGCGCGGGCTTCAGTTGTCTACTGCAATTTTCCTGTCGTACCGTCTTACTCTGGCAAATTTTTTTCCCGTCTTCCGGATACAGCAAAAAAGGGTCCTTTATAAAATATAATTGTTCATTATTAACTCGTAGTATATTTTGTAATTATTGTGTTCTCTAGTTAACGACAAAATTCAACCGATTTCTTACCTTTCCAGATAGCGTTAAAATTTGACTTTGCAATGATGACATTTGAGATCTCATGTATTCATATCTGAAAATATTAAATACAATAGACTACATTATTTAACATGTATTTTTTCCACATTGTCTGCAAAATATGTTTATCACAAATAATAATATTAATATTTTAGAGAAAACATACGTGGCGCATCGAATGGTTTTAATCCAATGATGAACGTGATCTTCCGACTGACTTGAGATGATATATTTTTTATCAGGATCGTCGTTGAATGATAAAGAAAAAGAGAACAATGTACCCGGTATGTTGTTTTCAAGCCGTACTACGGAATTTTCTAAAACGAAAACACCAGCTGGCTAGAAAAATTAAAATATAATTATTGTCAAACAATAATAACGTTTTAACTGTTGCCTAATATTACTACATTTTTTAACAGTTCATCAATTTCCTTTCGATTAATATTAATTATACTTTATACATACCTGATGCAATTCAACATGCCCAACACTGTTCATTTTAAAATAGAACAAAAGATTGTGCTTAAGTCTAAACCATCTCTCCTTAAAACCTAAAAAGAAATATAATACATCGGTATTATGTATTTTCTTAGTAAGAAATATTAATGTAATTTATTTATTGTTAACTTCATAAATTATCACTTAAGTAAAATAATAACCCAACTGCAAAATAGTCTGCTAAATTTAGTATCAATCAAATAAAAAACATATAAAATAATAATTACACATAAAGGTTAGGATAATTTGCATTATTTATTTGTTGTTTTACCACTAGTATTTTTAAATACAATTTTAAAGGTAGTAATAAACATATGTAATTGAAAATATGATAATTTCATACAACAAAAATAAAGTCTTATTGTCGTTAAAGAAAATTTCAGTAAATTGAATAGGTATTAGTAATAGTCTATTTTTAAACATATACAATATTACCTTTGGTTGGATATCCATTCGATAACTTGGCATAGGACATTCTTCCTTCTAGAACTGGATTTGAATGACTGACGTGTATTAACTCTTTACTATTAAATCTCATCGTGATTGGGAATTATAAAAATTGCGGGAATAACAAAATATACTAAATAAAATTCGGTTATTACGTTTTAAATAAACATATTAACTATTACTTTTAACATCACTTAAACATTATTTTACGTTGATTTCACAGTTGATTTGATTTAATGGCGTTAACAAATTAACCACCGCCTACAAGTTACTATATTCGAATAAAAGGCACCGTTTCCCGTATTTTGACATTGAGAAGAATATTACATTTATTCTGAGATAAACATTCTTATCAGTAATACTTTGTAATCTTTACTGAACATATTAGATAAGAGCCAAGGTCCTTATCTATATCTGTGATAACAGCTGATAGTCTTATCAAAACCAATTCACCATATTGAATACCTATTCTATTATATTATTTATTTTATTAAATAGGTACACTAATGAAAATAAAATACAAGTTAGTTTGAATAGAATTAAAAATCTTCGGCGTCTAAGACCATTGCTCGTTGGTATCTTGGTAGGATTTTCTATGTTTTTTACAATAATATGTAGGTTAGCTTGTTAAATTCATACTTAAAGGCCCACAAAATAATGGAAACTAGTTCATTAGTCTTCAGGCCATCACCGATGATACAATTATTACCGCTATGGGTACCAACTATTTCAGTCGATAACTTTATAAAAAAAATTGGAGTCTTCTGGGAAACTTCTCGGTTCTCCGTCGATTGGCGCTAATGAAACAGTCATTCTACTACGGATATAATTCACCCGATTTAAAACCATCGGATATTTTACATTTAACAATATTATGAATTCAGTAATAAAGTCGAGTAGGCATATTGTTTTTATTTTCAACGTTTTGATTTAAGTCAACAAATTAATCTAATATATAGCATTAATAATAACAACTACCGTACTAAAATTTAAAACGAAATAATACGTACGGTACTGTATCGAATGTAAATACATTTAAACGTATATTGTACTGTGAATACATTGTACGAACGTTAACATTTAACTGGTTTCAGTTGCCTAATAATTACAAATTAAAAAAAATAGTAAACACTAAAATAATACCACCAAAAACAAACAAATTATTTAAAAATAATTAAATACATATTTTTTATAAATGTTATTTTAAAATAAAAATACTCATCGTTTCTGAAAATAATACATAAACAATCCTAAATCATGTTAATAATTAAAGAGAGAGAGCTAAGGCTTAAAGTAGTTAAGAAATAAGAATATCACAACGACAAAGCACACGGTACTTCCAGAAGTACTATAAAAAGCGTTACAGAGTTGGAGAAACAATTTTTTCTTTGCAGTCATATTAATTAACCTTTTCGTATTTTATTTCGCACTCTGTTGCCAGTCCGAAATCATTGATCTTATGTCGTTGAGAGCTTCACTGATTCTTTCTGCAAATCTGCTTGAATCCTGCAAGAAAACATCATAAAACGTGTGCCGTTTCAAATAGCTATTGTCTAATGTCGTAATACACGATTGAAATACGTACAGTGTGAGGTGAATTTCGTTTACTAGATATATGAAAGAAAATTAAATTTTCACCGGCTATAATGTAACTGACACCATATCCGTCGTTGGCGACGGGACCAAATCCGCCTCCGGCTGATATGCAATTGGGGAACTTCTTCAGATCAAACTGATTGGTTTGACCGTGTGGAGTTTGCGACGTGGACAAACGCCACGGCTCACTTAATACTTTCTATAAAAAAAACAAATAATCATCATGAAACGAATACATCCTTTTTTTAAATTTGTTTGTATTATTGCTGTAGCCTGTATTACATTTAAAAATGGCGATTCCACTTCGAGATATTTGGAAACGACGTACAAACAGAATAAATGTCTATCGATTCCTTTGCCACACATTGCGTCTTGGTAACCCTTTTGGTGGATTGCGCAAGCTTCTTTCAGCAGTTGAATACGTTCATTCAGCTGTTAACATAATAATAAGCAGTTACAGTGATTACAATCATCTTTAATTTCAAGTATACATACTGAGGTATTGGGATCCAACATGCATTTGACCCAAGCCGATGACTCGAGAGTACACGGTCGAACCGTTTCAGTCCTACCTTCTCGATACAAACGTGTCATAGAAGCTTCATAGGTAAGACTAAACTTGCCGGCATCCTGTAAATATTATAGAATCATAGAAAATATTAATATTATTAAAACATTAGAAACGGGTGCCGCCAATTATAAATTCTATCGATTTAATATTAACGATAATTACTCTGTAGTATGCCAATTGCAAAGCCATTTGAATATAAGCGTCTGGGCTAATTTTGGCCGTTTTCATGAATCCCTTGCCGTAGTCGGAAAATGCCAAAATCCGGAGGTCGATATCGTTGACCAACTCCAAAGCAACCTAATATTCGAGAACACAATCAGTTAATTTTAAAACATCATGGCTGCTACACTTTTTTTTACTTGATATGACTTTTCAATAGCATCTAAAGCTGGATCCAAATTCCACTGGAGTCTTATAGGTTTAGGCGGTTCAAACTCGGGCGTACCTTTAGTATGTCCATCCGCTTGGTATCTTTATTTAAAATTTTAAACACATAGTTTAATATTTTTCAATAATTAATCATTTTTTTAGCTAATTAGTTCACCGAACTAAAATAGCTGTATTTTAATGTAATGTATGAAAGGTGGTTAGTATTATAAGCACTTATGCAAGAGAATAGTTTGAAACATTTTAGCCTTCAGTAAGTAATTGTGAAAAAGAAAGTTATTCGCTTAATTATTGTAACATTGTTGAGTACAGGTAACTTCAAGGAATTCTCCAGGCATGTACAAACAGTAACACTATAGCCTAGATTTTTAGACACTTAGTAGTGTATTTAATTTTGAGTTTAACGGTAAGTTAGTCCAATAAGATAATTACTGTGGGAATTTGTGTAAAATTACTGACGACGGTATTTAATATTGATATTGTTTACTGAAGTTTTTGAATTCCTTGAAACTTTATTTTTTTTTTCCAAGTATATTATAGCATGCATAAATGATTTTTGTTAAAATTAATTAAATAATTGTGTTATTACCCCACAACTAGATCTCCACAAAGGAAATGTTCCCATAAATGACCCATGACCGGTGCATCAGCCCTGTCATCAAAGAAAACTGTTACCAAATAATGAAATGTGTGTCAAAGATACCTTATTAACATCCATTGTTAGAGTAAAATATTGTTTTAAGACTGTGTTTTGTATTTGTCTTCTCGAGAACGACTTTAACTACTGCTGTAGTTATGCAATATTATATATTAACAAATTAACTGTTAGATATTATTACACGGATAGAGTTAAAATATATGATTTACATGCAAATGTATTATTTTTAAATAATCCTCGTGAAATCCAAATTACATGAAACCTCTAATCCACAACTGACAAAATGTAATCAAGTCCAAGAAAAGCGGTTTCCCATTCAAAAGAATGGAACTTAAGTAGAGACCTCATCACAACATTGCATTGTCAACCCACAACCATTAAATTACCCAAGTTTTGCAGCTTCGGTAAACATTATGAACTCCCAAAGGTGAGACATAACCGCTGCATCAGCCCTGTAACAATACTTGTTGTACGCAAATTCAAAACGCATAACTCAATTGTGTTTGAAAAAGACAAATTACATAAGACGCACACAAGTGGCAAACTAACGATGGTATTAAAAATATGTGTAAAGGATGCACATTTGTATTAAAATGGTTTTTTTTTACTAGTAAAATGCTGGTCATAATACTTACCACGAGTGTTCTGCGTTAAACCCAACCTAAATAAAACACATTACGCTCAGTTTTTATCGCAATTCAATTTTATTTTTCAAGTACACTTACTCTTCCGTTTGATCCAATGCAAAGAGTAAACGATTTATCGAACCAACGATCGTATCCTTTGCCGGTCATTAAGATTCTTCCGTATTCGTCTAATTTTTTAGAATTTTTCTTGAAAAAAAAAAAATTAACATTTTATTTTTTAAAAAAAAACCTTTTTTATTATTTATTATGTACAACACAAACTCACTTCATCGTACTCGTATGGGACATCGTCTAAAGCGACTACGAAAGCGGATTTTTCGATGGCGTCCAAACTTTGTCGGTTGATGCCTTTGAAGAAAAACTCCGTACGAGCATTGGCCCAAGCTGTTCGATCTCCAGCTGTTAACGCAGCTACTTTTTCCTCTCCTGTGTACGGTTGTTCTTTGTTGTCGAGAATCGACTGAATTTGTCTAAACCAATACATATAAAATTATTACTACACGTATTCTAATATGATAACAGTGTAGTTAGTTAAATATATACAATTGATTGCAACGTACACTTCAATTTCGCAAGGTTGTAGAATCCGATTTTGATAATAAATGATGACTTTAAAATATCTTCCAGCGTGATACACAACAATATGTCGACTGTCGTTGTAATGTACCAATTTGTCACTCACTGCACCAGGTACACGGGTTGTGTTGAATATTCTCTCGTACTGCCACGAACATAAGGGAACCAATCCCTGAAGCCTTATCTGAAATAAATGTAAAATGTAAACATATTAACTCTAAACTTAAATCCATCATTTCAATGGTCACTCCATTATGCAAACAGTATTTTGATTATTTAAAGGCTATCTCGATATGAATTATTATGTATAATCATTAACAATATTCTGTGTGTTTTTATTTTAAGAGTAGTTTTAGCACGTAACTAGTTCTTGAAAAATACTTCTTAAGGAATGAAGTGCGAGTGAGTAGTTTTTTTTATTTGCGCCAACACTTGCCCGCAATTCACTTAACCCCATCTGCCTTTAAATGCTAATAACTAACAAACAGTCATTATGTTTATTACCTCATTTTGTTTTTCACAGATAAATCTGACAAAAAAAAAATGTACAAAAGACTCTACATACCATGTTTGATAAAATTAATTATAATTATTATTTACATTAACAAATTATGCGATTTTTATTTTGCTTTTATTTTATAATTATTAACTCATTAATACCGGCTCAAGTTCCTGACGCTCAATTAGTCTTCTATATTGTAAACACTGCCAAATAATCATAGCACCGCGAGCGGCTTGGACGGTTGTTGAATGCATCATAATAGCATCAATACCATAGAAATTTGAATTGACTATCAAAGGTGTTCGACTTCTTAAATACACATATTCTTCCCACCAGTCTGAAACATAGTTACTGGACCACCTGGAAAAAAAAAATAAATTATAAAGGTGCACAAACAAGTAATTTGCGCTTAGTAATTGCATTTACATTTTGTACCCAGTGGAGGTAAATGCGGATTGAATATTATATAGTAAGGTTAAAAAAAAAAAAATACAAGATGTTATTGATTGGTTAGTTGTTTCCGGAAATGAAATACCCGGCTCAACTATGGTAATATGATGAGGTATTCTCTGTTAACAGCAGGAAGCCCTCATGTAATTAGTTGCTATTTTTTGTTAACAAAAGCAATTATTTATAAAATCAATGATACTACATATCTGTAAACATTTATTTATCTTGATATTTTATGCAAAAATGAATAAAATAATCTACGATTGCTTCCAATACGTTTCGATGTATAATTTTAAAAAAACGGTCGAATAATGAGTCAAACGAGATTGTGACTTTTAAAATTGATACGCAATATTCGATTACATAATCAAATTGGTTAAAAACAAAACATATACATAATTACAAGATTAAAAAAAAAAACATTTAGATTACACTAAAAAATAAATAAATAGAAGTGATAATTTTTTTATACGAACCAAGATTTCAGAGATAAGTATCGCTGTAACTTAACAGCTATCCCATTTTCAAATTCACTAGCTAATTTTACCATGCTTTCGTATTCAGTATCATTCAACAACGGACGAACACTTCTCAAATACTAAAAATGTATACAAAATAATCATTAACATTTACAAAATATGATAATTACGTTGATGCTAGCTAAAACGTTTCTTATTTTTGAATTAAAATTCCATTCAATAGGAAATTACCCTTTCCATTGTTTGTTTAACTGGAGGTAGTGGAAGCTTCGGCAAAGAACCTTGGTAGCTATACAATAATGGTTTACTCGAGGTAGAGAGTAACTTCACAGCTAATGCCCAAAGTTTGGTGGAGGTTGATACTTTTTTTCCACCTCCTCTGGCTTCAAACATCCACCCTTAACATGTTCCAAAATATATATATATAACTGAGCATAGTCTACGAAATTAATTCAAAATTTCTTTACCTTTATACATGAACAAAAGCTTTAGTGTGTATCGTATCATATAAATCGTAATCAACCAGAATATCAATGATAAAATAAAGCACGAAACAATTTTCCATACAAATGTGTCCCTGAAAATACAACATTATTGTCACATAATCGATTTTAATTGTATGCAAATTATTCATTAATACTTACGCAGGTAAAAAAGATACAATAGCGTTTGTAAGTTTTCCAAAGGTATTATTGGTATAACGAAGACTGAAGACGATCCCCATCATTGCCCAGAGACTTTGTAAAGGAGCAGGGAAAATTCCATTGCGTACGCTATTCTAAAAATGATTAATAAAAACCAGCGTTTGTATCAATACATACTAAAAGTTGGCCGTAAGACTTTTTGGTAAAACAGTTAATAACGAAAATATAATGCAATATTTTTTACTTTAAATCTAGCTAAACGTTTTTTCCACGAACGTATTCCAGAAGCCCAAACAAGATTCAACACTTCACGGTCAAAGTTAACATCCCAGCCTTCATGGGTAATTGAAAACGAAAACGCAACTGCTGAATGAGCTTCAGCCATTTCAACAAGCCTTAAAAATACCAAAAAAGACACCATTAATAATTATAACAAATACATTGGTAATATTTCAAAAACGATAAGTAAAATTGTACAAGTCATAAGATTATGTAGGTAATTATTATTTTTTAAACACCACATACATTTTGCTTTTATGTCTGCAAACTATTATTACATTATTAAATGTGGTTTATAGCATATTATTCTATTTTTAGTTAATTGGCTTCAAGACTTCTATAGAATCAAGTTAAACTCCGTATACAAGAAAATGGCAGTTTTAACCGTTTTATAGTCGATACTTTTCTTGAATTTAGCTGGTTAGAAAAAAATCACTCGAGGTTTATAATTTTCCCTTATGACTTTATAGAATTTGTTGTTTAACCATTAACTGGTCTTGTGAGCTAAACATCTGGACCACAGTCACATAATTTAGGCGTGAGGCTGACGTGATAAAATGGAGATATGGAGAAAACATGGTTGTAAATAACAAGAATGCCCATTAGTAGTTTCAAGGCTTTATATCACTTATTCACAACTAATATGATAATAAATCAATGAAAAAAAATAGTTTATTCACGAAATAATAAATAAATTATTATAATTAGTGAATGGATTTTTAGGCTTTGACATAATATTGTCAGCCTATTGACCAATAGACGTAACTCTAATTATTTTGCAAATTAGATCATATTTTGGAGATAAGAAAATATATTTTTATAAAATTCAATATTTATATATTTGCATAATTGTCTGTAAAAGAAAATTCATATTTTTTGTTTTTAAATGCAATATTATAATTTTTTTCTTTGTCGTTTCAATTGAATAATAGAGCATTGGGGTTACATAGATGTATAAATAGATATAGTGAGGATTTTTAAGGTTTTCACATATTTATTGGCTTTATACAGCTCTCTACTGGGTTGAAGTAAAATATAGATAATTTATTTTCAGAGAATTTCTCGAAAAAATACTGTTTTACATATTAGAGTATATTTTGGAGATTTTGGAGTTTTTGAACATATTTAACCGGCTTTTAATGGACTATTTGGCGAAAATTTTAACATAGAATTAGTGAATGTTAGCATTATGTTCTAAACTTTTAAAACCTAAAAATCCACTCTCTTATTATCATATTTATATTATTACATTAATACAGCTGTATATTATTTTCATTCTCACACACCACACACACACACCAATAGATGTATTGTACTCCAAACAAGAATTGTTAAAAGTGAATTTTTTTTTAAATTCTGTTTCCTATTATTAAAACATCAGCAATAATATATAGATTTATAAAAAAAAAATAATCATTAACAAGGCAAACAACTTAACATAAACCAGATAACAATAACCTTGAATTTCCATGAAGGTCTTATATGTTTTGTTTTAGTGTTAATAAAACAAAATAAATTGCTACAACTGAATTTGGAGAATAAAATGTTTTAAATACATAATGTGGCTATTTTACAACGAAAAAATGTTATTAATTTAATTTTAATTATATTGTGTACACTCACAAAGTAGTACTATAACACTAGCATACTTCAATTTAAATCTAAACCTGTTTTACCAATGTTTTTTATCAGGTAGAAATAACTTTTTTTTTTAAATAATACATACAAATATTGGCCGGTTTACAAATGACCAAGTATACTATTATTACACAGTTAATATTTGTAGATAATTATTTAAAAAATATTACAACAAAAATAGTGAGGAATATGTGTTAAGACTTTTGTTATTTATTTGAGGACAATTTATTTTAATTTTATGAGAAATCTTAATTTATTTAATACCGATATATTAAATTAAATAAACTAATGAAAAATTAATAGATTAAATATGACAGAATGTTATAAATTTGAGTTGAGTAATTTAAATTAAATTCAACTAAATAGGTACAAAAATAAATAATTAATTTCATTAATGCACACTAGGAATATTTTGTTTTAATGTAAGTAACTAAATTGATTTGGTTTTTTTTTTAACTAAATGTTGCACAATAATATCATTGACAATAAAATACTTATCATAAATAAGTATAGCATTGTGTATGTATTAAAGAAAATGGGTCATTTACATTTTCTCATTTACATCTACAACTGCATTGGCCCATGTGGTGACAAAAACATAATAAAATGCAAATTAGATCAGCCTTGTTAAACTACATACACTATATACAGTTATATAAATGTACATTATCGTTTTTGAATAGCAATTATATTTATAATGGGTCGATTATTTTGTCGGCGGTTTATTTATCAGCCAGAAAATCAATTCGAGTTACAAGTAACATATTAAACACAATCACAATTATGACTTGAAATCTAAATGTATAGTGGTTAATATACAATACAGAATACATAGTTTTAAGTAAAAAAAAAAACAACACTGATAAAACCGTGCAAAAAAAATTCAAATTGAACGTTATAACAACAAAATCCTATGAGCTTTTTGGAAAATAGATAAAATGTGTGACGCTGCATAAATCATAGAAAATTACCTAGTTAGCAGGCAACTCAAAAATACAATATTGCCTAATACGTAGTAGTATGGAACTTACACAGTACTCTACATTGGAATGTAGGTTAAAGAAACAAAGAAATAAAAAAAAAAGTATAAATATTTACCTTGTTTGTGTTTATTGGTTAATTTGTTGAACGCGAACGACCCGTGTGTTGTATCTGCTTTGCAATTATTATTAAGTTACCGTCGACATTTATTTCGATTAATTAATACAAAAACATTGGTCGAACAACAACAACACAACACAACACTGGTGTAGCACTAACGAAAAAAGGTGAAAGTGAAGACGATGAAAACAAAATAAATTATTAACACCGATATGCGTTAATAGTAGGCCTACTATAATAATTATTATTATTGTCTAAGAACGCTCGACGACGGACAGCGAGCAGCAACCGCAGTGCACTACCAGCTACTACCTACTGACAGCCAATTGGCAAATGCACAATGCTGACCGCGGCTGACGCTTGACACGGAAATCGAAAAAACTAATCCGAGGCATCAAAATTGGACTGATAAGCGTTATCAATAATATCTGTCGTAGTGCGTTGCAGCGCTACCTAGTAGGATCGATAAAATATGATGATTGATTCGCTGTTGTAGCCTGTAATAATAAAAACTAATAATATTATATTATTATTATTATATACCTTGCTTTATTGTCAAGAAATGTGCCCCTACAGGCTACAGCTGTTGCTATTGTCCGTACACGACGACCACTGACATGCAGGCGCAACTAGGAGGACTTGAGCACCTCCAGACTCACAATTAGCAACACCCAAAAATTCAATTGCCAATTTTCGATTTGTACGCATAAACTTTTAATAATATACTCTGTTCATACATTGTGATTTACGTATAATATTCAATCCATGATTGAAATATTTTTTTAATTTTATATCTAACGGTTTGAAGACAAGAATTATGTTTAGTCAAATATACATAGTTTTAGCACCGTTAAAATGTAGGTCTATAGTTGCGCCTATGGTCCTGATTGTCAAATGATTGCATTGTGCAATGACGTCGCGTTAAGCTAACCAACAATAATAACAATAATTATAATATTAAAAATCAAATCAAATACGTTAAGAGAGCATGACGGAGAACACTGGCCATAGTGTCTGTAGGTATATAATAACGACGGCCATGAAAAATTTGTATGTACCTACATAGATAAAACTTCTAACAATGTATTAGGGCCGTGGTTGAAATTATTGACAATTTATAATATACGACGATGTCCAATAGTTTGCATTCGGTCAGGCAGTTTACAACAAACTATATTATGATTTATATGTACCAAAAATGAACACCAAAAATGCCTGATACAAATTAGATGATGCTCACCTATAGCATTTAATTAATAATAATAGTTCAGTGAACCTAAACCCGGGTTTCATTTTAAATTGCCTTAATAAATTTTAGAGTTATATAAGAATTTAATTTAATTTATTAATTTATTTTATTTTAATGTAGTTTTGAATTTAGTTTAAACTGGTTATCGCCAAATCAACATTTTTGATACATAATGTACTTGATTTAAAAAAAAAAATGAATAAAACGTGTAAATGAGTTATACCACTTAGATTTCAAAAGATGAAATATTATAATATTGCAAATAAAATTATTTTTTAAAATACCCCATTTTTAAAATATGCGTCATGAAAATATTTTCAAAAAGAAAAACTACAAATTTGCAATTATAAGTGGCCTATCTTAACGGGTAATTTTTTATTTTGATAATAAAAAAAAAAATTATGTTAATAACTAAATTTTTAAAGTTTCTTAGTATAATACCTAATAGTGTAAATTATACAAACAAATATATTGTCCTAAACAGCTGTTTTCCTACATATTGTAATATATTGTCCTGAAGCTTGTCAATGATTATTTATAATAAAATAATCATTAACACCTGCCCAACCAATACATCAGAAATATTAGTTTATTCATAATTATTATTTATTATGTAACATGTTAGGTATGTGCGTGTATAATTTAATAAATTTAACACTTTATTAAAATTAAGTGGACAAATTACAAATCTCATGTGCCACTGAAATCTGAATAATCATATTTTAACTTATTAAACGTTTGTAAATATTCCATAAATCTTTATAATTATAACTTTACCTATTGTTTTTTGGGTTCAAAATAATAATAAAATCTTTGCGTCGATACTGTTAGGATTTCATTCGTTTTACCGTGTGCTGAAAAAAACAAAAACCGTTGTTCTTATTTGTTAAATACACGGTTTTACTGAAAATCCATAAAAAAATTGTACGTTTACTATTGTAACAGCTGTACAAAATTGTACAGATAAAATTATTTATTAATACAGCTTTATACTAGAACTTTATATACTTTATACACTGTACAAATAGAATTCCTAGTAAATGGTGTACCTATACAAGCATTTGTATAAATTGTAACTAAATAATAAATATTAATATCAATGTACTATCATACAGTTATTTTGTTTAATAATTAACCCAACCGCGAAATAATTAGCACTAAAATATGTCGAAATGTGGTCTGTGAATTTACACCACATAGCGGTATAAGTATAAGGCAGTCCCCTTCCCCTCTGTACTTAAATGTAATAATGTGCAGAAGAGAAATAGGTTTATACTACTGTTTTAAGTTCTTTACTCTAAAAAATATGAGATAAATTGCGTTGTACAACAGTAAAAAAATTATATTTACTATCGGATTTTCCTAGCATTAGGGACTGTTTACCGGTTTTAACAATTATTTATAATTAGTGATTTTTTTTTATTTGTACAAGAAGTAGGTACCGATAAATATACACATGATAATTAGCATATGAATAGTTAATCGGCATTAATATTTAAAATGTTCACAGTTCATACGTACTGAACACCTAAACTATTTTATATATATTTTATAACTAATAGAACATTAAACAAAAAACTCATAAATAATTAAAAGAGCCCGTATGTGTACAAGTATATATTTATAGTCTGTAAATAGTAGCAGTATTACATAGACTACGTTAGACATAATATTATTAATTTGCAAGTTAAGTCGTTAAGAAGTCGTTATGACATTACTGGACGATTATTTGTACGGCAAACCACTATAACCAATTAAAATGTTGTAGATGGCCATAGAGTTTTTAGGCACTTATTATACTCTATATGTTATTATATGTACAGATATACAGCATAATATCCACACTCGACAGTATGATAGTAAAAATTTAATATTTAACTACAAAAATATATAATAATATGCTGTACAGTATTGCTCACATGATTGCCAACGTTCGATAATGAATACGGCACTAAAAGAAGAAGATGTTGACAATATTATAATATTGTTTATTTCCATTTTGACGCTAATCTACAAGTAGGTGTTATAAAAGCTTTTACATGTTTGTCTACGCATCAAATAGTTCATAATTGTGGTAATTAGAGTGGCCGTATTTACTATATAAATATGATTATTTTTATAAAATAAAAAACAAATTTCTCAGCTCATGCAGCCCCCTATTTTACGTTCACCGTCAGTAAGCTAATGTATTGCTCTTATTAAAAGACCTTGATTAAATTTCAGATAAACTCCATGCTATTTTTATACATTTTTTTTTTTGCTTAAACAATGAAAAATCTTTACATGACTTTCAAAACTCAAGGCCTCTTACGGTTTCCCGCCAAACAAATTATACACTCGCGGTTATAAAAACAAATTTCGCTGAGAAAAATAAGTATTCTTTTAAAAAAAAAAAATAACAATAAGAATCAATTTATTATATAACTATACAAATTCGCTTAAAGAATAACCAAAGCGACTGAGTCTAATAATTTAACTTAAACTCACATAAAATTGTGAGATTAATCGCTATTTGGATCCAAGTTAGTGGTGTGCAACCAGAGATAGTAACTCTTGAACAAATGTTTTATACATATTATGACTAATTTCAATTAAAATGTTTTTTTAGATAAAAATGCCAATGAAGTAACATTTTATAAGACACTAAAGAAATTATTGTTATAGTTCTAAGAGCGTGTCTTATTAGAACCACCTTGGCGTGTAAAAGTGCTATGAAGTGTTTCAGAACTTTATCCGATATAGGTAGTTCATTTACCACTGAGCTTAAAAGTTGCAATAAATGTTAAACGAATAAAAAGTTAAAACAATGGGTTTTTTTTTTAATAGATGGCCCCAAAAGTTCATGGTAGCCACTCCTATTACAAATGTAGGTATTGCTCAGTCTGTTGATATTTCCATTACAAAACACATATCATGTATAAATTATAATATTTTAGACCTGCTGTGTCGTTGCAAGAGTTAACCAAGCATCAATTTTGGGACCGAAAGGATGTCTAAAAACTTCATATTGTTCATTAATGCGTTCGAATCTCGATTATGGTGTCCATATTATGGAATTCATCTCGGCCGAATCGCTTAAGTCGTTGGTATGAAGTGAAACCCATTCCTGTGATTGATGTCGTTAAAGTATGATTGTCTGGGTCTTCCTCTTGGTCGTTTCCCCATAATCTTCCCATCTTGCTTCAGTATAGAAACAAAAAGGTGGTGTTGGAATTTGCGAGTTCAATAGTTTCAATGGACCTGTAAAAATTGCCTGCTTCGAATTTCTACTAGCGTTGATTTTGACTTTAATTTACAGAGTAAAATTGTACACTTAAGTTTTTAGGGATTCATTTTAATGAAACTGAAAATTTAGACATTCCAAATATAAATGCAAATTTTTGTGTCGGTTCTTCGTGGAAATTGGAATGACCCAATAAAAATGTTGTTGTTTTGAAATTGTTTTTTGTTTTAAATTAACTACCTATGTGTCTGACTAAAAATGTCTGATAGCACTAGGCTCTAACTGTTAAGCCCTATAAAATAGTTATTCATTACACGGTAATGTGTTTTTGATTTTTGTTTTAACAGTGTCTAGACGTTCGATAAATATATAGGTATTCCAAACCGTTGAACAGCTTTCTTCAATTATTAGGCGCAAGTCTGTATAGATCAGAATCGTAACAGAAATTAGGCCAAAAAATTTAGAAAATGCCTTTCAAAACGTCGAATTAACCAAAACTTATTTTTAACCCTTTCCCAAAAAAAGGGTGGAAAATTTTTTTTTTGTTTCACTTTTTTAGGCATAGTTTTAGGGCAAAGGTTGTTTTTTATAAAACTTAAATTTCAATTACAGAAATTATTATAATTAAAAGTGCTAAAATAACTTTTAAATAAACGCTTCGAACCTGTGGATAGTAGGTTCAAACCAAGCACAGTAAGACAGTATTACACTTAAGCGTGAGTAATAATAGTGAGTAGTCTTTATTTACCTATTGAACAATAATAGAAATACATTTTTTACATAAATACCTCAACTATCATATTTATTTATTGTATTCATTTTGCATACAGATTGTAAATTATATTATATTTTAATAAAAAAAAAGAAAGAAATTAACCTTGAGATAAGAACATCAAAAACAAAAACTTAGACTATAATTACTTTATACCGACATAGTTATAGAATTCTATCTAGATAGGGTAGTTTAATCACTTGTTATATTTTTTTCAAAAGCGATTGATGTACCGCTAAAAAAAAAAAGTAAGTCAATTACTTAAACAAGGTAAGTCAACCGGACCGGAGATAACGCACAATCGTATGGAATGACATGTGGTGTGTACTGTTTAGACTTAAAATGTGACAGCCTTCAACGTTAATAATAATTGTGCTTAATACTTCCTGCTTATGACGTTATTCTTCGACACGGTTGTACGACAAGAATAACCTAACGGATATAGGTACATAGATATCATAGGTACATGTCAGTTAAACACAGTACATCAACATACATTTTTATGTATGTTATTTGGTCCGATACGTTTGAATTTTTTTTTTTTTAAGAAATAACATCATATAAATGATTGGAGTTGTACTGGTTAAGACAATAGTCATTCGTTGCCATGGATCCTGTGAACATCGATAGATCCTATGGTGTAGAATACATTCCTCAAAGAGGTAGCAGGTAAGCTTTATTTACTTTTAGACAATCACTGTCCATTTCAGAAAATAAAACGATTATCCAATCTCAAATCGATCCGCACATTAAATTATACTACTTTTAGTCATAAATTATAACACCTCATAATTGGAAGCGAGCGGTTCTTAAGGAGTTTTATATAGACAACAATAGCTAAGAAAAAAAAGTTTTTTCCGGTTAATCTGAATAGGGTTCAAGGTGTTAATTTTGGTTAACATACATTTTTTTCTACGTGTAGAAGCCGTTTGGGTTTATTTTAGACCTATAAAATTATCTGACAAAATTAAGCCTACTCAGATTTCAATTTTCTAAAGAGATTCGAGTTCTTTGACTACTTTACTGGATTTTCATTGGTTTCAATCGCCTTAATAAAACATTTTCACAATAATATGTCCGCTGTAAATCTATAAAGATAGACAAGGCCGTGTACACGTTACGACCATAATATTCTAAAATTATACTCCCAAATATAAAGCTATATTAAGATGCATAAACAATAAGATATTTATATATTTTTTTCCACGCATAATGAGTTTAAAAAGTTTAAACTAAACATAATTCACAGGCGTGTTCCGCCGGCAGGTAACAATGGAGATTGTTACTACCTACTTCTTAGGTTTTTGATAATATCATCTAATAAAAATAAAAATTTTTGAAAATAAGAAATAATAAAAACGATGAAAAGATTGATGAAAGGATTCTGCTAGTACCCAAAAGTGGTACCTTTACTAGTGAGTGTTTATTTTGTTTTTTAGCTATAATTTACAAATTTAGAACCTAACCTCAACTTTGGTGGTTTATAAGCAAAAATCCATCTTTAATCCGAGTGATGCTTAAACAAAAGTATTTTGTACGTACTTTGGTTAGGTCGTTAAAATAGAGATGGAGGAATTTTAACCGTTAAAAAAAAACTAAACTAAAAATTATGATGTTTTTGATGTTTTAACCCGACTTGCAATAAGTATCTGAAATAGATTCCCACTGAGGCAGCGTATACGTCATCATAATAGATGGAATTTTAGAATAGAATTTAGAATTAAAAAAAAAATGTAATACCTTTTGGTGAAAGCTAATAAAAGTGAAAAAAAAAACATTAATGTCAATCAAATTTTTTTATAATTTTGTACTTTACCAAACAAATTTCTAAACAAGAAAAAATATCGTTGAATCATTTTTTTTTCTATTGTTTTCGGTTTTTATGACGAACTTTTTAATATAAATTATAATTATAATTTATCCGGTAATTTTTGTTGAATAATTGAATAATTAACTATTGCGATGCGCATATTTTATACCGCACGTGGTTATAACGTTATATAATGTAATTTATCCATCAAATATCGACCATTAATGACTATTGCATAAACGCATATTGCATAATTTAAACAAACATTTTTTTTTTTTTTGCAGCCTAGGCCTTGAACCTTCTACGTTAATATCCATGCTGGCGTTCCTAGCTTTTCTCCTTCACGCTCTTATCATTTTGCTCATACCGACTTTGAAATCGTTTTTCGCCGGGCCCTTGTTCAACAACCATGGATACGGCGGCGGCGGTTCGTTCAACGGTGGTGGATACGGCAACGGACTGGCCGGCGGTGGATTCAACGGTGGCGGTTTTGGCGGCGGTCCCGGGTTCGGCACTGGCGGCTTTGGCGGAAGTTTCGGCTATGGAGCAATACCGTCCATCCTGGGCGGTGTCAACGGCATATTGGGCACGGGACTGTTGGGCACGACCGGTTTGCTGGGCACCGGATTGTCCGGACTGTTCGGACCCGGCGTGGCCGCGGGCAGCCTTTTGGGAGCAGGACTAGGCGGAACGGCCGGAGCGGGAACAGGAGCAGCCGGTTTAGGAACGCCCAAATTTCGTTTAAAGAGCCGCATGGATAACGAGGTAACAATGTCAAATAAAAATAATCAAAACTGTACCATTAACCCGTTTTAAATACTTGGTAAACCGAATATTGTTATAGTATTATCATCAATGATGTAATTAATATCAATTGTAGTTAAATGATTAATACCCGCTATTAGTAAGGTTATTTTGATATATAATGGTCAGATTAAATTTCGAGAGATTCGCTAATTAAATTAGGGAATCGAAATATGATTGATAAACGCTATATTGATATTAATAATAATTTATCCGTATAAATATACAAAAATATTATACAAAACGTTTAGACTGAAGAAAATTTAGAATGAGTTTATTCGCATTATTACACTTCCTGACTTCTGTTAACTTCAAAATGCTTTTGCTCGAATAGGTACTAATATGATTCCAAAACATTTTACCAGCAACCACTCATATGGTCCATACGGGTTGCATTTTATGAAAAAATAAATTACATTATCTACAGTTTAAAAGAGGGTTATTTGTGAACAATTTGTTATTCTTCCTTATATCATTTTTTTGAGGGGGGGGGAATCCCTTTTGGAACCAATAGCATGTGATTACTAAGTGATAAATTATATTACCTAGGTAAAAAAAAAAATTGTTTTTAAAAAAGTCTTATGTCTAATAATTTAAATGTTGAATATATATCTACTATATATTATGTATAAATGAGTAAAAATTATTATTTTTTTTTTTACAGGTAATAAAACCTGATACTGAGGACACGGCCGGGATAGGACGGGCCTTAATGGCAAATAATATAGCGACAAAATGTTATTTTTTATTTTGTTTTCCTAGACAACTAAAATACAATAACAACAATGACTTATTGTTTCGCCGAATAAGAAAAAAAAGTGACTATAATATGTTAAATTCGATTTAATTAGCCGATGCTTCCCATTTTGATGTCATCCATCAATACTTATTTATCACTATTCTAAATTTTACACCACTCACATTAATTGGTGCCATGATACATTAAACTTTTTTTTTTAACAACATATTTTATCACAATATATAACTAATGGCATAATTAATTTAATTATTCTACCTACGGGTTGAGAGATATATAACATACTGCTATTAGAAAAAAAAAATTCTTCAAGTATCTGATGTGTAATCGATTTTATTTTATTATTATGAAAAAGTAAAAACACAAGACTAGTTAACCGGTATGTGCATATTTCCCTGCACCCAATAAACTAGTGCCTATAGGTATAAAAATCCACCAAGTTTTAAATTAAATAAGTCCCCCGAGTTATGTACCAATATTTCTATGGTGACTAGTTTTAGAAATAGTTTTGATGGCGTTTTCTATAATAGATTGTAATTAGAAATAAATTATTCAAAATAGTTACTATAATTATTTGTAATATTGTAAAAACTAAGCAAAAAAATATCGAAGCTTAAATAAATTTATGGTATTTAAAAAATTAGTTTTACAAAATACCTACACTACACAATGTATTTTTAACAGCTGGATCAAGTATAATAAAAATAAAAAATATTTACCGGATCACGTCAAACGTGGATTACGATTTATTTTTATTTACAAAACAACAAACGGCATATTAATATTATGTAGAAATATTATGATGATTTACGAACGACTCACAAACAAGGTAATTCATATTATTATTATTATTGTACAGCCGCATGCCCGTGGGTAATACAGTAATACTCAACAGCTGCTGGTGGCATAACAGCAGGTATCCATCAGGTATTGTAGGCTACCCAGCTAAGGTCAAGGACCAAGGTATACTACAGGTGTACACATTATCATCCAACCAGTTTTCCGTCTTACAGATTGATACTTTATGTGTTCATCTTATCGTTAAAAATTAAAAAAAATTGTTTACAATTATTGTCAATTATTACAAAACATCACACCAATACACAATACACATTTTAATAGCTGTTGATGTGTAAAAAACTTCCATACTTACGGCCGTCGACCACCGGACCTGTGTTTTTCCGTTTGACTTGACCACCGCCGGAAGTGTATGTAAACACACATTACCCAGGCAAGTACCTACTATGAACATATTATACGACGGCCATTAAAGACTATATTATTATTATATTAGTTCCTGTAGTGTTTTCCAATACACACTGTAGAAAATATTGACATTACAGCAGTTTACATCATTTTATGCAGCCGATACCATAGTAATATTAGTAAGCATTTTCCGGGCTAAACGTGTATACCGCATACTTATAATTTTTTCTATTCACATTGGAAAATTATTGATTTTTTATTATTTAAAAATACACCATTGTACGATAAATAATTAAATTTCGCGATACGACTTGTTAACTTTTCGTTTTGATTAAACTAGCCATTACACAGTTTACAATATAATATAGGTTTGTCATCATTACAGTAATGTAGACTGTAGGCTGTAGACTTAATTGCACTGTTTAAAAGCGGATAGCAATTATTAAATTAAACTTAATTTCTTTAATTGTTGATTTTTTTAAACATTTTTAACTATTAAAAAAAAATGTTTACACTTTACATACTTTACTGGTAATAATATATATATGCAAATAAGCAGATTTGCGTTCAAAAACTTATGGTAGGAACCTCAGATTACGAGGCACAAAATTTTCGGAATAAAATATTTAATATCATAATAGTATGACCTTTCTAATTTTGTTATCATATAAAACTAAATTCTATAATTAAAATTATAGTTATAGTTTTGTCTATAGTAATTATTATTGAAAATATATATCTTAAATTTCAATGTCTGATATATATGTATATTTTTTTAATTAATTGATTTTTGTTGACTGTAGTTACACTAGTATTGTTTTTTTTATATAATCTATCTAAATAAACACACATTTATATTGTACAAATATGTTTTATTATAATTATCTTTTTAACATAAAAAGTTGTTATAGTAAATTACGACTCAAATAATATAGTAATTATTATAAAACCGACCCATTTTATTTCAATCATTAAAATTTAACATCAAATAGTGATCACTAACTAATTATATAAATTTGCAAGTATACTTATATTTATAATAAAAGTGAAAAACAATTATATAATAAAATAAAATGTATTAACTACAAATAAACAATATTAGTCTCATAAGTATAATAGTTTATTGAAATTTACTTGGTATTACTAATAACTAATAATAAAATGTTTTTGAATTGAAACTACTCATCAGAGAAAGAAAACATTTTATTTTAATAATTACGTTATTATTATCTAATAAAAATAAATTAATAAATAAAACGAGTCATTCAACTGATGATACCTAATACCCAAAATTATAAATAACAAAAATAAATTGAAATGTATGGGTAAAACACATATATACAATGTTTGACATAGAAATGTTCATACTAACATTTAAATATTGCAGTCAATAAATATATAAGAAATAGCAAATTACCACTAACATATAATGTAGTGTTAACATTATACATGTATATGTATATTTATCATACTTTTTGTTACCCAATAAAAAAAAAAAGGTAAATATCAGTATTTTTTTTTTTTTTATAGTAAATTTCAATTTCAATTTAACTTGATTAAATTATTTATATAAAAAGAGTACTTTTATAACAATTATAAATATCATTAAAAATTATAATATATACTCAAGTAATTAAAACTTGAACACAAAATAAGATTGCTTGATTGATTAAAAAAAAAAACAATTACTGGACAAATTTATTCTAACACATGCGAGTGACCTTACGAGCAATTATTTTTATCGTTATTGAAAAAAATACATTTTGAATAATAGGGAATAAATTAACTCTATAAACAAATATGAACCTCTAAGATAATGTTAGACAAGTAAACTTAACATCTTGAAGTATTAGTGTGATATTACAATATTTGTCGTGCCAGTAAAAACCTTATACAGAAAGTGAACATTATATAATATTCTTGTAACAAAAATCAGCCATGTCAGATTCCCTTTGTGGGTAGTTGTTTTAAAATAATTAAGCTAAAAAAAAAAAATTGTACAAAGAACCAAATTAAAAAAAAAAAATACCTGTATGAGCTACAAATAAAAATTTGTAAAAATAAAAATTAAGTAAAAAATTATTTCTAGTACAATTTCTATTAGGACCTCTATGATTTTAGTTTTTTGACTACCGATATTTTCAAAAATGTTTATAATAATAATATAATAAAATAACATAAATATTTTTTTTTTTTTTACCAAACCTTGCCAAGGCACAGTAAATGTAACTAAAGAGAAAAAAGTAAATTTAGTTATTTCAAGCGTTGAGGTTATCTACAGCGTCTTTTAAATAACGTTGTAAGCTGTTTTGGCACTCTTCACTAATCCATTGTTGTACTATGATGAGCGTTTCCGACTCTAGTGCTTTAGCCAGTTTATCTTTGGTTTCTTGTTTTTGAAGGGCTTTAGTCATTTGTATTGCCTAAAAAAAAAAAATAATAATTCATAATCGAATAATTTTACTTTTACAGACTGCTGACATTGAGAGAAATTAAAAGTGTCTCAACAAACGATGGGAATTATTTATATTATTTATACATTGACTGTTTTAATTAATGTATACGAAGCAATTGAATTTACTTCGGTGGTATCGAGTAAACTAAACAACGCAATATTCTTATATCCAGGACAGGTAAATTATTACAATTTTACAAAAGTTGATTAGGTAACGTAAATCTAAAACGTTTGAATATTACATGCTCAGGCTAAAAGCGAACGAGATTTGAACATATGTGAACAATATAGCGTGTGCAACATTGTACACCACAGATTTTGGTTTCCGCCTCAAATCGAACGTTTATGTAAATGTCCAAATCGTGAAGAATGTCCATGGAAATGGACCACAGACGATAATCATACGATGCCACTAGATAACCGCTCTCAACTCAAGGTTCTACGGGAAACCGATTTATTTATACACAAAAATGATATGACGTACTATAATAATTTATATGTATACAATTTTACTTAAAGTTTTGCGAGCCAGTAAATGAATTACCGGATTGCACAAAGAAAGTCGGCGAGTCGATTACAATTGAACGAAGTAAAGAAGATAACAATGTTCAAATTAAAGGGAAAGTACAATGCAATTGCCCCAAGCATACAACCTGGGAATTGATAAGACACGAACAAAACGATCACCATAACACCACTACTGACAAAAGTTTTGTTAAAGACTTATTTAAATGTATAAAGGTAAACAACTTTTATTATAAAAAAAAAATATATATATATATATCTAAAAGACTTTATTTTTATTTTCAGCTGAGCGATTGTAATATGGGCGATTTTTGCGGACATATAAGGACTGATTACATATCAACATATACTAAATGTACCTGTCCTTACGGTAGTTTATGTTTACATAAAGACAGAACCGAAGTACCAGCGTACGAAATGTTTTTCTACGGACAATCATTCAGAGCCGAGTGCATACCATTTCCGACAAATGCAAAATTAAACGAAGTCTGATTAAAAAAAATTAATATTAATAGGTTATTTTTTCAACACTATTATTTTATAAAAATAATTTTATGAATTTTTAAAGACTAACTAAATTAGAAAAAGTTGCCATACAACATTTTGTTATTTTTATAATAATATTAAAGTTCTTTTACACAACACAAATGACTTACTTGTGACGATTGTCTAGCCAACGCTTTGACCAACGGCACTAACTCATCGTGAAATCGATCAGGCCAAAGTGTCCTAGTAACTAAGCCATAATAGTGGGCTTGACCTGCAGTCAGTCTCTGACTGCCCATGATCATTTCGGCAACCAAAAGTCTACTCAAAATAGTTGTAGCTGCACCCTCTGCGATATGACCAAGTTGTGCATACGGCGCTTCAAAAGTTGCTTTATCGCTAGCAAATACTAAATCGAAATGGGCCAACATTGTTGCGCCAAGTCCAACAGCAGCACCATCCACCCCGGCGACAAGTAATTTAGGGAAATTACTTAAGCAAGTGATAAACTTCCTAAAAAGTAAATAATAATTTTCATGTTATTTATATAATATATTGTTGTCATATCACCAATATTGTATTTAAAATTAAAAATCCAAATTGTGTATGCTTTTAGAAATTTAAAACTTTGTACTTGTAGACGTTACCGAGAATATCAGTTTCCAAATAAAAAAAATGTATTTTTTCCTTATGATATTAGTAGTTCCGGTGCAAATACTTTTTTTTTATAAAATATAATAGAATAGATTGTCGTAGTGAACGTTCGCATTTTATAGAAAAACAGGTGTATACTTGTAAATCGGAATTTCTAATAAAAGAAATTAGTTGAAACAAATAGATTTTATCTAATGTTTGTACATTAGACATCTTGAAGTAGAAAACTTGTTATTATGAAATTAGTATGAAAAAATACACACAATATAAAATCAGTATTTATAAAACAACATTTTTTGTAAATTTTAAAGTTTTCAATCCTTCTTTTATTGGGGAGGGGTGGGAACTTGCGCTGTAGTCCATTGTAGACTTACTTGATGGTCGATGCAATTTCAATAGCTGTATTTTGACAACCTATCTGGTTATTGTTGATAAGTGGAGCTATATCAAGACCTTGGCAAAATATTCTACCAGCTGATGATATTAAAACTACATTGCAAGAGTCTTCTTTTTCTAAGATATGCAGCTCACTCATCAGTTCTTCCATTACCTAAAAAATGTTAATCTAATTTAAAACTATTTTTTTATAATAAGGCTTGAAAATTTGTTGTTTTTTTTTTAATAACTATAAATAGTTTTCTATTCTAAAATATGTTTACCTCCAATTTTTTTGGTGGGAAACCTGACATACAGAATACGTTTTAATTGGGTTGTGATTGTTTTAAAGCCAAAATACCTTCAATAAAAATTAAAGAGAACAACATTTCAAAGATAATGACATCCTTTTTTCAACCCTACGTATTTAGCCAAAAAATAAATACACTGAAAACTAACATGACATACTCTCTTCTAAAATATTATGATCGTACAACTTATTAGTAGGTATTTCCGCTCTAAAGCCGCCAAGAAAACTAAGGAAAACACATTCTCGTACGTATGTTTAAATAGTTACGAGAAATAGTTGAAAATGTTGCCAATCCAAATTGTAATTAAAACTTACAGAAATATTTAATGCATTTTTCATGACCGTCGACACTGGTGTCAATGTTATATGCACAACCCCATCGTAACGCCTTATGGTAATTTCACTGTATTTTGTATTTTCAACTTCTTGTTTAATACTTGCAGTTAGCGATTCTATTGAGACATAAAAATTGTTATTATTACAATACACAACTAAGTCAAATAAATTTTACAGTCTTACTTGATGATTTTACAGTTGTTGGTGTAGAGGGTTCTTTTTTCACCTTCAAATTCGAATTTTTAGTCTTGGCAAAGATTTTGTTTGGTCCATTGTGTACGTCAGGAAGTGTTATTAGAGAATGATCTGCTGTGAATGAATCCAAAGAATTTTTATTTTTCCTAGTATACACTCGCAATGTTTTAACTGGAGCTGGTGTTGAACTTATAGGATTGATTGGTATAGCATCAGGAACTGGAAGTAAAGGACTACCGCCAATACTGGACGCTTCACTACTAGATGAATGTTTTCTGATAATTTTAGATTCGTCAGCCGGAATAATTTTTCTGCCAGAGAAGTTAGTCAAACATTTGATAGACTGATCAGAACCTTGAGAATCGACTGAAATTTTCCTAGAACATTTTTCTACTGGCGAAACAGTGGGAGTTACGTCTGAACGCCTGCCCAGCCGACTATTAGACGTAGATGAACTGTTTGGAGAACTCATTTTCAGCATAGCATTTTTCACAAGTTTAGTTTTTAACATCAAGTCTTTTTTCTTACGTCTAGTAGACGGAAGGACATCTTTCGAATTATTATTTCCTTGGGTTCTTCTTTTCTCGAGAGAATATATCATATTTATTGCACCTTCATCTCCTAAGAGACGATTTATTTCTCTCATAGTTCTCGCTTTAGCCACGTTATTCGACAATGTCTTAGTATCTTCTTTTTCAACATTATCACTATTTTCAAGCTGAATCTCATCATTTTCTTCAGGCTCTGCTTTGACAGATTGACGTTTATCAGTATACGATTTTATATATTGATCAATAGCAATTTTAACTTCAGGTACATCATCGGTAGGTTTTTTACGTTTTTGTGCAGAGCCCACATCGTTTTTAACCAGAACTTTTTTATCAGTTTCTGTTTTTCTTTTAATAAAATGCGAGTCGAAACGTTTTGGTCTTGAAACTTCTTCAAGTTGTTTTAAAGCAATCTGTTTTTCAATTTCTGGATCCAATTTAGGTTTAGATCGTTTAGCTCTAGCATTATTCCTTACAATTTTCCTTTTAACAGGACATTTTACAATGGGTTTAGATTCTGGCACTTTGTTACCATTTGTGTCAGCCGTTTCTATGGTTTCAAAATCTTCAAGTATAGCAATCAGTTCTTCGTTTGATGAAATCTTTCCATCATTTTTGTCTTCAGTTACATTCGACTCTTCAGACTGTTCCAGGCGTTTTAATGTATTAGTGATCAAGTCAATATGCTGTGAGTTATTTATCTGAGTAGCCGCCTTAGGTGTATCTTCCGATACTTCAATAATTTGAACTCCACTCAAGTCATTTTCTCCAATTTTGGTTACTTCTGCGGGCTTATCTAATTTTTTTTTGGTTTGTTCTTTTTTAATGTTGTTGACGTTTTTTAAATCATTATTAGACTTCTTATTTGTTTCTTTGGACTTTTCGTCTGGGGTTTTTAGAGGAGAAATTTTATTAGCTAATCTATGAGTCAATTTCATAGAAAAAAGTTTATCGGGTTTGTCGACTCTAGTCATTGGATATTTTTGTTGAAACCTTTCAAACAGTTCTTTAGCGATTTCGTCTTGTGTTACTATTTGACTTGTCATATGAATATAAGGCACTTTAACACCGAATCTCGGTTTCAACATACGCTTACCTGAGCGTGGAAGTTTTTCTTCAGTCAATGAAGAAACATCTCGTCCTGCAATATGGGGAGGTATAGTTATGGAAACTTTTTCTTTTCTCACAGGTTTTGGTTCGTCGTCCTTTTTAGCCGTTTCTTCATCATCCTTGTTGTTTGATTCATCAAGTTTGTCAGTCTTAGTCTTCAGCTGTGTAGTTTTGTTTAAAATGTTTTCAGGTCCATTAGCCGAGTCTTCAACATTATTTGCCAACTCCATCTTTTCATCTAATTCGCCGTTTTCAATTACAACCGAATCATTAATCGTTTCTACATTTAACACTTCAGATACATTGTTTTCTTGAACAGTAACAGTGCCAGATTGTTCGCCATTATGAACATCGCCAGGGAGTTCTTCGCCGACCACAACAGCAGTTTCGGTATTATCAGAAGACCCAGTATCAACTGCCTGGCCATTAACTGACATATCGCTACTTATTTCAACAATTTCCATTTGGTTGGTGCTCATATCATCATTATTTTCTGCATCAATACTATCCGTAGAAACTTCTTCAGCTTCCTGTGGGTCATCCAAATTGTTTACCTTATCAAGGTCTAAAAGTACAACTTCTTCGCCGTCAGAGTGACACTGGAAATCTTTGACTTCGACCACTTCCATGGCATTTATATTTTAACTGGGCCGGTCGAAAATACGCGGATTTATCTGAAGAAAAAGAACAAATAAACCTAATGTCAATGCTCGACAATACGATATTGTCACAACCCAAGACCCCCAGCAGCAATATTCTATTACTGCACCCTGCGCGTTTAACAGATAAGAAGAACTTGACAACACTCACCGTTTCCAGAAACCGGTTAATTTGAACAATAATGCACCGACAAGAATTGAATTTCGAACAGAATTATCGCCTAACTAATTTGCCATCGTTATTTACCACCATCAACAGCGGAAACGTCGCGGTATAACATGTAAAAAGGATTGAGCTATCAATTTTTGTAAATTCATAATCATCACAAGACCAATTGTAAAAACGCCATTTTATAACTACGGCGACTACACTATAGTAGATGATCAGTGATCACACATAAACATTAAACGCACACACGCACGTACGAACCACTATAACATATTTTCACAGTCTACAGTCTACGCACGATAGCTGTTCATAGAGATAAATAGTAAAAACTAAAATTTAACATAGAGCGCCGTGGCACACATGTTGCACACGTCAATCGTTAGGTTGGTAGCCCTTGCTGCATTACACATTGGTCACTGTAGATAACGCGGCAATCGGGCAATATTATTGTAACACCTATAAAAAAATATATATGGTTCTGAGTTCACTGAAAAATCTACCGAACTTTCCGTAGAAAAGAAAATAACTTTTACCGAATATTGAATTGTGATTTTTTAAATAAAACCAGGTATTTTTTTGTTATGTATACACGGTGAAAAAAATGGTAATAATGTCGAATTATTTTGTATTTTTTTTTTTTTAAGGAGAATGAGAGTGTCTTTATTCGAATTAATTCTGTAGAAGATTTCCCGCGTAATAAAAAATAACCATTATATATTTGATCGTTTTCAAGTTACAAATTTTGAGTGAATCTTCCTCAATGTTAGTGCATTTGCATGGATGAACTTGGAAGAGACTGAGATGTACGATTTCTTTTTTTAATTTAGAATTAACTCTCGAGTTATTCGATACACGTCATGAATTATCCACATATTTGGAAACATAAAGTCAACGGGTATATTCATACCTGCTAATTTATCAAAATCGAAAAACCTTTGATAATCTGTTAAGAAGGCGTCGTCCCGGTGATTTTCAGTGGTAAAAACATGTTTAAGCAGACTGAAACTAACTCGCTTAATTTTAGTTTTAGAGTAAAAGCATCCATTATAAAATTATAAGAGAATAATATTCCAGAGGGCTAGGCGGTGCATTTTTAAAAAAAAATTATTTTTTTTGAAAAGTTAGTCATTTAAAAATGTTAAAATAGTTGTTACTTCTAGACTATGTATTGAGCGTTATACTTGGAATAATGAAAAAAGCGCACCGTCTTGCCCTCCAAAATTGTGTTCTCTTTTAATTTTATAATGGGTGCTTTTACTCTAAAACCAAAATTAAGCGAGTTATTTTCAGTCTGTTTAAACATGTAGAGATGAAAAAACATTTTTAAATCGCTTTCAAGGATGCTGTGATAGTCCGAAAAATAAATTAACTACCAAAATAGAGTCCTAGTTGTTGAACCAATAGTTACACATCACAGTTTAGCATTTAAATTAAGATTTTGTGAAAAATTGCCTATACTTTACTCCTTAAAAATAGGCGTTGCAACGCCCTCTTAAGAGGACGTTATACAGCTAATTTCCTGGTTTAAGATCTAGGAACAGAATATGTTTTACTCGTTTCGTACCTAATGGATTTATAGTGAAAATAGCTATTGAACGGGGGATACTTTTTGCCTTTTGGAGGGAATTTCATAATAATTTGTTTTAAATAGATATCGCCTAAAAAAGTTAATGTTTATCATTCTTTTTTAAAAAGTAAAAATGCCTTTTTTCATCTACACATTAAATGATGAATTTATTGAAAATTTCAAATGGAATTTCCTACAAAATGTCAAGATCTTTCGATTTCATAATAGGTGCTCTAAAACTAACATAGACCGTTTCAAACGCAATCTACGTGTATCTATCGTTATGTTTTGGTTTAAAAATAATGTAAAACGTCATTGATAGCCATTAATATGAAAAAAAATTAACTACTTATGAAGATTGTAATACTAATAAATGAAAGGTATAGAGAAAAAACCAGAACAGTTAGTTTTTATTAATCTAAGAATAACAATTTTTAATTAATACTAAAAATGTTTTAACAATTACTTATAAACTTTTAAAAAAATATTAAAGTTTCGTTTTTAATCATGTTTAAGATAAGAAACACAATCGTTTCGCATTAAACGATTTTTTTAACAACAAAACGGCCATTTTTAAAAAAATGATTTGCCTGTTTTTTTCCTGTACCCTTCAAAATATGTATATTGTGTACAATGCCGAATGCACTGAACTCAATAAAATATTATAATATTATTTATCGAGTTCAGTGGTACAATAGTTATTTATCTTCAACTATTAGAAATAAATTGCCTATGCTGAACTCCTTAATAAATGAGTAACATAACATCTCTAGTATAGACCTTTAAAGATAGGTCTTTATAGATCTATGATTAAAATGTCATACAAAATGCAGAATTCTACGTATTATTACCTAAATACCGTACAACTATAATTTATTAATAAATATTATTATTATTTTTTTTTTTAACAATATTATGTTTAAATAATTATTGTTATACTACTGTTCTTAAATTTGTAAAATTTAAATCATTTGCAATTGCTTGTTGGTACGATGTGACTGCACTGTAATGTGTAAGAATACAATAAATAATAATTCCTCTGGTGATTAGTATTAGAACTATAATATTTTATATTTTATATATATATAAGTAACCATTGAAGGCTGATAAGGTCGTATGATTACCGTGTGTTTTGTGAACCATGTTACGCCAAGTCGCAACACTCAAATGATCAAAGTGTTCTGAATTCACAGTGTTATGGTTGAAAGAAAAAGATTTCATGTTTCCTTCCAAAAGTTTTTATAATTTATACATTGTAATGTTGTTATGGAGTGGTTGTTCATATTAGCGTCAATAGCTACATCGTTTATTATTGTAATATTCTTCATTTTTATTGGTGAGTATTATTCTAACTAAGAAACAAGTCTGAAATCACACAACGTCCTTAGTAAAATTAATGTGCTCTACTTTGCTCGACTGTGTCTTATTTTCTGATTTTCGCAGAAGGGAAATACTTAATAATTTACCCATGGTGCTTGAACGCCAATCTTGTACGACTAATTAATATTAATTATATTCTTATTCTCAAATGATCTATTTTTTGTTCTGTGTACTGTGCTAACAATGAACAAGCGATTTGAATAGACACAGTAGTTAAAACTGAACACCTTTTATGGATATGAACTTTGAAGTAATAACTTGATACTAAACCTCCTCCCGTTAATCTTTAATATAATATTTTAATGTTAAAACACGAACAAAAAAATTTGTGATTATTCACAATGGTTGTTTTTACCTATGTACCTTAAAAGCTTATACTCGCATTAATTTTTAGGTTGGTGCTTAGTTTGGAAACTTTATTTGTCAAAATTCAAATTGGTACGTGAAATATTTTCTCAACAAGCACCCGAGGTTGAAAACTCAAGCAAGACTTGTAAGGAAAGTTGAGTTACTGCCAGAAAAAATGAATATCCGTTGTGCTAAACCCGAGGACCTAATGAACATGCAGCATTGCAATTTGCTGTGTCTTCCAGAAAATTACCAGATGAAGTATTATTTTTATCATGGACTATCGTGGCCGCAGCTAAGTTACGTTGGGGAAGATGAAAAAGGGAATATTGTAGGATATGTGTTGGCCAAAATGGAGGAGGATTGTGAAGATAATCCTCATGGTCACATTACTTCCCTAGCGGTAAAACGGTCTCATAGGAGGTTAGGACTTGCTCAAAAACTAATGGATCAAGCGGCAAGAGCTATGGTTGAGTGTTTTCAAGCCAAATACGTGTCATTGCATGTGCGTAAAAGTAACAGGGCTGCATTAAATTTGTACACCAATACATTGAAGTTTACCATATCTGAAATTGAACCTAAGTATTATGCTGACGGAGAAGATGCGTATGCTATGAAAAAAGATTTATCTCATTTGACACTTTTATGTGCCGATGATGATATTCCAAGCAGTGATACTCTTTCTAATGCTGTGAAAAAAATTGAAATTGATTCTAAATAATATTACTTAATAAATTCTATAATACCATATATTTTGAAAGTTTGTTTTTATTCGCCTAAAATAAATCTTAATTAAAGATATTATATGCTAATTGCTTAAAACTATGTTTCAATTGTTTAATTTATTACTCGTGGCCTAAGCAAACTGTGTGTGGGTCGTCTGAATTTCTCGTGTGTCCAATTAGCCCTGACATCGACATGCCTTTGTGTTATCTGAGCTATTTACCACAATGGGTAGTATTCATGTGTAATTTATAATCGTCACAACGTTGCTATCACCCCGTTTCCGTGCTCCATTTTTACTAAATCCATTAATTATTGCTACGTAATAGGTTTAAAATCAACGAATTCCAAAATTGTATCTTTTTTTAGAACACTTTATTGTAATAAATGACAATAACTATCTAATGTATATCAAAAAATAAAATACTAAATGGACTTGAATGTACATTCAAACTAAAAATTTTACTTTTACAATCTAAATTCAATATATTTGAAAAATAACACTAAAACATTAAATATATATAATATTTCACAACATGTTATGTACTTAAAATGTATTATAAACAGAACTATAAACTATTGTATTATCAAAATTAGTACAAATATTATGTAAAAAAAACAAATACTACCTTCGAGTTAAACTCCCTTATAATAGATTTCAATTATAAAATTTTTGTAAAAAAAGTTAAGCTATTTTTTATTTCTAAAAAATTGTTAAACAAACCGTTGAGAGCCGAAGTGGTGGAAGTCACGAAAGTTTAAAGTCAAGAAATAAAAATTTAGAAGTATGAATGCTGTACATGTATTTAAAAATAATGTAATAGTTCATTTGCCAATTTCACAGGCAATAGACTGATGGTAGAATTATCATCCGGTGGTGATATTTCAGATTGTAAGAAAACGTGTCTTACACTACTTTTACTCTCGACGGCTTATATATATTATAATTGTTGACACATACAACATATTATTAACCACAAATACTTAAATAAATGTTTACAATTTAGTAAATTTAGTATAAATAAGAGTTGTTTAAAAACATAGGAACACTTAAATCACAGAATCAAACAAAAATACAATAAAAAGTGAGAAATATTTAAAAAAGACTATATTTTTCAAAAAATAAAAAGTAACACACAAAATACTAAATAAAAATTGGGCAAAATAAAATACAAATGCAAATGGTTTTGTATAAAAAAAATGCATTTTTTTTGTCATGCAATGGAAACTATAAGTTTAAAGAAATACAAATAGAAAATATTAGAGTCCTAACTTTAAAACATTAAAAAAAACTTTTTAACCAATCGAATGTGAAACACATTTTAAATTATTTTTATCGATGTAATACGTCAATAAAACATTTAAAAATCATATTAAATATTAGGTATATATTATAAAAACTAACTATTATGCATACATACCAATTTATATTGGTTTAAAACATGTATACTATTTAAACTCTATTATTGAAAGTAGGAAAAATCTTTAATTCTAATGTGGTTAACGAATCATTTATAGGTTTCGTGTACGAGGCAATTTAAGGCAATTTACGAGGTAATTTAAAAAATTTTGATACCATCATTATAACGTAATTTTTTATCGATAATTATATCAAACGTTATTTTTAGAATAAATCAAATTTCATGATTACAATATCTTAATGAGTTTTAACCAATTATAAATTGTTAAGGCTATACTACTTATACTTATATTATCCTTTTTCGTAAACATAAAGATTAGTTTTTATAAGTATTTATAATATTGTTATTTAGTTTAAGAAAAGAATCTATTATTATTTTAATGAGGAGCATTAACATAGACATTTTTTTTTATTGCATATTTAATTTATAACACTAGTGGCTAGTATTGTTTTTATTTTAACACAATAAATTATTTTAAGTACACAATTAGTTCCAATATTATTCTATTAGAAAAAAAATGTCGTTATATTATCACATTATTTACTACGTTCCATGCTCAATAAGAGAAATTATTAGTAATTTTAGTATTACTATATCGATATACTTAATACCATTATTGACTAGTTAAATACTGGTGATTACACATTAGAGATGTATTGGAAAAAGTAGTTTATGTATTGGCCGTTTTCAAAACAGATATTTTCAAATCGTTTGCAATATGGGAGATTTCTATAATGGAGTCTACCATTTCTTGCACAGCACCTACACTGGGAAACAACTGAGCGGCTCTTTTTGACTTTTCCACCGTCGATGAAATACATTCTGCTAATGCATTTGAACATTGTATCACATGATTTTTCACACTAGACTCTTGAACACGTTGGCATATCGTATCTCCAATTAGGACCAACTGATGCGCAATCAATATCACATATTTCACTTGTACAACGAATATCGATGGCGGTCGATTGTGCTCGACAGTTTGTAGAAACAAATGTACACAGTGAGCCAAAATATTTGTCTGGTTTATTATTTGTAGAGTGTAAAATTCATAAATCTAAACAAATAAAACATTATTCATTATTAAAAATAAAGAATATATATATATATATATATATATATATATATATATATAATATTATAATTAAATATATCTATATTAAATGTAACTCACTTCTTTGTCTTCGTCAGTAAAATTTATAGACATCTTGTTGTTGCTGTCGATTTCATATTTTTTCGATTCTACCTCACTGCTAACATACTCGTAACCGTCTTCTTTTTCTTGGGGATATAATCTTTTTTTGAACAACAGTGTAGAGTTTCCCTGCACATAATGTTTGTTAGTATAAAACTTTTCCCGGTTAATGCAACCGTTAATTTTAAAAATTATTTACTCTGATAAATGATGTTATTTGGCGTATGTCGTCAGTCAGAAGTTTAGCACATGAAACAACTTTGTCTAAAGCGTCTTCTGAATATTCACATTCGACATTCGAATCTCGACTCAAAACACTAGGAGACCAACCCAAATAGTCCAAAGAGTTTATAGAATAATTTATCATTTTAAAAATTTGTATTAAATTTAATACTAAAGGTTGAAGTTTCACTGAAATTCCTAGATAAAAATAAATACATACTATTAGTAACTGATTTTGGCGATGTTAGAAATAGAGCTAACAATGTGAATGTAATATAATTTTACATACCTTTGTCGGGCGCTTTCAATGAATTTCCTAAACAACCTTCGGAAAACTCGATAATTTTTTGTAAACCATCTTTTAGATTATTGGAAATTAGTTTTATATCAGATATGTTTGCTTCCAAGTTTTTTTGGTTTCTCCATTTTGGACTGGCGAATCCTAAAAGCCGAGTAGTGGTAGAACATATATCTACTGTTAATTTATCTAAACAATCCAATGCAGAGTTCAAACTAAGGAGTAACTCTTTCGGTTGCACGTGGTTGGAAGGAACGTCATAATCCTATTAAATGTATTGATCAATTAATCATAGTATTAAATATTATATAATAGAGATAATAATACCCATACTTCACTATTTAATGATACGTTTTGAAACTCGGTAATTAATGAAGCTGTCGTTCGCGTTTTTGGTACATCATAATCATGAGCAATACTGGACCGATTGGATTCACCTCCGCTTGGACTACTACAAGCACCGCCTGTTGATAAGGAACTGACTGAACTGCTAGGGGTTAATTGGATATTAATGGGTTTTGGTACATCATAACTTTCTTTCGATGCTAATGTATGTTGGCTCGGAAGCGCATCGTAACTGTCACTACAGCAACCACTGCTGCTACCAATACTACTAGGTCGGTCCATACAATCACTCACGATACGATCTATATTGGTAAACAATAAAAATTTAAAATAATATTCATTTGTACGTACGAAAATTTGCTTACTATGATTTGTTGGTGGTATATTATAACCATTAGAGTCGACTGATTTTTGAGGACTGTCATACATAAGATCTCCTAATTTTTGCTGTGACACTATCTAATAAAATCAAATAAATATATTTATATAATGTGTACATGAAACCAAATTAGATCAATAAATAGACTCAATCTGTTGAAAGTACTGAGGTTACAAGAGCATTGCTACCGAAATAAGCATATTATATGCCAGTGTATTCATTTTTTGAGATGAAGGGGCTTTTAGTATTTGAAGACTACAAGGCAAAAACGATGAAACCCTCATTTTTTTCAAAATGAGAAAAACCATTTTCAAAGTTCCATTATCAGTATTGCGTTCCAAAAACTTTACAGCTCGATTGTGGAGAGGAAACCATCGTTTCCGAATGAAACAACAATGCCTTGCGGAGGTATTGCCAATCTTAACTCATTTTCGACCACCGTGTGAATTTAATCGTTTTTGCCTTGTTGTCTTCATTTTATGGTTGTACTACTTATTTACTACAAATAACTGCGAGTGTTGCTCGTGTTTTTCCAAAAAAAAACTATTAAAAGTACCAAATAAATGGATTACTTTATTTAAATTTGAATGCCAGCTTGGTTGTTTGTTATCCGAGTTAAGTTGAGTTTGTTCTCGACCACAGTTTGGTAAGACTTGTTGTTCAATTTCATATAATCCAGGTATTAGTCTTAATCGATTTCCCGGGCAAATTCCCTAAAAAACATCATCTTTAATCAGCGAATGTAGAAACCACGGAGAACATTAATAACAGTTATTTTTTCAAATAATTTGCATAGAAAACAACAAGATTTCAAAACATATAAAAAATAGTTTAATACAGATTAAACATTTAAAAAAATGTAATAGATACCTGGCGACCACGTAAAGAACATAACCACCAGCCTTCAAGACCAGCAGTATTCTGTTCTAATACTGTTAATATATCGTCTTTCTTAAATGCCAGTTCATCAGGTGTTTCAGCAATATTATCATACATAGCTCGAGCAATGCAATTCTAAAAACAAAAAAATATATACTCCTTTTTATAACATGACTGTAATAAAATTTTTTTTTTAAATAGGTACGCTTTTGACAAAAAATTAGCTATGATTAATTATTGTTTAACATAAATCAATTGAAATACCTAATCATTTCTAATCGAGACCTAAATTATTGTTACTAAAAAAAAATTGTTTTTTTTTGTATTGTTGATATTTTGAAAAACATACTTAAATATCAATATAGTTTGACATAAAAAATTAAGTGTGTTAAATTAGGTATATTTTTTATTAAGACATAGGAAAAATAAACAAAAAAAAAATAAGTTAAGGAAAAACATTTATTGAAATACTATGCGACAAAAGGAAAACAAATTATGCACAATAATAACCAAAATATATTTTTTGAAAATTTGATAAATAATACGTTTGTTTGAAACAAATGATGGATGTGCAATGTAATTTATTAAACAAAATTTTACTTTTTTGTTGGGACTGCAGTCTTTTCTGTAGTTGTTTTTCAACCATTGTCAATATATTATATTAACTTAAATAATTTTGTCCATTATTGAGTATCACATATTAAATAATTTCAAATACCACAAACGATTTTCTATGAAGTCAGTGCTTAACACTACTATATAAAATGAATTAGATAAAAATCGCTTATTCTCTTCGAAAAACATTAAAATATGAATACGATTTTGGTTATTTCCTAGCAATACATGCCTAAATAACCGTCATGCAATCAATGACTCACAATCCACATTCAATGTTTTGAGTATTGATAATGGATGTTTTTAGTTTATAATTCAAGAATAACTGGTTGAAAAAAATGCAAAAATTTTAGATTCACGGCTGGGGATTGAACTGTGGACCAGTCGCGCTAAACACACCAGACGTCATTTTGTAACGAAAAAACGTATTGTAAATTTCAGTTGTGTCCAGCCCAAAAAAATATCCACGTTAAAAAAAATGATATAATAATATGGTATAATACGGTCTATTATTATTTGGTCGTAGATTTTAAAATATTATATAATTCAAATTTATGAGCTGTAATTATTTTTAACTTATTTTTTTCCATTATAATTTTTCATTTATTTCAGGAACAAGATTTTTAAAATATTTTTTTAGATTATTAGTTACAGGTTTTTATCAAAACTAGTAGATAAACAGTATCAAGAACTTATTGTTGAAAAAATATGTTAAATATTGATTTTTGTAAAACTATAAATATACAAATAACTGGAGAAAGCGCATTAGTTGTAAGAAACTGTTTATGCCTACTTACGTGCTATGCCATACGATAGTATATATAAATATTAAAATTGGGACAGATTGTTATGTACACAATACAGAATCATTGAGATTACGATTACACAACTAACGTAAATTAAATGAATGTAAAAACTTACCGTACAACCATTGTTTAGAGAACCGTTCGAGTGAAATTGTATCATTTTGAATAAAAAAAAAAAAAAAATGTTCACAGACCACAATGATTACTGTAGTTCAACTGTGACAACTGTTTCTCTAAACGTCGCGATTGCTGCTCTATTGCTCATTTTGTTAATTATTATTTATCCAAGCGTTTCATTAATTGTTTATATTTACATTAAATTTACTGGATTTCCGTTGAAATCGAATCGAGTCAAAGGAAATAACATCTTTTTTTTCGTCTTTTCATGACTCATACCAAAAACATGAGTCATTCGTGGGTATTATACAAGTAGAGCAGACGAGCCGAGCGACCCTGCAGTCAGCGGCAATCGAGTACCAGGTTCTGCCCGTCCGCGCAAATCGCAATGGAATAATAACAAGTGATAAGTTGATAACTTGTTATCAAAAAACTCTTCTTATCAATCAAATATATTTACTTTAATTGGCTACTGATAGTGGGTACCGCGCATCAGCACATGTACAGCTATAATAATATATAATAATAATAATATGAAATATTATCCAATTTATATTTCATATACCTATTTTACAGTTAACTCTTAAGCTTTAATTCATTCGGTAGTCGGTACTCCGAAACTACTCGTTGTAGTATTATTTATGCATCTTGTGTTTATTGTCATTTCTAACGTAAAAATTGTTTTCGTAGTATTTTTAAAAAATAACAACACAATAACTTTTTGTATAGAAATAAACCCAAAAGAAAATAAATAAATTTTACAGTGATTATAACTAATATTATTTGTATTTCTGTGAATGTTAAATATTGATGTAGTCGTATTGAATGAACAAAATAAAGAAATTGTTTTTAAATGTTTCGAATTTCCGTAACAATGTTAATTATATTCGATATTGCCAGAGGTTAAATGAAGTAAAAAATCCTAATAGAATGAGGGTCTTAAATGTAGCTGAAAAAAATGATGCTGCAAAAAATATTGCCCGTCATTTGTCTGATGGAACTAGTCGAATGGTAATTATTTAAAGAAAACAAAAAGAATTTATAAATATTTAATACACTAATGTCATTCTATTTTTTCAGAGGGAAGGACTTTCTAAGTTCAATAAAATTTACGAGTTCAACTATTCATTTAGAGGATCGCCAAGTACTATGATCATGACATCGGTTTCTGGGCATTTGCTTGGTTATGAATTTCAAGGGCAATATCGTTTGTGGAATAGTTGTTCACCACTTGATTTGTTTGATTCCCCTGTTGTTAAAGAGTGCCCAAAAAATAGTATTGACATAAAGGTATAGAACGTCATAATAATAATTTTTAAATTATTGGTTGGGAGCTAACGTATGAAAACTTGCTAGTTCTACTTTTTATGTAACATTTTCTGTATAAATATTTTATTAAATGTGAAACTATGTTATTATTATAGAAAACATTAGAACGGGAAATTAGGTCTTGTGATGTATTAGTTATATGGACTGATGCTGATAGAGAAGGAGAAAATATTGGATTTGAAATAATTGACGTTTGTAAAAACGCTAAACCTAGGATTCAAGTGTATAGGTATAATTAAGCAAAATTTAAATTAAATATTTATTTTAATAAAGTACATGATATTAATTTGTTTTAAACAAGACTATCTAATAAATATTTATCAATTTTTTTACTTTTTAATTATTACATTATGTATGATTTTTTTAGAGCTATATTATCAGAGATAACTAAACAATCGGTGCAGAGGGCCATGACCAATTTGGGGCCTCCAAATAAAAATATTAGTGATGCAGTTAATGTCAGAAGTGAATTAGATTTAAGAATCGGTAGATATGTTCAATTATGGTTAATTTTTTATGCATATAAATTATCATTTTCTTTTAACAACTATTTTAGGTGCGTCATTTACTCGTTATCAAACAATGCGTTTACAAAAAGTATTTCCCGATGTATTAACTAATAATTTAATAAGTTATGGTAGTTGTCAGTTTCCTACATTGGGATTTGTTGTTGAACGGTATAAAGACATAGAAAATTTCATTCCTGAACAGTTTTGGAAAATTAAAGGTTTCTTATTTGCTTAAACATATTGAGGTATTAAAAAAAAACAAAATTTCTTAATTTTCGGTCAACCGTTTTAACAGTTAATCACAAAATTGAAGACGTCGATGTAGAATTTACGTGGCAACGAGGAAGATTATTTGATGAACTATTTTGTCGAGTACTATTTGAGCGTTGTATGGAAAATCGGACTGCACATATTTTAAATGTAACTAAGAAACCAAAATCAAAATGGCGACCAGTACCTCTCGATACTATTGTAAGTAGTATTTATACACATAATAACAATTGTGAACAAATAGGATGAATGTAAATGTGATGAAAAGTATAACATACATTTTCAATGCATATAAAATAATAATTGATTTTTAGCAGTTATTGACATGTTTTAATATTTATATATTACACAGTTTAATAAATAATTAAATACAAGAACTGTATTTAATTAATTATGTTTTGTAAAATATAAATACCTATTTGGAAAACATTTGACAATTAATTGAATGTCAATTACTGTACTCAGTACTATGAGTTGTGTTATATTTAAATAAATATATTTGTTTATATATTAATAAAAAAACTTATTTTTTAGAATAAGTTTGTTAAATTCAGATTTATTTAGATATTAATTTTATTCTAGGAACTAGAAAAGACTGCTAGTCGAAAACTCGGAATAAATGCTAAAGAAACGATGAAAATTGCTGAAAAACTTTACAGTCAAGGATACATTAGCTATCCGAGAACGGAAACAAATATATTTCCCAAAGAATTAAATTTGTCTAACTTAGTCCAACAACATATTGAAGATAACAATTGGGGTGGTAAGTGATTTATAATTAATACATTGTTTAAAATATTAGCTGATGTCTGAAGTACCGGGTTTGATGTCTAATCCATTGACTAACAATTGTATAATAGTTGACTACAATTACTACAAATATTACAATGACTACAATAGTACATTGACTAATAGTTGTAGGATAAACAATTCAATTTTTTTTTTTACTGTTTTAGATTTTGCTGAACGAGTTTTGAATGATGGTCCTTCTCCAAGACAAGGGAAAAAGTCTGATCAGGCTCATCCTCCTATACATCCTACTAAGTATACTAATGGGCTTCAAGGTATGTTTAATTCAATTTGCGTTATATCACATGTTATTAGTTTAGTCAGAATATACCTAGTGGCTCACCTTTAGGTGTGATACACTAACAAAGTGACACAGCCGTCTGTGTTCGTTCGTCCATCTTTATGTCCATCACCCATTAAAAACTAAAATCAATAATATGACTTTATTATACAGTTTAACACAAAACAAAATGTATTAAAAAATTACCATGCATTTATATTTTGTCTTAACATAGAAACTATAAACTTTTAATAAATTATTACTATTAAAATATGATCACTTTTGTATTTCAGACCCGAGAGAACGTAAAGTCTACGAATATGTAGTGAGGCATTTCTTAGCGTGCTTATCTAAAGATGCTCAAGGTCAAGAAACCATTGTTAACATTGAAATTAATGGAGAAAAGGTTAATAAATTTTCAAAAATAATAATAGTGGAGTTTAAGGTGTACATTCGCATTAGATTTGTTGAGTTTTAGAGATAAATTTTATCCTGAGACATCTACAACAATTATTTCCATACTTCACACTTACTTTAGTTCAACATTTACATTTATATTTACTTTTAATTAAATTAACAAATATTTGAAGGTCTTTAATATTTGTATCTAGTATATTGTAGAGTATAACGTGTATAAGTTTGCAAAAACTACTATAAAACAATAAGATGGAATTTTCGTAAAATTTATCTAAATTAACTAACTATTAATAAATGTATTGATTGTTTTATTTATTAATCTTTTTCCAACTTCTCCTTGAATATAATATGTAACTAATTGTTTACTGATTGTTGTTACAGTTTTTGGCAAGTGGGCTTCAAATTATAGCTTTGAACTACTTAGAGGTTTATCCTTATGAAAAATGGTCAAATAAATTGATCCATAATTATAATCAAGGCGAAACTTTTATGCCTACCGGAATAGAAATGACCGGTGGTCAAACAAGTGCCCCCAATCTTCTTACGGAATCTGATCTTATAACCCTAATGGATAAACACGGCATAGGTATAGTACTACTTTTTTAAAATTATTTTAATTTCAATTAATTGACAACTTTAGGATAAAAATGAATTTTATACTACCACTACCCGACTCCATTAATATTATTAATAGTAATATTTGTTCAAAGTATAAATATTGAACAAACCTATTATTTTATTATTTTTTTCAGGTACTGATGCAACACACGCTGAACATATTGAAACTATTAAGTCACGTTCATATGTGGGACTAGAAAATAATAAATATTTCGTTCCTGGTGAACTCGGTATTGGCCTCGTAGAAGGCTATGATAACATGGGTTTTGAAATGTCCAAACCACATTTAAGAGCCAAACTCGAGGCAGATTTAAAAAGGTAAAATTAGCTGTTGTTTTCTTACGAATAATAACTATATTTTTATTTTACACATATCATAGTTTTATATTATATTATAATTTGTTCGTTTTTTTTTACACTAAGTAAGTTTTATCACTTAACATACACAAAAAGAGACCTCCCAGTAAAGCCACCTCATTTAGAGTTTTACTTTTTATAAATTATTACAATATTGATTAATATTTCGCCCATCACATACTATTAAATCGTCTTAACTCGTTTCCCAGTAAGTTGTCTGACGTTAAGGTTTTGATGAGTTGATTTAGGTTACTGGTAATTTTTTCGTAAAAATAATTACATGTATTGGTTTTACTTATTTTTTATTTTTATAATATTTAGGATATGTGAAGGTACTAAATCACCAAATGTTGTTCTAAGAGAACAAATAGCCAATTATAAGGAAGTATTTATAAAAACAACCGAACAAGTTTGTTAATGAATTTTTAATACTTAACAAAATAGCGTACGGTATTTGATAACACAATATATTTAAATTTCAGGTAGATAAATTAGACCAATCTTTAGGTAAATACTTGAGAACTCAACCTATTGCTTATCAAAACAATGGCCAGCATGAATCTATGAGGATAAAAGAAATTCGTAAATGCCCTGCCTGTAAACAGTCTTCTCTTACGTTAAAACAGCGCTCTAATAACCAAGGATTTTTTGTTTCTTGTCTTGCGTATCCAACTTGTAGAAATTCATCTTGGTTTCCTCCTAGTGTCGTTGATGCAACTGTCAGTGACAATAATTGCCCTCAGGTATGGCCCCGTTAATTGTTTAACAAAACATTTTATACTTAATATAAAATAAAACATTGCATAGGTAATAATAAAAAGTTAATCAATTACATTTTATACTTTTGAGTTGTTTCTATTTTTAAATAGAGACTTCAATTTGTTATTAATACATATAAATATTAATTACCAACTGTTATATCCTGTTTAGTGTTCGGGGAATGTAAAATTAATTAACTTTAAATTCATGGAAAGAAGTATGCGACCACATTTTCCCGACATCTTTACGGGGTGTATTAATGGCTGTGATTCAACATTAAGTGAAATACTTCAAGTAAATTTATCCCGTGCAGCTATAAGTTCAAATTCTACAACCGTAAACAGAAATAATATTCAAACTACAAACCGATATAACGGTGAGCACTCTTATCGTCTCTTTTAAATAATTTGATCTCAACGATGAGGTTCTTAAATGTTATGTCTTAAAATAAACGTAACAAAATTATGAATGAACTAAAATAGGAAGCTTAAGATAGATCTAGAAATGTTTGTTATGAATCAACTCTATCGAGTCAATATCACATTGAAGCTAAAATAAAATAAAACAAGTGTTATAGATATGAGAATTGGTAGTAAGATATAATATGTACAATGAATATCTTAAAATTATCAAAATAGAGAAAAACCGGAAAAACTATTGAGTTAGTTCAAGTATGTCATGTCAATATATAAAGGCTATTTATTAATTTCCGGAATGAACAATAAAAGAAAGAAAAATGGGTTGTCTGAAATAAATTTAAAAAAATGTCGTGTAATTGTATAAATTGCATGACTAGTTCGAGTGATGATCTAGAAATATAAAAAGTAACCCCAAAAAACAATAAGCAAACAAAAAAATTGTATTACAACAAGAATAGAATTGATTCATAACTATTTAATTTAATTAAGTAAAATACTTATTACAGGTCCACCGCGTGACAATAATACGAATAATACTAGACAGCAGTATCAAGCAAACAATCATCAGAGGCCGCCAGTAGCACAACCCGTCAATACTGGTAAATATCAATATTACTTAACCAGGGTTATGAAAGCAACGCCTTGATAATAAGTTCAACTGTCCCCAATAGGAAAAGATCAAATTTTTATCGGAAAGTACCAAATTATACATTTAGCTGTTACGTAAAAAATATTTTATTAATTAAATACTAATAAATTATACAATTAATGTTTGTTTTAAAGATCAAGTTTGCTGTAACTGTGGAGAAGCTGCTAAACTGTAAGTAAATGAATTATTTGTTATGTTATTATGATTTATAAGGTTACTATTTAGAGTGTGCGACTTCCAATCCCAATTTATTTATTTTACTTTTTCGTATTCTTTAAAAAATTCAATATTAATAAACAAATATCTAAATAGAAATTTAATACAAACTGGTCTTATAGTCATACTTCTAATGTTCAATAAGCTATAAGTTATAGTAATTGATGATTTTAATGAAGTATTACATTTTTCAGACTAACTGTTAATAAAGAAACAGCGAACAAAGGTCGTCAGTTTTATGCGTGCTCTAAACCAGTATCTGACCCTAATAAGTGCTCATTTTTCCTGTGGGCCGATCAGTCTTCTGGATCATCTGTTACCAGTACCCATCAACCTATGAACAATCGAAATAATAATACTGGTGTTACGAACAATACTTTTAGAGCTAGAAATAGTATGTAAAAACTAGTGAAAACTATTTTGATATATTGATGTGTACTTTACAATACTTTTTCATAATGTAATACATTTTTTTTTTTGAACAGACCAGCAAAATGGACAAGGGCAACGAAAATGTGGACATTGTAAACAAACAGGTATACTTGTTTTGTTCTTACATAATTTTCTTTGTACGATAATACGTTGCTCGAAGCTTGCTTATAATTGGTTGTACATGTATTTTTAATTAAAAATTTTTATGGGGTAGATAATATGGCCAAATTAAACAAGTCAACAGTAATGTTACTTATCGATCCTCACAAATTTTAGCTTCTGGTCTTATAGTTGTAGTCTTAAACTTGAGTTTTATTAAAGCATAGATTTGTTCATCTATTAAGTGAAATTTTGACCAGCACTAGAAAAATTAAATTTGATGTTATACAATTTTTATGTTTCTCTTCTTCTTCGCTTTACATAAAAATCAGCCCCCCAATCCCTCCATTATTATTATTAGTATGTATTTTATTTATGATTTCTGTAAATTTAATTATTATTTTTGTACTCATAACAGGTCATACGAGGAGAAACTGTCCACAAATTACCTAATAAAGAAAACTATTTAAAAATAAAATTAATACGATATATTGTTATACGGTATATATTATACCAAATAGATAACTTGCTAATAATCATAATGATAAAAGATTTGATATTGTATTATTCAAGATTTAAATTATAATAGAGACAGCTGTAATTATGTTATTAAGTATAAACGTTTCAATTTTATGACAGTCAAATTTTTAGAGAGAAAAAAATATATACATTTTGGCTTTACAAACAAATAAAGACTGATTAATAATATCATACTTATTACACTATGATTCCTTTTTGTCTAATATAATGATAAGAAGGATAATATTTATGTTGGTATTTTTATTGGTAAACACTAATAAATTATTTTGTTTTAGTAGTATTTAATTTAAATGTATTAACCTTACATTAATATAACCATGTAGTACAAGGAAGAAAAATGTATTTGTTCATTATTACTTTTCTGTCGATTATAAAATGACACCATCAAGTATAAATTCTACATATACTTAATGTTTTAATAATTACTGATAATAATAGTATAATTACTACCAATCTTATAGTATTAGTAATGTTAAGCATTGGTTAAATATATATAAATAGTTTACTGACACATGAAATATGATAACGAAATGAGAGCAACAAATTGTATAATAATTAAAGGTTGGCATTTAAAATTAGGGTGCCAAAAAAGTATATGGTGTGATCTATCTACCTACATATATATATATACATATAATCAGTCAAAACTAAAAAAAATCACACTTCAAATTTATAAAATTAAAAAAATTTTATTATTTAAAATTTATATACATTGTTATTTCGAGTTTGATATACCTTTTTGATACAATAAATTATAAATACTTATTTATAAATAATAATAATAATAAATGGGACAATATAATACAAAATAGTTTTGGTAGTCGCTCTCTTGACTAAATCATAACAATTCTCCAAGAATAAAATAGTCTAAATATGTAAATAAAAATCTTAGAGTTCTGTTGTTATTTCATCTTGTGGCCTAAAGCCAAGCGTGAAAAAATCATCATCATCGGTGGTGGTCGAATAACAATTGTAAGGAGGGACCTCGGCATTCCACTCGGCTACTAACATACTTTTCGATGCATTAGTATTTAGTAATGAAAAAGAGGCAGGACTAGTAGATCGACCAAAACTGGACATAGTTTTCTCTTTCAACATGATGACTTCATCATTTTCATCTTGATGCCTGAGAAAGTACATTTGTTAAATTTATCAAAAATTAAATAAATACTTAAAAAAAACATAAATAATAAATACTTGATAAAATTTTGCATTATTACCTATTGTGATCACTATAATTGTCATCAAACACTGAGATCGCTAATTGTTTAATTCGAGATGGTGACGATGAAGATGCAGATAATGGTCTATGTTTTTTGCTATTTGTGAATGTCGTTAGCTGAATTGGTTTATCGTTGAAGTGTTCATTGGTATTTGGTTGAGTCGCCTGCTAAATACATAAACAAATTAAAAACCCGTTCTTGGTAGACAAACCTATAATTGTTATTAGTTTACCATTATGGGATGCTGTTTTTTATATCTTCGCAATACTCTATCACCCCAAGCTAATAAAGTTTCCCAGTCTGCAGGTGGATTTATATAGCAGTCTTCTTTATTTAATAATATTAAAATCCTAGATAAATCTTTTAAAACTGGCCTGAAATTCAAGTTACATACTACATGACTTAACGATAATTATTTAACTAAATAGTAAGACATAAAAAAAAATGCAGAACCTATGCCTCCAAATGTCTTTGAAAATACATTTTAAAAAAATGTTTATAATGTATATTTCATGTGATATTACCGATAGGCTTGGATAGCAGAATGTTGTCGACTAGGACCTTGAAGCTCACGCACTTGTTTCCTCGTTTCATTTAACATAGATAAAAAAACCGGAGCCTCTGGTCGTAAGTTATCCAACTGTTTAAAGAACTCTAGTCTATCACAGTCGTCACTTTCTATAAAACAAAGTAGGAAAAATGATACATCTAACAAATAATCTATAATGATACAACTGGATGATTGAGAAAATATGTACCTTGACTTCGATGAGAACCATTAGTTAGCGGTCCTAAACTAGGAGACATACGAGTTTTTGATCTAAAGTGTGCACATTTTTTAAACTTGATTGTCATTCCGACAACTAGTAAAATGGTCGAACAAATGACAAATCCAATGATGATACCAACTGCAATTGCAATAGTTTGACCAGATAATTTTAAATTACCAAACACTGCTTTATCTGAAATAATAGACATTGTAAAGTTAATAATATTGTAAATTAAGCGTGCAATTAGTTAATAGACAAATGATTAACCTGTTAAAGAGCATACACGACCCATTTGATGATCATTTGTTGACCACGTGTATTCATATCCTGATGGACAAGTATCAACGCATTGGCCCGTAGTGACGATTAAAAATTTCCTGCATTTTTTGCAAAATCCATCTACATCACATTTCAGGCAATCCGAATCGGTACCATTACATCTTTCGATCGTTCTGTTGTCTAGAGTAACGAATAACATAATATAATAATTGATTAGCTCCGTTCACATCAGTCGGTAATTTTTAAACAAACGATATTATATGAAATCAATTTACTCGAGTGTGAAAAAACGGTTTGGAAGACGGACGAAATTAAAACGACTGCCAGCCATAATCTTGCTCGGATCAAATTCATAATTTTCTCTCATTGTCATTTCCCGAAATTTGGATGCTGAATACTCATAGTCGGTGGCGACATAATTTCTTCATTGAAACGCCTCGTAGAAAGTAGCCAATTTTCTTAAACAACTACACATTTTAAACTCACGAAAATAATATAACCGCGCACTTGAAACAACGTAGACGTGAACTGTGTTCGTTCACAGTTCTACAGAACTACAATAATATAACATACATTTATCCTAAATCTCCATCCGGATTCGGTTTTATCTAATTATTTCACGTATTACGAGACCATATCCTCTTTACACGCGCACATGACACATGTAACAAAATCGTTTCTTTTGGTATCTTTCACATACTCGCGCACACACATTCACAATTCAGTATTCCCTATTATATTATTATTGTGTGTTATGCCTTTTGTATAGGTATATATATATATATACATTGATATACAATTGTAGCAGTAGGCAGTGGAAAGAATACTACACAGTACTATCAGTGTTAAGTGACGGCGTATGAGATTTTACGGTAAATCTCTGGAAACCCTCCACAGAGCTGCTGTTGCTCCACTATTCGGTAACCAGTTTCCACAAGCCACAGGTCCGCTGTACAGTGTTGCCAGTGTCCGACGGCGACAAATCGTGTTTGCCACACTGCGCGGTGCGTGTAAATAAATAATAATAACAAAAAAGTCGGAACGATAAAGAATGATAATGTGATAGAGGTTGTGGTAAGCCAAAAATATGTAAAATGGTGACATATCCCGAGTTCGCGTTTTGAATAAAGCAAACCATATAGTGTCGTATTGCACTGGAGTCATGGCGTCGGCGGATCCTATGGGTTTGAGCAAGACTTGGGAACTGTCGCTTTACGAGCTGCACAGAAAACCGCAGGAGGCCATTACGGACAGCACGGAAATCGCAGTTTCTCCCAGGAGCTTACACAGTGAACTGATGTGTCCGATATGCTTGGACATGCTTAAAAAGACCATGACTACCAAAGAATGTCTTCACAGGTAATTTCGGTAGCACAGTAAAGAAGTTATAGTGTACACAACAATATATAATATGAAAAACAATTTGATGTCACTTTTAGGTTTTGTTCAGATTGTATTGTAACCGCGTTGCGTTCAGGCAACAAAGAATGTCCTACTTGCCGTAAGAAGTTAGTATCGAAGCGATCATTGCGTCCTGATCCAAATTTCGATCTGCTGATTTCGAAAATATATCCTAGTCGAGACGAGTATGAAGCTCATCAGACCAGAGTGTTGGAAAAACTTAATAAGAGTCACAGCCAAGCTAACCTAGTACAGTCTATTAACGAAGGCATCAAAATACAAACCCAAAACCGTTTACAGCGCACCAAAAAGAATCAGCAAGATGAACAAAATGAAGGTGGTTCATCTTCCACTCCAAAGACTCCTTCTTTAGGTCCCAGTAAAGATAATGTAACTAGAACAGTTGTTCAAGCAAAAGTTGCAAAAAAAATCAAATCTGTTATGATATCTGAAAATGACGGACCAGCTTCTTCATCTGCAGATAGATCTGAAATAACTGAAGGTGACGGAACGTCAAGAGGTGCAACTTTGGATGAAATTGAATTAGTATTTAAACCACATCCTACTGAAATGGGAAGTGATAATCAGTTAATAAGAGTACTCAAAGAAAATTCAGTGCGCTACATTAAAACTACCGGCAATGCTACAGGTAAACATAATAAAATCATTTGTATTTTAATACCATGATTTGTTAGTTACTTTTATTAATATGACTTCATTACGTTTTTTTAGTCGATCATTTGAGCAAGTATTTAGCAATGAGATTGACATTAGACCTTGGTGCTGAACTTCCAGATCGTCCTCTGAATTTTTTAATTTACGTTGCACCAAATGCCGGTCAATTTGTTCCACTTAACGGAAATCAGACATTACGACAAGTTCATGACAAATTTTGGAAAGTAAACAAACCATTAGAAATGTTTTATTCATTCAATTGAAATTTTTGATTGTCATAAATAATTTTTGTTTCTCAGGTTTATGTATAACCTACTAAGTACTTTCATTGATTTTTATTTATAAAATTTAATACATTTAATGTATTAACTTAATTGTGTGAATCGACTTTTTTAAAAATTAAAAAATGTATGTTTTAAATTTTAGTAACTGCCGAGTAGTTTTATTTTTAGATTAATGAGTTGAGGGTAGCATTTTGTAAAATGTATTGATTTTAAAGTATTAATTATTCACTTAATTTTAGAATGAATTTCATTTTTATTGTGACAAATATATGTTAAATGTTTTATTTAAAAGACGAATCTGACCATTAATACTTTAATAAAATCATAATTTTTAAGAAATACATTTTTTTTTCGACTGACATGAAAAAATTAAAAAAATTTCAACTTTTGGCCAAAATGCCTTAATTTGTTGTTGAGTACACAATAAAATAAATTTTTCATAACAAAATATATTCATTTAATTGACATCACCATCAAAATATTATTCAACATTTGCAGTTAAATCTAAAACAATAGTGGAATTTATCACTATATATAATTATTTACATCATTTTAAATGCTACAACATGGTACAGTTTTATTTAAGTTAAAAGTACAGTTTAAGTTACAGTAAAGCACGAGCTTTTTCTTCTTTTAATTTAAGCTTAAAGCACTTTGCTTCCATTTCTTCGTAATGTTCTGCAAATATCATCTTAAGCGCGGGATACAATAACGGTAACTTATGCATGTCGCTCGGTTTTATCTACAAAAATCATTAAAAATGTTTAATGTTATTTAAGTATAAAAAAAATATTGTTTTCAACAAAATTTTTTGTTTTGCTAATTTCGAAAATTCAAATAGGACTACTCTGTAAATAGACAAAATATGTGCAAGCTGAATTAAAGCACAAAAATAAAGATAATAAGTTTTAATACAGATGATTTAAAGTACGCATTAATTGGTGAAAATAATACCCATGTAATACAACCTTTAAAAAAAAAAACCCAAAAATATTTGTTAGCTCCGTATCTGTCGACAAATTCAAACTCAAATTTTTATCGTCATCAGAGAGCTTTATTTATTTAGGAACAGCACACAAAACAAGATTATTATTGTCTTTCATAAACTGTTCTTTTGTGAGTTCCATGTAAAAAAAATTGTAATTAACTTATGGAAAATATAACAACTTCCAAATTCTAATATTCCATAAAAACAATCTATAATCCACTATCTCATAAAATACAGTACTTAGCGTTGATTTAAAAAAACAGATAAGTCATGCTAATTTACAAAAAGCACTGCTCGGATAATAATTACCTCCATGTTGTCAAACGCTATTCCAACATTTTCTGGAAAGTCATCGTTCGCAATATATGGAATTTTCGCATACCGTTGACTGAAATGTGTTAAAAGAGTAAATTTGGCGTTCATCTTTTTACCAATGTTTATAGCTTGAGACATGGTCGAATGCATTTTACGTCTAGCTTCAGATAATAGCTGATCCTCCATGGTGGATTCGTGAATTAGAAGATCACTGTTTTTCCCTAGATAAATATGTGTTAAATAAGTGTCAACCGTTACAGTCATAGTTTGGCGTAATGTAATCTGGTTAAGGCCTTGGAAAAATATGGTTTCTTTAAATATAAAAGAAGGGAAGTGTTTTTTTTTTAAATTTATTTCAAGTTATTTAATTTTCAACTATTCCCCGCAAAAAATACTAATTTTTAAACCATAAAAAATATTACATCCGTGAACAAAACCAAAATACATTATCTTACGGCTAATATCTTTCAACTTCACTTCTATGTCTTCGCTAATAGATTTAATTAGTTACTAAAATATGATACACACCTAATTTTACTAATGATTCACAAGGCATAGTATCGCCTGAATACGTTACTTTCCAGCCGTTTACATGAGTGAACGATACACCAAAAGCGTTAGGACAGTGTTTTACTAATGTAGTTTCTATGTTTTTCATACTTGTTTGTTTGAATAAATCAATTACATTTGTAGCCTTTGAAGATTCAAAATCCTAAAAAAAAAAAATTTTTGGTATAATATAATTTTTAAATTGAAACTATATCAAATTTAAACATTACCAAATCGGCATTAGAAACAATTTGAAATTCATTGTTAAGTTCTGCAAATCGTCTGTGGTAAAAATTTAACCAAGTCATAATTTGAATAGGAGCCAGGAGATAGACTGACCGGTCAGGTGTAATCGTTCCGTTTCTACGCATATTCTGACGCACTGTTAAAAGTCCAATTAATCCTATATGATGGTCCGCGTGTAAATGCGAAACGTAAATGGCTCTAAGATCGCTCAAAACTTGTTCGGAGCCAGATACGCCAAAATGTCTGACTAATTGGCCGTACGTCCCTTCGCCGCAGTCTAACAACACACATTCATTCACACTAAACAAAATTCAATTTTAATTTATAAATATTCGTACCATTTACGTATAATATTATATACAATTTCTTACCCAGTATACATCAATATACCGCTTGTGTTTCTCGTTTTACTCGGTATGCATGATCCAGTACCGAGGAATGTAATCCAAGGGTAAGAATCGGAGTCTGTAATTTTTGCAGTTAAAATATTTTGTTTGACTTGCGTTAACATTTCTTCATATCCTTCTACTAAAAATGTTTCTGCTTTAAATTCTTCTATATTTAAACGGAGGGTACTTGATCTGAATTAAAAAAAAATGGTATACATCATTATTATATTTATTTCAATACTGTAATAATTCATGATTATTTTGAATAATTATTTTACTTCTTACATGTCAATGTCTTTTTTGGGTCTTAGGTTAAATGTTAAATTTGTTCTTCCATTTATTACTAAAAACATAATACATAATAATAAGAATTATGAAGGTTTAATTAATCTACCTATTATGACTACTTACCATTAGAAGTTGAGTTAGTAGCATCATTATGAAGTTCGTTTTCACTACTGGCAACGACTAAAGATAAAAAAAAACTAAAAGTTATTATTTCTTATCGATCCTCTTTTATACAATTACTATTACTACGCTTCAATTAGAAAAAATACAAATTAATAATTAGTCATAATAACTAACTTTTTTTTTTTTAATTAACATGATGTTTAGTCTCACCAGGTATTCCATCGTCTTTAAGTAAAGGAAATATTTGTTCGTCTAACATATTTAACTTATATTGAATTCGATGAATAGCTGTACTGCCTAAACATTTATTTTCATCATTCATCAATAAGTGATATGTTTCTGAATGAAATAATTGCATCCAAGATTGATATCTGAAAAACATATTTAATACAAACTAGTATTTAGTGAGGTTTTTACTAAGAAATGTATAAACCGCTATAAAAATAAACTACACTATCTTTCTGTGTTAGATAGTATACTATGATTTAGCTTTGATGCCAAGCAGAGAAGGTATTGTTTAAAATTAGGTGTGATTATTTATTATTGTGTATAGACCCATGATATATTTTTAACTGTTGGACCAAATATTTCATGCAAAAAATCTGTAGATCAGAAATCATACTTAATAAGGCCAAAAATAAAAGAATTTTACCGCTTCCCGTACAAATTTAAGAAAATACATTTTTTCTATAAAGAATTATGTCCACTATAAATTTTCAAAAAACAAAATTCTGAATCTTTCTGAACCCAATATATTCTGTTCCCACTGTACTGGCTTTTTTTAAAATTTAAATACCTTGCGTTATTCCGTACTTCTTGTGGAGTAAAATGCACAACCATAAATGCAATATCATCTTTATTCGATACATTCTTTTGATGTTTTGAAAAAATAGGCTCGTTATATAATGCATCTATGTAGTCTTCGCTTGGACATTCAACCACTAAAACATTATTAACCAATAAACATACAATAACCTATCTCTAATATTACATATTAGCGTGAGTTTATGTAATGATAATGTGTATTTAATTAATTTTTCTAATAAATGATTAGAAAGAGGTAACATAGGTATTGCGTGACAGAAAAGAACCATTAAAAGTCAATGTACGGTGTTACTAGTATTAATGTACAGAAGCGAGTAGCGAGTGGTGCCGAGTTAATAAATGAGATGAAAGGTACATGGAAATAGCTGAGAATATTGTGATCGGATGTGTGAAGTGATAAGGTAAATCAATTCGGGAATAATTAAGCATATAAGATAGTTAGAAAGTTGCACCAATAAACAAAAACATGAGAGACCAAATAGATTATGATTAAAAGAAACTTAAAAAGAAAATTTAATTAATACAGTACAATTAATTAAATTTGACTAAAACAACACAAATTAAAATGATGTTGTTAAGCTAGTATACAACTCTGATGTAGTATACAATTTTACCGATAAAAACTGGACCAGGATCTTCTGGAGACGTTACATCACTAGATTTAACCAATGTACCATCGGGTAAAGTGATATCTTTACCGGATTTTAATTGGCCAAGTAATGGTCCCGGAGGAACATTGTGTTTAACACATTCATCTAAATCCAATAATCCTGGTTTGGGTTTTAGTCGACAAACATATGACATTGCCATATTACTAATTCTATTTATAGGATAATCAGTAATGAACTTTTTTTCATCTGGAACAAGCACAATCACAAGTTAAAATTGGTTATATTCTACTTTTTGTATAAAATAATAAAATAAATTAAAATATTATTTTTTAACTTGCCTGCTCTTGAATCAGAAGTGCTTCTTTTACGTTTATTTTTATCTTTCTTAGACGAACTATCCATTTCTGCGTAGTCATAATAGTTTGTATCATCGTCTGATGAATTATCTAGCGTTAGTGAAGATTGTACATTACTACTAAGAATTGAGCTAAACAAATTTTTATTGTAAACAGACAAATAACAAGACATAGTATACTGGTTATTTATAATATATTAATAATTACTTTTCAGATAACGATCGATGATCAATATCACGTTTATTCGACAACAGAGGTACATAATTTATCAATATTGCATTGTCTTCAAATGGTTTATAAGGATCACTTTTACTTTCTGTTATTTTGAGATCACGTAACACAACAAATCGTTTAGTGGCAACAAATAATTCTTCCTGTTAAATAATTTAATAATTAGATAACATGTTTAATAGTACTCATTCGACCTATGAAAACAAATTAGACCAAGTAATCAAATTTCATCAGCCCAAAGTATTTCCCATCAACGCTCTACAAACTTTTTATTTAACTTAGAAATATAAATATTTGAAAAATTTTAAAAATCTAATAAGTTAGCATTACTGATTAAAATATATTTGTATGGTTTTATTTGAATTGTTTTGAGACTTTTAATACTTGTATTTACAATTTTGTACTTAGATTTTAGGATATAAAATATTTATATGCTATCAAATTATCAGGATATCAAATTATTATTGTTTATTATATTGTAGTTTTTTAAACAACTGAAATTATGTTTATCTGGATATTTAATACACAGATACATTAGTGGAGCCAAATACGGTGTATACTTGAATTATGTGAATAATTTTCTTTAAAACTTATTAACAATATTAAAAAACAAAATAATGTACAGATTATAGTAATAATAATATTGTGTTTTCTTACTAGTCCTTTTGGCCCATGAAGCTCAATGTTTGGTACACCAACATCTTGAACAGTTAATGCCAATCCCGGTAAACCACCAATATTTAACCAACTCGAATGGGTGATAAACACATGTTCCAACTTGGATAATTTCATTTTATGTTCATGCGCTAACCTCTGGGTCCCTTCGCCACAATTGAACAAATATCTATGGAATGTAAGCATAGCCATGAAAACATTATCTACAACACGGATATTACCTGCGAACGGCATAACGAAAATTACCTGGAATGGTCTGTAAATAAATACAGACACCTGGGAGCGCCATTGGCTCCACTACCTAGTATTTGAAATTTCACAATACCCGGAGGAAATTTTGATTTCCCTTTCACCTTGATTCGGTTTTGTCGAACAATTGCGGTTTGAGGGGTATTATTGTTGGCCATGAATCCGGGAAATTTTAAAACGTTAGTGTTGCTTCTTCGCCACATATCACACGTGAATACCGCCAACCGAGAGGACACATTTTGTAATAATTATAAACGATAAATGATAACGCTAGAGTAGAGATATGTACTATCAAGAAATTAATCATTGAACGGAAACACGTTATTTAGTGTTCTATACTATTCATAGATGTCGCACAATATTACAAAACAATATTTTTTGTTATGCCGTATTTTCAGACACCGCCGCGGCCGGTCGGCCACGACCACCCGTCGTGCGCAAAGTGTTTTACTTAGTTCTAAAAACGAATTAGAATTAGTTAAATAAAACGGTTATAAATATAGACTAATTAACATTATTATAATTTATAGGTATTTACAGCGAATATCACTTAAAAAAAAAATACCAGTTTAATGGATCTATTTAGACGATGAGAGGGAAATCTTGAAAAAAAAGGCACTGTAACAAAATACGAATAGGTACAATAAAATAAAACAAAAGCCAAGACGTTCAGTTTCATTTTTCCCTTCTAATTATGACGTAGTTAAGTTAAAAAAAAAATTACTTAATATAAATAAACTGGCAAAATATATAAAAACTATACATTATATTTAATCAATGCTACTGTGAAGTATACAGACTGGTGCCAACCTGGTGGCGTTAAAATTTAAATTGTACAATTTGAAATTAATTAAACAGACAGCGACGCAGCTGGTGTTTACTAAACAATATCATTGATTGAATACAAATTGTATTTTTCAAAACAGATTTTTTTTTCATACAAGTTATATTAGCCCTATTCAGTCTAATTTTTGAATAATATTTAGTCTTAAAATTGCGTCTACTTCATCATAAGAAAATGTTTTACAATGTCTTATAATTACTCTATTGGTTTCAACTTTGGTATTTGTCAATCGAAAATATGTTTTTTGTACCGACAAAAACACAATAAATGTCACACTCAATACGTTTTTTGAATCATCCGGATAGAATAAGATTAGCAACTTGGAAGTCCGATACTATTTTGAAAATTATTTACCTGAATTAAAAAACAGTGGTCGCACTGTGTCATTCTGGAAAGATAAAACTAGCTATAGTTATATTATGAAAAAGAGCACTTAAATTAAAATTGTTCAGTGAAAGTTCCATTACGATATCATAATCAGTCATTAAGTAACGTGATCGTGAACTTAAGGGGTTTTCACAACAAATGTTCAGAATATAGCATCGCCTAAGTGCAAAAAAAATTATAAAAAATTGTTTGCTTCACTTTTTTGGTTTTATGTGGAACATTTGCATAGGATATGTAAGTCTGAGGCATTTCAAAAATCCATTCGCACACACATTAGGTGATTTGGCATGGAATGACCCCTATTGCATTAGAGTCGTGCAATTTTGGCAAGCTAGAGTTTTATTGGTAAAGTTCCATGCTTTAGCTTTAGATTTTTTAAGTTCAGTAATCAGTATGGTCTAGAATAGATTAACCGATTTTTGTATAATTTTTTAATAACTTTATTTTCGAAAAATAACGAATTATATTGTAATTATGAAAAAAGTTGCTTGTGCCGTTAGCTTAACACGTGCATTTTAAATCCTAAAATTTACACGGCTCGTCTATTTAATAAACATACGTTAACTTGATTTTGGAAATTATATTTACCGGCTAAATCATTGCTAAGTAATTTCTAAAAAAACTTTTATAAATAAAGCGTTACCAGCAATATTTTGTTATTTGCATTTCGTCTCTCATAGAGTTTACGTGCAAAAATATTGTATTATTTTTTTGATTTATATTCCTTTCGTGTTGAATAACTTGAACGGAAATGGACGGATACACGAATTTCTGGGTATGTAAAAATTATAAGCTTTTACATCATACACGTTTACTTATTATAAGAGGTTAACACATCATTTGGTAGCTGTGTCATTCGGGGCTGTTGTTGCCTGACTTTTGTAGTTCATCCCGGAAGGATCGCCAGGAAAAATGGGGTTAAGACGCGAAACCGACCGGTTGCCTGAGTGTAGTGTTGTTTCGGCACTTATAACTTATAAGTGCCGGATTCTCGCGCGCTAAGTCTCGGTAGATAAAGGACTACTCTACAATTCCAACGCGGTGTCGCATGACCTCCTCTCTGCCGCAACGGCCGAGTAATTAGCGAAAAACACCCCGTTTTCAAATTTCAACTATGACATTTTGAGATTTGTGCTGTGTTATTTCCGCGTATCAACGCGTAACGACGGCAAGTCAACAAATAAATTTTTGTAGGATTTTGACCAAGGAAGGGTGTTTTGACCATTCTGAGGCCGCCAATCTGTCTGGATCGGTCCGGGACCTATATGCAAAAGGGTTCACCCCCCGTAAGACTAAAGGAAACTGGGCAAATCGAGGAAAAACGATATTTAACATAGATAGTTGTGATAAATGTCATCGCTGTCATGAACGATAGCGATGTCGTCTCCAGTGCACCAGAGCCGCAAGACCCAAGCTAGGGAAACGCGAGGAAAGAGAAAAGAGAAGATCGCGCGTCTTATCAGTCTTAGCAACTGCATTGTAATTGTAAACGCTTTACATGTGAACTAGCCATTAATAACGATAAAGCAAGCGTTGAAAACACTTAACCACTTTTTCGTGTCAGGGCAGGGCATTTTAATTGTCGACGTATTATTTACCGGACAACAAAACCAAATGTTATTTTTACAATTTCGATACTATATATATATATATACGCCGTTTCAGGTGGTGTTCGACCAGACGGTGGACCCGGCGTTGCTTTTCGAACAACTGTATCCTGCGAGGCCAATTTTCGCAATGCCTGTATATCCGCAGCCGGTAAGTACGCTGAATATGACTTATGTCCACATAACAACTTAAAAACTTGTAATACTCAAATCGTTTTTCCCGCCTTCGTCGTTGTAGGTGGATATGCAACACATCTGGATGCCGGTTAACACCGCTGAACCGCAACCGACGATGGTTGATCAGACAGTGCCACATAATACATCGGTCAGTGTCTCCACACAAACGACAGTTATAGTCAAGAGTGTGGCGGTTCAAACGACGACATTAATCGAGAAATCAACACAAACTACAGCCCTGGTTAGCCCTAGGGTAAATACGTCTCTAACTGTCAGATATATATAATATATACTTTATATTATATATAAAGGAAAATGAGAGTAAAGGGTGGAATTTCCCCTCCCCTATCCCTCCTCTCCTGACCAGGAGAAAAATACAAATTAAATTTATAGTAGACTTATAATAAAACTAAACAGAAAATAATGAAGTTTTTAACAAATAATAATTATATAAATAACGGTATTTTTTTTTAAATTCATCAACAGGGAAGAATGTTAAGCCCCATCTCAGAAATACCGCCTTCGCCGAAGTCGAAGCCGTCTCGATTACCAATACCGAAACCAATGTCGTTGTCCGCGGTGGGTACGTCACCTTTAGCAGTGTCCAACAATGAAACGCCGGTAAGTAAACTGAATATGACATGTCCACATATTAGTTATACATAAAAGTATATTTTTTGTTCATAAACTAATAAGCAATTAAGTCCATCTAGGATAAAGAATACATAAATTAAAAGTAACATCACTACAACCCCCCTAGTCTCGTCCCTAATTATTTTTTAATTTAAGATTGATGTATACTTCAATATTATTAGATTCATAAATCATATTCATATACATACTAAACGTCTAAACTAGTCAAAATCAAATTATAAATTTTTATAAATATATTGAGAATAATACTAAGTAGAATAAATAAATTCATTAAATTTGTATGCCTTACTAAGGTGTATTAGAAGAAGTATTTAATTGTCTCTCCGCATTCTCAGTTAATTCATTTTCGGTCGCAATGGTTTCAAGAGGACTTAGAGGAGGAGGTTTACTAAACAGTTCATAAAATTGTTTATTTATCAAAAACTGAATTAATTTACGTTCAAGACGTTGGTTGTTTTAATTTCTTTTTACTACTCGGCTCATTTGCAATCAAATGAGATTGAGACTCTGTTTCACATGGCAGTTTGGAGGTTGATGGACGTTGATTACTTAAATAAGAAGTCAATTTTGCCGTTTGAGAAACAACTTTTTGCTCTCTTTCTAATTTTAATTTAGAAGCTTTTTTATAAGCAGAACCACTTAAGCGTTTACTGCCGTCACTCATTTTAATTATCACGTACAAAAGAATGTATTATACAAATTACAGACGAAAATCAATGAGTGTTTGTATTTTGTACACAATGGTCCGTGATCAATTTGTACAGAACATCAGAGAGGTTTCAGGGAGATTCACCCTAATAAGTGATAATAATAATTTTATCAGCTATTTTCTTTTAAGTATAATAGTCATAATAATTATTAGTATTATTCAAATTGATACGACTCACCGCATCTTCAGGAGATTAAAATAGAGATATATCCAGAGGGCGGCAGGATGGGAGGAATACAGGAATAGGCTACAGGCAAAATGAGAGTATAGGGTGGGATTCCCCCTTCCCTATCCCTCCTCTCCTGACTAGGAGAAAAATACAAATTAAATTTATAGTAGACTTATAATAAAACTAAACAGAAAATAATGAAGTTTTTAACAAATAATAATTATATAAATAACCGTTTTTTTTTTTAATTCATCAACAGGGAAGAATGTTAAGCCCCATCTCAGAAATACCGCCTTCGCCGAAGTCGAAGCCGTCTCGATTACCAATACCGAAACCAATGTCGTTGTCCGCGGTGGGTACGTCACCTTTAGCCGTGTCCAACAATGAAACGCCGGTAAGTAAACTGAATAAGACATAACTTTGTTTTTATCAAAACACTTTTTACCGTTCAAATCCCTAACATTAATAGTACAACGTTTATCATTTTATTTTGTATGTGAGTAATACCTTCTTTGTGAACAAACTGATGTAACTACGATAAGTTACCTTTTATAATTGTACCTATATTATTATCGCTCTGATTAGTGAGCAACCGGATAAAAAAAGCATAATTTTGTATTATTTTTACAACACACATTGTTGTCATTTGGGTTTCAGAACTGCTGATAAACTCAATTGTTTTTTCCTTATTTCTTATTTTACATAAAACATTATGACAATGTCGCAATATAATATATGCAGCTACCCTTACTAATATTTTTGTTCATGACGAATATCTGTCAAATAAGTATAACTTTTGCTTCGTTGATACTGTTACAACTGATGTAATATTTTTGATTTTATTATTTTAATTTGCCTATTCTTCTCGGGGCCTTTTGAGCCAATGAGGACCCGTCCACCATAGATCTTTTTTTTTTAACTCCATCGGTGTACTTTTGCGCGTTAAAATGTCCGCGGGGTTCTTACTAGTTTCTGCGTACCCTGCAGTCAGATATTTTTGTCGATTCGTGAATTTCATCGACCCTATTTGCAACATTATATGTTTTCCAGCGCAATGATTCAACGGCAATCCAGCCATTGGCAATTTTAGCCACTACAATTACTATTGGCACTACAAGACCTAAACATAGATATGTCTAATATAATAAACAAATAATTTACAAATTAATAATTATATTTTTCCAATGGCATATAGTATGAATTTTATAATTGAAAACTTTAATTTAACTATGAAATTTTATATGGTAACCATTGATTACATTATCATATTATACGACATTTTTGTTATTTTTTACCACTTATGAAGTGGATATATTTATAGTTTGATGCTATTAAATGGCATTTTCACATCTAATTTTACTCTTATATAGTAAAGGATAGGTTATATTTCTTTTAACTATATCCGTGCACGTGTATCCGTTCAATTACATAGGCTAACTACACATATCTTGACTACAAGAAAATTACTTTTTATGTTAAGGCGTTTGTAGTTCCCTGCTGGAGGTGCGGGGAACGGGGACACTACAAAGTCAACTGCACGGCCTCATTCCAGAAGGCTAAAGAGTTCAGGGAACTACGGAAGGCATATCCGATTCCATGCTGGAAATGCGGTGAACACGGGCATTACAAGGCAATGTGCCCTAGCCAAGTAATAGATTAACTGCAGTAAGCCATAAGAGTGATGTCGGAGGTACATCTATTGATCCACTTTTGGCTTAGTCCTAGGACTAGGCAGTGTTTATACGGGATACTTTTTTCATCTGACTTTTTCTTGGCCGTCGACCGTATATCGTTCCTAGGCGTCTGCATCAACGGTGTACCAATCGCCTCTGAGTAAGTTCTCGTTGATTCCTTGTTTTTGGGCCCAGGTTTCTACGGTTCAGGCACCTCCCCCGCGGGCTGATTGGATTCTCCTCCTGCAGTTTTGGCCTCTATTGTGGTTTTTAGTTTTTTCTAGTTCTGCCGTAGTAGCCGAGTAATCGTCTGTCTTGTGAACCGCTTGGATGTATTCATCGGGACACTGTTGACGTCCGATAAAGCAGATGTTTATTCAGTATCCGTTTCCATATTTCAACTTGTCATAGTTATTTTCTCGGTCAGGTATTTTTGTCAGTAAACAGTTTTTTTTAACATCCTACGGGATACCAAAGGGTCGTTCCACGTGAAATCACCTAATGGGTGTGCGACTATATTTCAAAAATGTTTCAACATTTTTCAAAAAAAATGTTTGGGGTCAAAAAGTTAAAAATTAAAAACAAATATTTCGTTTATATAAAATTTAAGTTCTTATGGCCCATATCATCTTTGAACCAATTACATTTTTTTTTTTTTGCTATTTATTTACGGCTTCTAACATGGGTATTTTGCTGAAAACTACCTACTGACCCATAACACAAATGTGACTGAACGAAAATTTTCCGAATTTATGTAATACTTACTTATAAGTGAGTATTGCATAAATTTGGAAAATTTTCGTTCAGTCACATTTGTGTTGTGGGTCATTAAAGTAGGCAGTTTTCAGCTTACCACCTATGTCAAACATTTTTGAAATATATTCGCACACCAATTAGGTGATTTCACATTGAACGACCCTTTGGTATCTCGTAGGATGTTATAAACATGGACTAGGCCTACTGGGGAAACCATGTAAAAAAAAACGCGCCGTGCTTCTACCTCAATGGTGGTGTGGAAACGAATGCATTCTTATTATCGTAATATACTCATAATTTCGTATGGTAAACGTTAAAATTCGTATACCGCAAATGCGATTGCATATATATTAATTAATGTTATGTTTAAATTATATTGGAATTTCTCAAATGTTTAGTATTTTTGGTTATTTTAAGTAAACGAAATAGTTATTCAATTCACATTTTAGTAAATATTAAATAGTATAACTATGTTCTTGAAATTTTGAATTTTAACACCATATGAATTTAATACAACTGATTTAAATTAATGCATATATAACATATTATTTTGTATCAATTGTTGTTTACGAAGATTTAAATTACTAACTAACAATTAATATTTATAATTAATAAATAATAATATCTTAGATTCTTCAAAGTTCAATCGCTATGGTCTAAAGGTTTAACTGTTATAATATGCTTAAAAGTAAAAACTAATAATAAACCCAATACAGTAGTACAAAATATGGTCACAATTAATTTAGATGCGCCTTACCTATATTGCATTTTGATACCGTTATACTAATGAACAAATTGAATAATTGCGTAAATTGTGTATACTTCCAATAAGTGTAAACCGAAAATTTTGACCCTTACCACTGATGGTAGAACATTTTTTCCATCACCAAACTTTTACCAGATGTTCACTTACAAGTAAGTATTGCATAAATTTGGATAATTTTCGTCTAGTCACATTTATGTTGTGGGTCATTAAAGTAGGCAGTTTTTAGCTTACTACTTATGTTTGAAACCGTAAATTAATAGAAAAAAATTTAATTGGTTCAAAGATGATATGGGGTCATAAAACATAGCTTGAATTTTATACAAGCAAAATATTTTTTTAAAATTGTATATTTTTTAACCTTAAAAAAAGTTTTAGAAAAAAAAAAGTTGAAATCTTTAATAATTCTGCTTTTTTTTATTCTGATCCAATAACAATAACGCCCTGATTAAAAACGGTAATTATTAATTGTTTGAACATTTATGGCTTTTACAAATCAGTGAAATAAAATATATACTAATATTACTTTGATTTAACGTTATGAGGAGTGATCGGTACTGGATATAATCTTCGCGGGCAAGTGATTCCAAATCCGGGTAATCTCTTTAAGTCAAACTGACAACAAATACTTGGATCAGGACCGCAAGTATGAGGTATATCGTAATTATAAAATGGCATCATGTGTGTAAACATCGCATTACTATGACTGCATTTGTCGTCTAAACGCACAAAATACAAATACAAACGGGTACTTTTAAAATAAGATTTTGCCCGGATATAGATCTGGGCAAAATTCACATTTTACTCTTGACTTCAAGAGTTTAATAATTATTTGATGTTTTATTTATATATGATAATGCCCAGGTTTTATCAGAAATCACCACATCATATTCTAATATTTATTAGTAAATAATCATTTGTTATTTTCTTTACTTAGCGGTAATATTCAAATTTTCTTTTAGCATTGATGTCCGTTTACAAGTTGCGTTATCATAGAAGAATAGTGTGAATTTGCCTCGTCTGTCATAACCCAACCGCCAGTAACAATTTCTAATTGACTATTCGTAATTAAACCTATAGCAAAAAAAATCTATTATTAGGTAAATTAAATATGACAATTTTCCTTGATATTACTTTTTCACTTTTTTTTAGTTGCTTGATTTATATCTTTCCACCAAAGTGAAAAATAGGATATTTCTGCCCAAATAAATTTACGTCTATGGTCTTCAGACAATTTGATGACCATATTATTTAATATATTTTTTGTATCTTTACGATAGTAATCTTCAAAAGTGTGTTTCTATCCAGGATCATTAGGAGAATGTGAATATTCCAGTCTTGTTTCCGTGCCCCACCATCAATATTATCAAATGGCAATGCATCATAAACCTTTAGCATCTTAACATAATGCATAATATGATCATATTAAAAAAAAAAATTATAGAACCACTAACATACTTAGAAATATAACATTAAAAAAAAATATAATAAGCTTATAGATTTAATTTATACAATGATTTTATAAGTATCAAGTATAGTAATATGCTCTATTTTGAACTATAAATATATTGGTTAAATTAGATTATTAAATATCACTTCTTACATCAATATTTGGTACGCACGTTCTATTCAATAAAAAAGTAGCACATTCATTTGTTTCTTTGGAATTTTTATTCATATCACTCTAAGAAAATATTATCTTCATAAGTTCATAAGAAATACTTGAGTATGTTAAAGTAAAATGTATTAAAAGATGTGTTTACCGTTAGCTTATTAGTTGTCTGTAACACTTCTGGGTTACTACTATCTAAGTAGTTCATTTTATCATAACTAAAAGATAAATAATCCTTGTCTAAGTGGCTGTATACATTCTGAAGGTGTGCATAAAAATGTTTTGCACCATATTGCTAAAAAATAAAAATATTTTAATAATTTTAGTAAAACTAATGTCAGGCTGAAACATACATTACTAATTTGGTTTTCTAGTAAAATATATAGTATAAAACACAAAATTAAAACTATAAATATAAACCTTTTTTTTTAATTCATTTTAATATTTGTCAAAAGTTAAAATTCATATTTTTCCCAATAAAGTATTTCATCTGTTTAGAGAAAAAAAATATCAGGATTTTAAACGAGTTGTAAGCTATAAAACTGTACAAATGTACAATATTATTATTGGACATGGTTATAATTATTGCAAATTATATGAGTAGAGTACAGATAATTTATAAATGAACAACTTATTAGTATAATAATTTCTTTCCAGCCTAAGCATACATCAACAGAGTTGTTCACTGTTTTGACTTGCTTACTGGCGACTGCTGTCGGCTTATCAATTTTAGTTATCATATTTTATCCATAGACTTGATAATAATATCGATTTTGTTTTATAGTTTAGTTTTATCGATATTGGGAAAATATCAAATTAAATATAAAAGTGGTGTTATCCCCAAGAAATTTATACGAAGCGCTGTTATCAGTTGAGAAAAGTTTTCATAATGGCATTACACCACTTTACCATATTGCATAGGTACGTTATCGAGGACCATTTTTTCCACTGTACACTTTTTTCAATGACCAGTTTCTTATATGGTAGACTGACACAATTTTCGGATAGTCGTCCGCTATTTTGTATGTTTACACATCTGTGTGCTCGTACTACTGTCTACTACAAAACAATTAAGGAAGCCCAGTAAAAATGAATTAAACTTTTTTACCAAACTTAAATAATTCGTTTTTTTCTACGCTGACAAACTGCGAAAAATCGATTTTAATAATAATCGTTAAATGTATTTTAAAAATTACACATTTAAAATAATTAATTTGTTCACGAACAATTTCAATAGGGTTGGGAGATTACTTATTTAGCAAGGTGCCCATTAAATTTCACAATTTTTATACTAATAAATTAGCTTTTTGATAAAATTCGAAATGAGCGCACAAAAAATCATACTCCAACATATAAAATAAAATCCTTATTCCTTTCGCGCAATAGAGCGAAAACAATAATACATATTATTATGATGTATTAATTATTATATTATGAAACATAGAACTGTACATATGGTGTAACTTTAATTAATTTGTCTATCGTAGCAATAAGACAAACAAATTTTTTTTTTTTATTATTAAAAAAAATCAAAAATGTAATTTATATGTCTAGGATATATCCGTAGGCTGAAAACATAAAAACATTTTAGTGTCATTTTTCCATTTATTGGTTAAATTAGTGTCACTAAAAATTACACAAGTGGCTCAGTTTGCTTCTTCATCATAGGGAAATGTTTTACCATATCTTAATTACTCTATTAGTTTCAAATTTGGTACTTAACGATCGAAAATATGTGTTTTGTACCGACAAAAACAAAATAACTAACACACTTAATACTCTTTTGGAATCTCCAGGATGGAATAAAATGAGCAACTGGAAAGTCAAATTCTCTGAAAAAATCTCCGTTCTTTCGAAAGATCAAAGATATTTTTTTTCTGTAAGTGATTTATTGTACAGAAACATTGCAGAATCCACTAAAATTGTAAACGATTACGACTACACAACTAAATACGACATGATTATTTATTCGTTATTATGCGTGTATGCAAATGCAATGGTCAAGTTTATAAATTTGACTCGAATTATTTTATATATTGGCACCATGGAAAGACATCGCTTAAGCCTAATAAAGGGTAGAAAGACACGCAAAATGCGTAAGTAAGAAACTAAAACGCGTTCAACACACGAAGAAAATGAAGGCGATCTTGAGGAAAACAATTATTCCTCTGATAAGCCGTCGTGTTCTATTGAAAATTCTGGAGAGTTTATGAACTCCTGGAAAATATTTAATTCTGCTATAAAACAATTTAAGAAAAGTTGGTTGATGTTTGACCACATGTTTGAAGCGTTGCGTTTTTTACGGGAACTGGTCCCACAAGAATATTTTCTCAAGACGTATTCATCGGTATTGATACATTTTGCTGACACTGTGTCATTTTATAAAAACAGAACTACAGACATAAAACTTGTTTTGCCTATGTACAGCGGGGAAGACGATAATTGCTATAATAATAAAATTAGCGATTTAAGCAGACCATTTAACTTGTTTCTCAACAATAGTCAAGCGATAGATCGTTATATAAACAATTATTGCATTATACCAGATGACGATAAGCCACAGATCGTCAAAGAGAAAGATGTATTCAAAACTTTTTTTAATACAGAGAAGCGATGTACGATTAAAGACAAATTTCAAGTCGTTCAAAAATTGGAGGTCCAAATTGAATCGCTCGTAAAAAATGTCATTCAAAAATACTTTTAAGATTTGGGATTCGTGTATGATTTCACCAACTAGAGATTAATACTTTTAATTCTTTCTAGTAGTAGGCGAAGCTTATGATCCAACACAATTCTGGAAAATAAAACATTTTTTGTAATGTAAGGCACTTATATAACTTGTAGTGTTCAATTACATACAAAATAAGTTATAAATAATTTTTACACAGTACGCTTTAATTTCAATATAAATTATAATTATTTATAATTCTGTAAGATCATATTATTAATAATGTTTATTTAAAAAAAAATATATATATATATATATTGGTATTTTTTTTACTTTGGGAAAAAAATTGTACAAATTACAGACACGGTACACATTAAAATCAACGTACCTATGTCATTTTTAGATAGAGTACAGATACTTAATTTGCAATTTAATATTATTCATAATAATATGAATAATATTGTATTTTAACATGCCACCTTGAGTACCAAGGTGTACGAGATACTAAGTGGTTCTGTATTGATGTTGAGACTATCGCTGGATCATTATGAGTTGTGAAAATTTCTTTGTCATCCGCATATTCTGCTACGTTAGTGTTTGCTTGAGTTGGTTGATCAGAGATGTCTTTCGCTGAGATAAGATTTGAAAAATAAACAATATGGTTGCGGCAAGAAGGTTTTTAATTTATATAAGAGCCCTGGGTGTCATACCTTGTCGAACGCTTGCGAGACATCTAGCAATACTGCAGATGTATAAAGCTAATTTTCTGGAGCGAGCTGGAAAGTGCATCTGCATATCTATGAATTTGATGTATTGTTGAGTGTGATTCTCGGAATCCAAATTGGGTATCGGGAATAATTGATTTCTCTTTAATAATTGGGTAAATACGCAGTGTGCTCCAAACGTTCATTAACCCACAGGCCACATACATAATTTTCATTATGATACTACCCTCTTTGCATATGGCAGACTGACACAATTTTCGATTAGTCGTCCACTATCTTGTATGTTTAGAAATCTGTGTGCTGTGTGCGTACAAGCAACTACGAAACAATAGTAGGGAAGTTCAGTAAAAATGATTTGAACTTTTTTACCAAACTTAATTATTCCGTTTTTTTCTCCGCTGAAAAATTCTACTATAATGATAATAATAATATTAAAAAATTACACGTTTAAAATAATTTATTTGCTTATGGACAATTTGAATAGGGTTAGGAGACTACTTATTTAACAAGGTGTCCATTATATTTCGAAATTGTTAAAATTTTAACTCAAAAAAAAAATTGAGTTATTTGTCATATATTATAGTACATATATAGTACGAGCTACCTAATGAATTAAAGTTTTTGAACAAGTTAACATAACATTATATACATAGGCGTAATTTCAATTGTTAACTCGGGGGGGGGGGGGGGGCTGGAAATTGTTTTTAAATGTACATATATTTTTGTATTTTAAAATTGTATGCATAACCTATTTTTTTTGGTGGGACTATGTCTAGCATTGAGGAGGGGCTAAGCCCACCCTAGCCCCCCGTATTTGCGCCTATGATTATGTAATTTGATATTATAAGTATGTAGATTAAAGATCTATTCTATAAAAAAAATTAAATATAGTAATCAAAATTTAAAGAACTTTACTTAGTTAAATATCCTATATTATTATTAGGTATTACTAAACATATTGACTTATGTCTATTTAAGAGGAAATATTGTTTTAAAAAAAAACATAGAAACCTTACTGAAAAAGTACTGTTAAGTATAATTTTAATCACCCCATATAAATATAATAATTAATTGAGGAACAAATTAGTACTTCCCAACTATATCACGCATGTGCTTTTGATAAAGCTCAAAATGAGCGCACAAAAAAATTGATAACCCAACATAAAATAATAAAATAGAATTAATAAATTTGATTGTATATTTGTACACTTATAAGTTATAACGATACACTATCCGCCAAAATTTCTAAGTCAAATAAAAATATTTGGAGATAAAAAATTACCTTATATACCTAAATCGATAAAAAAACGTATGTATAAAATATTGCTTACATTTTGCCCCTTAATAAATAAATGCTTCCGGTACCATGTTTGAAACATTATTCTAAAGAAAAAATATTTTTGTTTTTAAAAGTACGTTTCTAATAAATACCAATTAGTAATAATCAATATGACTTATAAAAAAATGATTATTTTAATTTGATTTAATTACTTTTGTCTGTTACCTTTGCATGACAGATATTATTTCTGACTAGGTAGACCATTACTAGGATAGTTTTGACAAGTTGAAATTTGTACTTAAAATATTTTATTTGCAATGTCTATAAAAACGTTTCTTAAACAAACTAGTTAGGTAAAGTCCGTCTAGAACCTATTTTAGAGTTTAATACATAATGATTTGAATAAAAGGAAGACGAATACATATTTCTACAACATACCTAAAAAAAATTAACTGTCCGATTTCGGTTATCTCAGTTGTCCAAAAAAGAAAAAAAGTTCGAACAAAATATTTTAAATATTTAACAAAAACTATTTCAGCAATAAAAAAAAATTACAAACACGTAGAAAAAATCCGTAAAGTTCAACTGGTTTCCAAGGTAAACTTCGTTTTTATTAAATTTAGAATAATTTTTCGCACAAGACAAAAGTCATTAGTAACATACTAAAACGCTACTCACTATAAATATTTAACTTAACCTTATATAATTATCTAACCAGTAACCTTATATAATATATAATACCATAGCTACAAACTAGCATATTTAATTAATTATGTGAATAATCAACATAGTTCATTTATACTTAATTTGATATCAGCTTAATTAAAACAAATTAAATCCCCATTATGAGTTGAAGAATTTTTTATGTTTAATATTAGCTAGTTATGTAGATTAAATTAGGTATGTATTTAATACATCCAAAAAGTACTGAACAGAAGTTAGATACATTCTGATTTTTTATTTTCTTAACATAACCTATTAAATAGCCAATGAAGCTCCGCGGACTGGATTAAAATACAAAATTAAATGTATCGAATAGGTACAATTGATTATATAAATACTATAATCTAAAAACTAACACAATAAAGTGACTAGGCCCTAGGGATTTTTATTCTAATAAAAATATAAATGTTTTATACCTAATACTATTGATTATAGGTATATTTAATATTACTGGTAATGTATAATCAATGTTAATAAGTAGGTAATAATACTTTTATATGAGTTTTTTTCGTTTTAAGAAAAACGTACACTTTTTTGAAAAACTGGTGGTTAAAAAACGATAATATATATTTGATTTTCAATTTAATACGAGCTCATTGACAAAATGGACTGTGTTACAATTTTTAAAGGAATTCAATTTCATTTCTATTTATTTTTGTTATGTTTAATAGTTATAAAAATAGTCGATTTTTTCTTCAAATTACTCGTTATATTTTCATGTGGATGTAATTGAATTCAGGTATCAAATTTCTTTATTGTTGTATTATAATAAACTTTTAATTAATAGACAATAGTTAATAATGGGGGGGAAATGTGCAGTTTGTTTAGGGAGTAGGAGCTAAGAAATAGTAGGTATTATTTTCTCGCTTAGAGACAAATTGGCAAGAATAATATGTTAGGAAAAAAGGTTCGGACAAAAATCACCTCGATAAAATTAAACAATAATTTTTTTTTTCAAAACTATAAATATATTTAATTTGTGAGTTGTTATGAGATATGAACGAATGACATTATAACTTACATATTATCTGAAGACAGATTTAATGAATTCAGTATTCAGAGAATTATTCGCCTAGTGACTAGTTATTGATATATAAAAAATAAATTTCGGTAATAATGTAGATATTAACCAAACATTATGTATTTGTGCCAGGTGACTTGTATGGTAATGCACACAAAAATGATTATGCTATTCGGTCAACTACTTTGGCTACAGTATAGTATATTGTCTTACAGCTATCTCATTCATCATTTTATGGTACTAACTATTCACTGTGGAACTTTGGTCTCTCTCTCCGATGATTCTTTTAGTAGTTATAACTGATAAAACATAATTCATAAGTTGTGTTTCAGGTATTTTAACGTATGCGAGTTATAGTCCCTTGGTATCTTTTATTATTCTAATAGTTAAAACAACTAATGGTCAGTGCTGGGAACGGTTATGATCAAGACATTAAGCTCTTATAGAAATTTAAACTACTTTATATGAACCCACTTCACCGAGTGGTCTGACTCGTCTTGCTGGACAAGGTGTAGTTTTTAGACAAAGTCGCCTTGATTTTCATGATTTTTTTTATGTGTGTAAAATAATTTCTTCACTGTCAGTTGGCACACCGCATTTACCTAAGTATATTATCATACACTAACAGAATTATTATCGTTTACAGTTTACTGTATTACGGTATTCCACTTGAACCTTTCCCCAAACACACTTGTTAACAAGTAAAGAATATCCTACAATGATAACACTGTGATGATAATTTGTGGCTCATATAAATGATATAGATATATTAAAGTAACGACTAGATCAACATTTTACTATTGAGTGTTAACTGTTTGTTTTATCGTTTTTTGTTTACAGACGTAGTCTGTTTTCATTGCATTTGCTATTATATAAATTATATTATCACACGAGGCGAGAACGAAATTCCCTGTTTTAGAAACGTGATATATACAATTATGTATTGTACAATAGTATGTACATATATTATGCATCTACATTCGCGCGACCTTCTCGTTTAAGGCCAGGTGTAGTGTTGTAGTATAGTATAATATTGTTGTGTAAATAATTGTGAAAAACGCGAAGATAACGATAATCGCGTAGTCCGATAACGAAATGAAACTGTAATTTAGCTGATAACAGCTGACAACTTCAGCAGCCCGACTATAGTTTTTCAATTTTTCTATATACCAGAAACAGAAGCCAAGACGTGTAAGGTTCGGATTGTTTATGTGTAAAGAGGTATTGGACTATTGCGCGAGTTAATATACTACTACTATATATTACTATATGTTTATTATTATACGATTTTTTCTATTATTATATTATACTTTGAAACAGTTGTATGTAAAACAACGGCGACGCCGGTGGGAGGGATCTGCGCGTATCGATTCCTAGGCTCCTCCCACCGCGTTGCGTTCCCGGCGGTGTAATATTACCGTGCACGGTTGCCAGGTACGGTAAGTCGTCGCGGCCGCCGCGCTGGTCGGGGGGCGCGAGAGGGAGAGGGTTGCGGTCGTCGCCGTCCGCCGCCGCCGCCCATTGCCCCGGAACAGCTGACTGCCGCAGCGGTGGTGACGTCACGGGCCGGACGCTGCGATAAAGACGGCGTCCCCGTGCGACGCGCGCCACCGCGGTACGATACGGCTATCCCGAACCCCCACACATGCACGCGTTTCTAGCAACACGGCCTCGCCGGCGCAGCTGCTGTTAAACACACGGACACACTGCTGGGATTCCGCGTCCGACCGTCCGTTTCGCGGGTTCTCGCCGCCGTCGTTCGATTGTTCTTTTGCCGCTCACGTAGATCATCGGTAGGTATATATACGTAATAGCAATACAATATATACATAAGACGTGTAGGGTGTCTCTCGCCAGCTACCGTTTCTCCCGCGCGTATTATTATTGTCTCGTGTCTCGACTCCGCAAGACCAACGTGTGTACCTAGGCGCCGACCGTCGAGGATAATCGGTAAATTATTTGAATTTCCGTCGTTGTAATTTTGAATTTCTAACGAAGTAATAAGCATCTCGACCGTCCGAGTTGGACGATATTAAGTTATTGTCGCGTGTCGGGTGTAATAACAATCGTGTAATAACGACCAATTGCAGACAACAAATTAAATCCGTCGGACGGCGAATTAACGTTACTAAGGACATCGGCATGCGCCCAGAGGTAAGTGGGTCAGGATCGTGGCTATGATATAAGCGTGGAGTGTGTACTATTAAAGTGGTGCAATATGTTCCACTTTTTGTACCGTTTCGGTTAAGACATTCCCCCCGAGTCGCACTGTCGCTCTCACCGACGCGGCGACGTCCCGACATTCGAATTTGATTTACCTACGCGCATATTATTTATTGTAACAGTCGACGGTAATTTTGTGTCTTATTTTAATTGCTCGGCGTACAACAAAGAAATCAATCCGACCGAGCTATGTGTTTGTGATTCGCCAATTATCTATATCCGGTCTTCTATGAGGTTTTCCTCTTTTTCGTCTAGTTCATGGTCGCGCCAGACTACAGCTGTCCGCTGTAATCTTGTACTTGACATTAATCAAACAATTTTCATATTTTAAAACGTAATCATTTCTCCCGCGTGTGCGTGCGTGCGTGCGAGCACGCTTGTGTGTGTGTGTTCCACTTCCATTAAATTATTATAGTTCCCATTCGCCAGTTACACCAGTAGCCTCTGTTCGCCGTTAAGATCCAGTCGAGCGTGTGTGCGCCTTTCGAATAGATTTTCGGTGTTTTTTTTCTCCCCTTCGGAATCCAGTTTGTGATTCGTCGTGTTCTGATCGTTTTTCGCGTCCACGATGATTGTACAGCTGATTTCTATTGGCCATTCCTGCCGTTACACCACCGAACGTTTGTTTACAGCAGCACGCCAATAGAACTATAATATATTATATAGATGATTACACGGTTCCCTGTTCTGTTTACTAGGTACGTAAACGACTAACGTTTGGGGAGATTATTGAAATGACATATATTTTTTATTCTCATATTAAAATAACCAATTTCCGATCGGTATCTGCGTACGCCGCTGCGGTTGTATTCTGTCGACCGCGCATTCAGCTGTGTATTGGTATTGTTCGGAGAATTTCTAATTGCATAAGTTTCAAGTTTAAATACAAAACGAGTGTTCAAGGTTGACATTCATGGACGTCGTTTTAAAATAGTCACAGCTTGCTAATTGCATACCGTGTTTTATGTACCATATTCGACGCAATTACGGCGCTTTACACCATTTTCGTCTTAATCAATATTGTTTCGAGATCGATGCAATTCACAATGGAAATTTAAACATACCTACCTACATTTTGGCAAAATGAAAAGTATATACCATTTGCCTTCCTACATAATTAAAATCACGAGAAAGTTATTATAGCCCGAGGTTCACATCCACATACTCCCCTCCATTTGTTTTGGCTATGAATAATAACATTATAGGCAGTGCCAAATGTAACTGTTACTGAATTTTGTATATATGTATTCATTTATTTGTGTGATTATGCTAGTTGGGTGTGTAGGTTTTTTAGACAACATAATATAATATATTATGCAAACATTTTTTTTTTTTTTTTAAATCACTTTACTTTGTGTATCCTTATTTTCAGAAAGAAATCAGACAATAATTGAAATGGACCGGAATGTCACGATACAAAAAAAATGGGTGTTGCTGACCCATAGGCCCTATAACGGTTCAATGTAAATTAATGGATTAATGATTAGTTTAACCTATTTGATTTAGAAATGTTTTTGCATTACAAAAAAAAAAAAACGAGTTCTATTTTTGATTTTATTTCTGTTCTTTTAACTTGATTAAACATTTTTGGATAGTATTAAGTACCTAGATGCTTGTTTCTTTTCTTAAAATCTCAATTGTAATTTTTATTATGTTTTGTTAATTAAAAGGCAATATTGTTTTTGGAAATAAGTGCCTGGACTTACTTTACTTCTCTTTAAAGAACATTTTTATACTACACGTAATTTCAATAGGAAAAAATAAGTTGAATATAATTTTCTAATTATTTTATTACTTCAAATATTATCATATTATTTTGTGTGCGTATGTGTATATTTTAATTTATAATTAAGTTGTCGTTAACTCATTACTTTAATTGTAGAGATGAGGTTAGCTGATATTTAAAATTGTATAACTGGGTTAAAATTAACCCAAGATGGATGTTACCTAGAATGACCAAGGAATTTGCGAGCTTCGAATATTTATCGTCAACAAATCATATATAATTTGAATATGATTACTCACTAATGATTATCTTTGGCGCGAATTTTGAATTTGGGTAAGATTGACAAATCCTCTATAAATGAGATAAATATTAACTAAATCCAAATGGTTTTATCATTTGTTATATTTTGTTATGTTACAATAGTGTTTTATTGAATTTAACACGTTATACGTTTTAATTTGTATACAGATTTAAATGATAAAATTCAATTAACTGTATGGTAAATATTCTTCAAACAATAGTTTTGCATAAGGCTTGTTTTTTATACACTGAAATATTATAAATTATAATAATGAAAATAATTTTTTTTATTTCCTTATAAGCACATGTTTAGACTATAACTGTTATATTCTTTAAAGCTTGGGATGTTTATAGTATCATAATAAAAAAAGGAAAGAAATTACATAAACATTTTATTGAGGAAAAATAAATAGTTCTGAAAAGAATCATTCTTTTTGCAATTTCATTACAGCTTAAGAAATAATTACGCTAGGTCTTATCTGATTTTGTTCAAGCGTGAGAACTTAGTTATATAAATAATTAAGGTACTAAGTATATTATATGAAATAATATTAAATAAAACCTAATTTTTTTTCAACAAATATTTGAATATAACCAAATTTACATATAACCAAAAAAATCCAATTGCTATTATTTGAAAGAAAAGAAACTACTCTACAATTTATGATTATTCTGAAAAGTTTTATTGGACCATTTTTTTTGTTGTAATACTGGAAATGTTTAGTAGTTTTGAATAGTCCAATTATTTTGAAAATAATCATATTTTTCATGATTTTGTGTAAAAAGTAAATGAGTTGGATACTTTTACTAGAGAAAACAATTAAACGTTATAATACAGTGTGATAAATGATAATTATACTGTAAAAGTTTATAGCGCAGAAAGAGCTAACAAATTCAGTGCGCGTTAATTGTGGAACATGATAATATAATTTGAATTAATTATTCAAAATATTTTCTCCTCCTTTTTAAATTTTAAATCAATTTTAATATGTCTTACAGCTGCTATAGATGATGTTTGGCCTAAATTTCATATTCAAATTTATTAATTCTCTTCTCGTTGGAATGTTTTAATCTCTTTATAAGTTCTGTTAAGTCATATAGGCAATGAGAAAACAGTGTAGTGTTTATATTATTATCTTCACGAAAAATATGATTGTTAAAATATATCGTTAAACATATTCACTAAATTACTTGCAAAATATAAACTGACTAATTGAGTTTGTATAGTTAAATAGACAAATTTTCATAAAATATAATTTTACAGTAAATAATAATATTATTTTGATATTTTACATTAGCATTTTATTTAGATGCAAAATCATTTTTTGATTTGAATAATGACTAAATTGACAAATTAATATTAATATGAAAAATTCACTTGATTATCTCTTTAGAATTGGATTTTATAATCAATAATTAAACAATGAACAAATTATATTGGTATTGTTTTAAACGGCTTTTTGAAACATCGGAATGTACGAATGTGTTTTAAGCAATTTAACTATAGGTGTTTACGAGTTGTATAATTATTTTTATTGGTCATCAATCATGTAATTGTAATCATATGTAATTGTTAAATAACTCAGTTTTCAAATTTTCATAATATTTATAAATGTGAATTGATAATTTATAATAAAAAATAATAATATTTGTTTTTGTTTTTTTTTCAGATTGGTTTTTGACTAAACATTCTTTTTAGTAGAATATCTCTTAGTCATCTATAACAATGAGTGTTACACTTAGCCAAGAAGGTGCATGTCAAAATGGGGCTTTTCAAAGTTTTAGGCCGCACAAAGCTTTAATGTTATATAGTCAACGGAGAAATTCATTAGACGATAATCAACAATATAGTAAAAATATGAAACTACCCACCGGCGATTGGTCGAAAAATGCATCACAAAATATAGAATTAAAATTGACAGTAAGTAAGATTATATTTAGTTAAGTTATAAATAAGTGGTAACAATTAACTGTAATGTACAATTAAATGCTGTCCAAGGTTGCCCGTCGACACTGGATAAGGGATACAATCAATAATTAGTTTCCATTAGGTTTAGTTCCAAATAGTACTATACTCTATTCAGAATAAGAACGAACCAGGCGGCCTCGTAAAAAAAAAAAATGGTTTTAGGTTGCCATCCGGTACATTCTTACTCTGAATACAGTATACAAACATTTGGTTTCATTAATTGTGTTTCACCCCTAATATTATTGCAATCATACAGATAATAATATGTTTCAATTACTTGATATCTAGCATAACTTCTTACTATTAGTTTATTTTAAGAAATAACATTTGTAAATAGTGTTTATGTTAGCTTTTATGCAATCTCGAAACTGAAGTTCAATAATTGCTATGTTATTATTGCTTTTGATAAAAAAAAAAAATAGTTCCTCATCATATTTCTGATGCTCAGGTTATTTATTAGTTTGTCTTTATTATGTAAATAAAGTTAAACATAGTAAAGATTGTAATATAAGAGTGTTGATAAGTGTTATTATCTGTATTGTGCTCAAATTATTTTTTAATTATTCTTTGTGCTATTATATTATATCTGTCATTCATTTGTGGTATATTTCATATTATACAAATACAATAATCAAAACTAAACCATTTGACAATCATTTAGATATTTATTTATTTTAACAAAAATAGTTTTATATTAAACAACATTACATTTTGGGTGGTTAATCAAGGCAAAACATAATAAACAAATAAATAAGTTTATAAACAACATTTTAATGTTATAGTGCAAAGAAGCGTACATTAGAGATACATCATTATGGACAGATATGCAGTTTGATACAGAAAATACAAATGATGAAACAAAATATTTTCCGCCGAAAAAACGATTTTTAGAAAAAGCTGAAATGGTGAGTACTTAATTTAAAAAAAAAAAATTAAACCAATGCATTATTAATGCTGCGCCTAAGCTCGTTTATTCTATTTATACGTTCATATGATTTGTTGTAAAACCAAAAAAGTGTTTAACATAAGGATGTCACATTTTTAACTCGGTTCATTTTACTACACAATTATTATTGTGTTTATAAATCATTATGATGGATTTAATTTAATTCAGTTTTTTTTCTTTCAAACCAAAATATTTAAATATCGACTAAAAGGCATTTTAAAGTCTCGATTTTACTATTTATATTGTCATTAGAGAAATAATGGCATTAAGACAAAATTAAGTGTAACATCGAAGTATGTTTAAAGGGTGTTCTAAAATTTATAAATCATATAGTTTAAAATTTTTAAAATTAGTTTGTAATTTATATTGTGTTTATAGTTTAGTAACTAGCTAGGTATTTTACATAATAACCTGTTAGGTTAGGTTTCATTTTATAAGTTCCTTTATCTTAATGAATAAATTCATGAAAATTATGGTTTTTTTTTAAGTCATTTTTATATTATACTTTTTTGCAATTACCTTACGCACATCGTTCTGTTTTGCTTAACAGGAAGCTGATCATGGTGATATAATTGATAGTAATGCAGCTAAGCGTAGTAAAATAATGGATCCCGATTATTTGGGAGTATCTACAAAATGCTTAAAAGAAACCATTATTCGGTATCGTAACGCTATTGAGGCAGAATCAAATAGGTCAAATACCAAACCGTCAGAGTTCCTACTTCGTACATTTGGCGATGCCATCAAGAACAACAATTTGAATACTGAGAAGAATATGAATCTCGGCAATAAAACTGCTCAAGAATCGAAGACTGAACCTTATTATCGGTTTGGGTACAAAAAATTTACATTAAGGCGTATTGAAGAAGACTCGAATGATTCGAATGTGACTAAACAAATAGAATCTGCTTCTGTAATTAAGAAACCTCCGGAAGTTAAAGAGTCTAGGGGAAAGAGAAACAGGGCTTGCAAAGGCGTAAGATATCAGCAGTTTATGGTCGACACATTAACGAAACGCCAAAACAAAAAAATGTAATAAAAAATCAAGAAATACGTTATATTGATATGAAATTGTTTAAAATGTATTATGCATTATTTTTTAGGGGTAAAAAAAAATTGTTAACTAAAGATACTACTGCTGGTGAAAGTCAGAAAGGCAAAAAGAAAAAACTGAAAGAAGAAACCGAGGATAAGACATCGTTTTGTATCACACTGCCAGTTCAATCGCGACGTGAAACTAGAAATAGTGCTAAAGCGGCTGCCACGTTGCATAAACAAGTTGAAGATTCGAATGGCGGCATTGTGAAAATAAAAATAAAATTGTATGTTAGATTAGATTTATACGTATATATAGTTATACATTTATTAACGTGTTATTTTTTTCAGAAATAATTTAAAAGATGATACAGTTGACCCTAGTTCAAAATACGAAATCATCGACCCTAGTTCAACCACTAAAGTGCTACCCAAAAAACGCTTTAGATCTGATTACGAGTATGTCATATTGAGTTACAATGTTATTCAGTATCCTAAAAATTGTATTTTAATTTTTTTCCCTAGGGATAACAGCAATAACGATACCTTAGGAAGTAAAGAACCCAAAAGACTGCCTTCGCCAATATGTTCAGAGTCGAGTTCTAGTAGATTGTCGAGTCCAGAATCAAATAGTAGTAGTAGTAGTTCGACTTTAGTACACTATAAAAAACGTGTATCACGAACATTTGCCGAGAGTCAAAGCAATTCAATGAGTGAGTTGAATGTTTTCTAAATAATTGTACAAATTATTTATCGTTGTTTTAACAATGGGAATTTGATTTTTATCATTAGATTCTCTTTTGGCAGATCCCAATGTCAATCTTCAAACCTTGGCTGATGTTGCTCTGCTTAGCATTCCATTTTGATTGATGGTAAGTTATTACAGATTGTATTAATTGAATTCTCTAGAGCAGACAGCTGGCTTCAAATAACAAAAGACTTAAGTCAAACCATCTTGGGTCGACTAGTAAGGGATAAACAATAATTGTTTCTTTTTCAATAAACAGCAGCTTTTCTTATGTGTATGGCTTTCAGATATAACCGTGTCAATAATTGTTATCCGACGTTTCGGACTCTGTACAGAGTCGGCTAACAGCTATTGACACGGATATATCTAAAAGTCATCCACGTGATAGGTAGCTATATTTGTTTGTCAAAATGTTCGATCATTAGTGATAGAGGATACAAAATACCCCCCAAAAAAAAAGGTTCAATATTTTGTTTATAGTCAATTTACAAAATTGATGCACTTTGAAATATTTTGTGTTTAATTTCTGATGTAATCATTTTTCAGTTCCACAAGTTATTAATGAATTATGGTTCAGAGGCTGATTTATATTACCAAAAATATCAATATATGAACCATTTCTTCGTCTACCAAAATTTAGTTTTAATTTTTTCAAAAGTAATAATTAGCCAAATTTTATTAAAATCACAAATTTATGTTATTAGAGTTTAATATTGTAAATCAACAGATTTAAAAGAGCCAAGTTGTGTGGCTTAATGTCTGTTTAATGTATATTCATTGATTTTAGTATAATTTGTATTCTGTTTACAGTTTTAAATGATTGTCTTAGCGAGTTAGTTTAAAAGAACGCCATTTCTTACCTATTTATTTAAAATTTGCATTATTTTTAATATTGCTCAAAATAAAAAAACTGACTATTAATTTAAAATATCAAGACAAAATAGTCAAAATGTGACACCTTTTTGTGTGATTTTTTGAAATGTTAATCAATGCTCAACATTTGAATTGATTTCATTTTTTAAATTTAATGATAAGAATCGGCGGCTCACTCTAATTGTTCTACAAAAAGTTTACGCTAAATTGTCTAAAAAACTGTAGTAAATAATACAAATACGACAAGAGATATATTTTATTTTATTATAACAATACAACTCTGTTTTTTTTAATCCTAATCTTGAACAAAGTTAAATTATTTTTGTTAAAATTAAAATCTACACTTTATTAAATTATGCATCTACATTTATTAATTTAAAAAACTTACCTAAATGTTTTATTTTGTTGTAAATATTATTGATCTCGAATTGTGTATTCCATTGAAAATGTTAAGTTGGTTAACTTGGCACGTTCGACTTGACCTTAAGAGACTTTGTGAAATGTACTATTTTAAGATAATTGTCCGGTAAATTATGTTAGGAATAGTCGTCACTGCCTCCAATAACAAATAACCAAATACCTTAAAAAAAAAAAAAAATTAAATACAAAGTACGAGACTAATTAACAATTATTATTATTACTATTTTGATATTGTAATGATATTGATACTTTTATTCGGTTAGTGTTCGTCTGTTTGTAAATATATCAAATTGTCTTTGGTTTTTCAATGAATTTTGTTAGTTACCTACCTATACAAATATTATGAAGACCATTACCAGATAAGTCAATTATAGTTACAAGTTCCTTTTTTTTTTTTAAGGTATCGCTTATTCGTTATTGTTTTAGTTATACATTTTATTGTTTACAATTATTAAATAAACAGTATTCATTTTTTTCTGTTAATTTGTTTGTTTTTTTTAAGTTTCTTTTAATAATTCGAGGTATACAATTATAGTACATTGTTAATTAAATATTTCTTGTAACTATGAACTGTAACTGAAAAAAAAAAAAAAAAATGATGTAAAAATTCTAAGCAATAATATTTATATCTGTATTATTATTGATTAACATAATTTATTACCTATTATGTTTTTATTATGAATTATTGTAACTAATTGCTTTGTGAATATTAACATTTTTTTGTTTCGTCACAAATTTGATAATCGTGTTGATTATGACTAGATACTAGTTTTACCAATACCTTTATTAAAAATAATTTTTTTTTTGCGACTAATAAATGTTGTGTCTAAATGTTTTTTGGTGGTATTTTTATGTTATCCAAATTTTGCCAGTAAATTGATATAAACATAAGTTAGATGTTTCTTAGACTAAAATTCTGTTGAATAATTTAAAGATTCTTAAACAATAAACAACTTTGAAGACTGTAATTTAGGATATTAATTTGTTACTTTTATGGCGGTTCCTATTTTATCTAGTATTTCTCGGTAAAAATATAACTATTTAACGTAGTAGGATAATGATTTTTAATACACAACATAAATACATTTATAGTAGTACTAATTACTTATTTACAGAATATAATAATAAAAAAAATGTAATTGAAATAAAATTATAACTACACTTTACGAAACAATTGAAAAAAAGGTTTTTTTTACGATTGAAATTTAACAACATAGAACTACTGTGGTATTTTGTAAGTTACAATTTTTTCTGTCAAATTATTATGTTATACATTTTTGTAACTATCTCGCTCATAGTTTTTACTAATTGATGCGAGCTAATATTAACTGGTTTTATTGCTGAAGTAAAAAAAGTACAGAAGTAATAACAATTTTAAAGAACATTAATAACAATAATTGTAAATTCTTTAGGAGTTTCAAACTTTAAAATATGGAAATTGATGCACCCTTCAAAATGGTTTTCTTTTTTGTTGTTGAGTAGGTATTGTCTATACTTTATCAAGTACCATGAACATTTCTTAGTACATGGATTTAGGTAATAGTTATCAACCGTGTAAAGTTATAAAATATAAACCTATTAAAACCAGTCTTGACTGGACTTTTTTAATCACCGAGTTATATAACTCCATACTATACAGGTTTATTTGTAGTGTCAACATTTGTGTTTTGTACCTTTTATTATGCAGCGTTTGTATACAAATAATTGTACATATCATGTATAATAACATTTAGTTTACATAGAAGGTATCCAATAATAATCTGAAAATAATCTAAAAATTAACTTTAACCTAAGACTCCATGCGGAGGCATTCATTTTTTAAATTTTACAAATTTAAGGGTATAAAACAAGTACCAAACAGTAGCAAAGCTTATTAATGTATGTTTTTTGCATATTACATTGTTTGAGAACATTTTATAAATGTTTTATAACATTTTTCAAAACCGTTATTTAATTATTTTGGACCATAAACTGCATTTTAAAATTTTTTTTATAGTGCATTTTAGTCGGTGTCCTACCAGTGGCGTAGCTTTAGTGGGTGCATGGGGGAGCAGCTGCCTGTGGCGCATTTTAATTTAGGGCGTTTTAGTACGGTTTACTATGCACGTTAATGCGTGATATAGGGCGCGAAAAAATCTCTTGTCCCTGGGCGCTTTAGTGGCTCTAGTTACGCCACTGTGCCCTAGCCCATATTTACCGCCGTATAATTTCCAAAATACCATATATTGGTTTTTTTGAGTCGAATAAAATACGCAAATGGTTATTTGCGTAAAACTGGTTAGTTTTGACGGATAAACTACACAACTATATTTCGATTGAAATCACATTAGAATAAGTTAGGCGATTCCGGCTCATCTCGCGTAAGTCGGGTGGACAAAAATCCGAGCAGAAATATAAAATAAAAAATACATTTTGCGTGTACCAAAATGACATTTACATTTATTTGAAGTTCATAGCTGTCGATCCCATTAGCAGGCCCGTTAATTTTCTTTCCGCGTTCTCCACAGTTGGCTCTCGTTCCGAATCTTCGACGCCTTCGACCAGTGCGTTGGTCAGGGCCAAGACGTCGAGTTGTGGCAGTTCTTTAACGGACGAGTACGCCACGGGTTTCTTCAAATCGTGTTCGTGTCCCAACACCGGGACAAAGTGTTCGTAGCTGAGTGGCTTGGCGAATCCTACATACAACAACAGCGCCGTGATTAGTACAACGAAAACAGACAACGGTACCACCGGCGGCGCGGACACCGGCGGCCGGCCAGTACAATCGACGGCTGCTCACCTGTGGCCAGCGAATACGTGATGGCCCACGTGATCCCCTTGGCGATGTTGACGAGCAGCGGCTCGACGATGGCGCCCACTATGGGCGCCAGCACTTTGCCGATGATCAGTAACAGGTGCGCGATGGACAGTCTATTGCCGCCCGCGTGGTCATTCTTGGCGCGGGCCAGCGACAGCGATTCGTTTAGCGTCTCTTGGATTTTGCTGACGGCCGCCGCAGACGACAACGTTGCGCTGGGAAGCGGCGCGTCCGGACGGGCCATCGTGTTGCTGGCCAACAATACGGCGAACAGTGCGGTTTTCAGTACGGTGAACTTCTGTTGGAAACATTATTTGCAAATTACAATTTATTCTTTAATCCAATATAAATCGCCGCCTATTTTAAACATGTTATAAGCGCGTTTTGGCACGAAATAGAATGTTTCAAAAAATGTTATTTACAACAAATTGTTTGAGTATTGGAAATGTTTTCATAACATTTATAGATAGGTACAACATTTTTGAAACATTAAATTTCGCGCCAAACATATTGAAAACGTTTAACATTTTTTCCTGCTTGGGAAGGATTTACCTACATATTTATTATAGCTTAAAAAGTATTGAAATAAAAATGTGAAGATAGGTGGATGTTTAATAGTTAGACTTTGCTTTGCACTAAACTTTGCGTGTGTTTGGTGCAAAACTGCCAACAGTACTTACAAGAGACATTTTTGACGCAGTTTTCTTCGAGATGGCAGTAACGATGTACTTGCTATACTACGTATACTGCGGACACGAGTGTATGACAATTTTACAACTCTGAAAGTGATGCCCCAAGAACAATGGCTGTAGGCTTTTAAACGAATCGTTGACGGCATTGGCACATTAACCACCGTCAATTATAACCTAGTCAATCGCCGAATTTCCAATATACAAATATAGGCACACTAAACCTAATGGGGTTTTCGGTCGACTTTCAAGTCGTTAAATGATCATAACCCGCCCAGGAAAATGGCTCCGGATGTCCGTCAAAATATTGTTAACGATAACATTGTAACACATTTAATTGTCGTGGTGCAAGACGTGTAGAACAACCGGCGATGGCGTTAGGATATTTTTGTTATTAATAACAAGGATAGGACTAAGAGCTCTAGCAAATTTACCGAGGTTGTGCCGACATACCACGGAGAGGATATTATTGATGGACAAACGATTTTCTAGCTTTATTTTATTAAATATTTAATATTTATTAGTAGTTTATATAGGTAAGTGGTAATGTTCCCATTGAATAGATTAGAGGGACTAACTTTTAGTCTGCAGGGCTTAGCCCCTCCAAGCGTGAATACAGCAAATTTATTTTACCTATTAAATAATTTAAAAAAATAAATCTGCTGACCTGCATACATAGTAATTAGTAATGGAAAACTGGATGATATTAATACTTAAGACCGCCCATGCGATGGTACATAGTACTTGAAAATGACAAATGATCGGTCATTTAAGAAACTCCATAAGCTTAACCTCATAATATTTAGCCTCGTCTTGTGGTATTTCTGCAAACAATGCAATTCCTTTGAGGAACACCCTAAGTCCAGCCAGTTTAAATTCAAATTTTGCTAATAAAATAAAACAAAAAATTGGTCTATCGTAGATATACAAACGCTTTCGCCTTGTGTTTGTGGAAAAATGTTTACCTTGCCCAGTAAAATGTAGATTTTGTGACTTGAAGGGTTTCTCAAATGACCGATTCAAATCTTTCGTCGGTTGTAATTCTAAAAAAAAAAATTATAGTTACAAATTTAATTGAATTGACAATTTGACCATTTCGCCTTCATCATAGTGAACAATCAACATAGTTGCCGTTATTCGATGTATATTTCACGTTGAACACCTGTTGTTGTATTATGTATTATATTTATGATTTTTTTTATTGTAAATTTCATCAGTCTCATATAACTTAAAAAAGGCCGAATTACAGGTGGAGAAAGATCCTAATTTTATATATGTCTACCATATTATTTTATAAGAGGTGTCAAGTTCTTGTACATTTTCTTGTTATAATACAGTATTTGTATTATTGTTTTAGTATTACTATAGTCTCTAGAGTCTAGACAGACCTGATGGTATAAAAACTATTAGGAATATAATTATGGGAGTAGAGTCGCAATGTTTTGTAAAATTGAAACAGGTACACCTAACCTATGGGGGAGTAAACTGTAAACAGTTAGTTGGGACCAAAACGCGTATCCTGTACCGTTTTTTCTTTGCAAAGATGGTTTTTGTAATTAATCCACATTTATTTCGTATGGAACATTATAAGACTGTACACCTACGTGGCTTTTATTAATGGCATACGGTTCATAACACCCGTATTGTTATACATGCATTGCCACAGTACTCAAATATTTTTTCAAATAACTTAGTCGGGGTCATGGTCTTAATGTTACTAATTTCGTTTCATTGTTCAGGGCCCGGTACCGTTATACATAATATATAGTATTGTGATTTGTGAACCACCTGTCACGGTTTCTCAGGTACCTTTATAAATTACCACCTGCGACAATTAAAACTATCCAGCCGAAGCATAGAAAAAAAAAAATATCCATGGAGGTATAAGTCAAAATGACGTTACAAGCCGATATTTAAACAAAAATATATAATTTTCTAAAAACACATGTATGTAAAATTGGTTGCGTTTATTATTTACAAATACATACATCCACGAAGTTTAAGTAGACACACACAAGTGCATCGCAAGAAAGTGTATACCTAATAATTTAGAGATTTTTCATTCGACCTATTTATATACAATCAAATTATAATTATACCGCTGTGGCATATAACCTCATTTCGGCGGTAGCCGAAGGTGGTGTGTCGGCGAGACACCATTCTTGTAAGTTGTTGCGGTAGGCAAGACTATAACTGTCAACACTAGGAGGAAGGCAGGTGGTATGCTCAAGTATGGACTTGATTGCTTGGATTTGCAGCCGAGCGTTACGAAAAGTAAAGTATGATATTGAACTTGAGAATCGTGCACACTCTTAATGTATTGTATAAATAAATTGTCGTTTCTTTCCAAAAACCAAACATTATAGTCGAGAAATTCGTAAACGTTTATTTTTTAAAGTAAGTACGGATTATGTTAGTCGAATAAAATTGTGTGCGGTCTTCACGAACAGGTGGTGCGGTTGACAATCGATCCATTCGAGCAAACGTTTTGCTTGCCCCGAGCCGACAATTTCGCACAAATGGTTCTCTCAAAGTCCTCGAAAGCCGCCACCTGGTCTCTGTCGCTGTAAACCTGGAAAATGACAAAAATGTATAACGCATATTACATACATAGTGGTTTCGCGTAAGTATACTCACGCCCTCGAACACTATGGTCGGCACAAACTTAGGTCCTGTCCTTTCTGCAGAAGTGTTTTCTAAAGTTGCCGATTCGGCTATCAACATCAAGTCGTAGCCCTCTTGAGACGTGTAACAACGTTGTACGTCGTCAACGTCGAGTCCGAATTTCTTAACGCACTGTAAACGACGAACGTCAATCATTACTGCGGTTTAACTGTGGACGGTGGATGGGCTGATTTTTTTGATTTTTTATTAAATAAATGGTAATGAATATAGATATGGCGGCTCGGTGTGTATTACCGTCACATCTATCTGGCCGGGCTGATCCGGATTGCGCATAGCACAATTTACATAGCCCACTCGAGCAATAGGGTCTTGAATGCGTTTCAACGCGCAGTTGTGTATTGTGTTACCGCGGCATTCTTTTTCTCCGTGTTGGCATCTGAAGTCACCGTCGTCTGTGCTCTGAAAATTGTGAAATTTTTTCCGACAATTACAGAAAGAAATGCCCGATAATAATTAATAGAGAATAATAATTGTATGACCGACAATAAAAGAAATGTATTTCACAATGTAGGTATGTGTAAAACAATGATGGTATAGGTACCTCGTTGCCCAACCGCTGCTATCCCCTCGGTGTTTGCACTATTATCGTTCATTTACATACGGCTGTGTGTACATTTTACAGTGAACTCGATATTTCTGTACAATAGGTACGGACAGAATAGGTAGGTAGGACTCGGGTGTATATATAATTTTTGAATCGGATCTCTATAACGCTGTACGATATTACAATTAACGGTAATGGCATTCGTTAAATTATCGTCATTGTTTATAGACGGGTTATGTGCATTTTAAGTAAAAACTGTAATTGAAAATAATTGGTCGAGTTCACCATTAACAAATAACAAAGAACTATGATCAACGTTACATGTAGCGGAACGCTATAATATTGTAGGTAGATATTATTATATTATTATATCTAGCGCAGTTATTATACCCAGGTAACGGCATAGTATTTTATTTCTTCACGATGAATTTTAAAGAGCCCAATAACCTTGTAGGATAATATACGTTACAATTTTTTTTTTGTATGCGATATTTGATAAAACAGTTTTTTTTCGCTTCGACATGCATAATGATTGTGAATGTTTTTTAGTTTATTTTTTTTTTTTTTAAAGAAATATACTTTAAGAATTACAAACTAAGAAAGTTGTAGTTACTTATTTGTTTTACCTCTTCTTACAGCCGACAGCTGTTATTTAGTTAATGATGGTTATGTTTTTGTTTTCAACGTAAAATAGCACAAACAGATAATACGGCGTTCACTATACTTGTTTAGTAATAATCAGTAAATCGCTTTATTGTACTTACGTAAGCTTTGCCGAAGGGCACCAAATTTAAATTCAAGTACTGTTGGACTTTGCAGAAGTTAGGGAACAGTTCCTTTACTATAAAGTCTCTGCTGTCGGGACAATGCGACTCGTAGTAGACGGACACGTTAATCTAAAATAAAAATGTATACAATATTAGCCGTGTCGTTTATGCGTCGATAGGGATAGTTATTGCACAACGTTAACTATGATGTACGTTATCGGTTAGCGGATAACGCTAACGTTATTATTCCAATAATTGGCCTACGTTAATAAAAATAAACGTATCATAATAATTTGCGTCAGCCGATAGCCAATACCATACATCGTCTTACGTTGTAAATCGCTTAGCGTTGTGCAAAAACTCCCTATTAACAAAATATATCACTGTAACAATATTTTAGTGTGTGTACTGTGACAGGCAATAGGCTCATAGCTCAATATATTATTCTATTATTCTTGTACCGTGTAAACGTTTTTTTGAGACCTATAGTTTAGCAAACGCTCTGGCCGCTCATTTTTGCACCACGTACCTTTTCGCCCACGTACGTAATTTTTAGGCGTTTGCCCGAACACGACGTTCGTAATTGAACCCATTAGCGATACAACAATGAGGGGATACCCCTATTGGTATGTTGTATACAGTTTAACTTAAGTATGATAATAATAATATAGCGAGGTATATATGATAATAATGGCCAATAATATACATACAGTCAAGAGCAAACCGGTTTGCCGTAGCGATGGAAAAAATCGGACGCATACACGTACAAGAACAATAGAAGAACGGCCACTTATTTGTAGAATGCAGAATATTTATTACTGTAGCGGTTCTAACAGCAGAACTCAGAAGTAATATTTCTTTTTTACTCAAGTCTTATAGAGAGCTCGTTATGTAAATATAGCCGAGTATAATATAGGCTGTGATAATACTGACTTACCCGTTCGTCGACGCTTCTCGCCCGAGCGTTTCCGGATAGCACGATGGCCACGCACGCGAACACCGCAGCCAAGTACATAATTCCAAAATGAAATACTATTGTTGTTGTCGCTGGAAATGATCAGTCGCGCGACGTCTAAAGCACTACTATGTCATCGACTCACTGTGACTAGAGAGAATATTATTTTTTTATAATTCACTCCTGGTGAATCCAAACCAGTTCTTACGGAACGCGATTACGCATTTTGTGACGAACGCGATTCTTGCATAATGCGACCACCGTCTAGTGGCGTATTTAGGGGGGGATGAAATAAATAATATTCCATAGACTTGTGGGGGGCTCGGTCCCCCACACCCCCCAAGTAACTAAACAACATAACATCAATATTTTATTTTTTAAATCCACCAAACTTGTGACTTAATTATAACACAAAACTATTAAGTTAGTAACTTTAACACAAAATCCAATTTTCTAGTTTTTTGGAGACTCAGTTCATCGATAACCTCATCTGGCAAAATTTGTATTGACCGTAGACATGCCAATAAAGCCAACCCATTCAGTCTGTTCTAATAATAAAAGAATAAACTATTAAGATGACGTTATATCCTTATTTATTAAGGAGTTAGGTATAGGAAATTTTTTGTAAAATCATAATTTAAAGGCTAAAATGTGATGTTTAATTATTAGTTAAGTAATCTTGACTCTTTTTTAATAGTTTATTTATTTTTCGGAATGTTACAGCATCCTTGACAGCGATTTAAAAAAAAATGTAATTTAAACTAGCTACGCATATTCTCTCTTATCAATTAAATAACAATCGTAGACAACTTTTTTTTACATATTTTAAATATTAAGAACTTTATCTAGGTTCTCTCGTCGGCTTTTTTTGATACTACTAACCCATCATTCATAACTTATATTTTAATTCTGACATTTTTTAAACTTTTTTAAGTGCTCGTATTTAAGGAAAAATTAAAGTTTTCCATAAAAACCGACGAGAGAACCTAGTTAAAAATCTCCTCTTTTTAACGGTACCAACATTTTTATACTATGACCAATTCGCTTTGGCCTTCACGCTTTACCGTAAACCCCTTTTTTACGATTATTTTTAAAAGGGCAAACGTCTTCTTAACTAATTACTAATTTATAATTATATTCCAATAACAAATAGAAAAAAAATATTTACTTCTGTCGTACTGTTCCTTAGATAGGACTTAATCCCTTTTTGAACTAGAAAAGTATCGTTCTGATGTGGCAGTAGACACAGGCAAAGTACAAAATATTTTCTAGAGTTTATGGATATTGGGATATTCGTCACAAACATCTAAAGCATGTAACCCAGAGTTGAGAAAAATGTTTTCAGTAATTAACTTTGCTCTCCACATCTTCAACTCTGCGGTGCTAGAATGTTGAGGAATAAAACTCAACAAGCTTATGAAAAACAATCATATCATTATTTTTCTATCATTATACTAGTGGATTTGAAAATACAATTGATATATGCGTATATGCGAGCAATACCGATTACGAATATTTTAAAAGTATATCTGTGCTGGAAAACTTAACTAAAAAAAAAAAAAAGGCTCAGGGGGGATCTATCCCTCATATCCCCTCCCCCATAAGTACGCCACTGCCACCGTCCTCTCATATCTACCTGCCAACGGTCTTCATACACGTACATTATAATGTCTACGACCTTTTGATTAAACTGAATCATAATAATAATAATAATATCAAGTGTACCTTTACACTATTTACACAACTTGCAGTAACTCCCACTGGCCACTTGATAGTAGTTTGACGGCCTGTCTTTGTTCGACGTTGAACACAAAAAAAGCTATGGCGCAATAGTTTAACACAAGAACCTCTTGTGTTTACTAACAGATCAAAGCGACCTTTTCAATGAAATTGTGCAATATCCTATTTAGTTAAAACCGTCATCGGGCATCTAACTTCACTTACTAAATAAAAACACATGTAGGTTGTACATTATAATATAATATTATGCTGTAGCAAAACAAATAAAACGTCACACGGTGTTGTCCAAGGCTATGTAAATAGTTTTAAATATACAAAGGTAATAAACATAGGTACTCTACAACTTTGCCGTATTATTATTTATAGTGTTAAATCTTTGAGGCATAGAGGGACAAAAAAATAACCCACCAAAATAAATACATTTGTGGCATAGCGGGACGAAAAATAACCCACCATTTTAGATGTAGACATTTTATTTCTTTTAAAAAATCATGTTTTGCTGTCTCTGTTGTATAATATTTTATAATCTTGTTTATTATCAACTTACAAGAAAAATCAATTATGTATAATTTATTCTATAAAATGACTAATTTAGTTATCTGGTGTCATTCGTATCGACAGGAAATGTGTCACACTAATACATCTTAGAACTGACCATACTAATATTCGTCACCCCTTATTTCCGCCAATAAGTCAGGAATCAAATTATCAATTACTAAAAGTCCCTGTATTACAAAACAATATTATCGAAAATGATTCATCTAAAAATACATTGGAATCCAATAATAATGAGAATGAAGCCTAAAGTAATTTTGAATTTACTGCTCCAATATGGTCAAAAAAATAATGTTATTTCACAGGAACTTCTCCCCGAATTTACGTGCGCCGACGATCCAACTGGGTAGTTTGATTAATACTGAAGATGACCACACTCCGTTTTCAACCTTTCAATTATTATTTTCAAATGAAATACTAGATTTACTTGTATAACAAACAAATTTGTATGCACACCAATTAAAAATTAAAACTGGAAAAAATTATACTCCTACTGATAAACAAGAAATTATGACTTTCCTAGGTATAAATATTTGAATGGGTGTAAAACGTTTGCCAAGTTATAAAAACTACTGGTCTACATTTTTAGACTTACATATGATGAATACATAAGTTCTCTTATAACCGTAAATCGTTTTGATTGGCTCCTCTCATCTTTACACTTAAATGACAACTCGGTTATGCCAAAGAGTGGCGAAACAGATTTTGATAAATTCTACAAAGTTTAACCTTTTTAAAAAAAAATTCGAGACAATTTTCAAAAATATTACTATCCACACAAAATAATTGCAGTTGATGAGTCTATGATTAAATTCAAAGGGCGATCATTTTTAGAGCAATACATGCCTAAAACCCAATAAAAAGAGGCTATAAGGTATGGTCGTTAGCTGATAAACATGGTTATCTTTGGAATTTCGATTTGAACACTGGTAAATTAGGAGACTGTTGAAACAAATCATGGAGGACGAGTCGTCAAAGATTTAACGAATCCATTACAGCATAAAAATTATATTTTGTACATCGATAATTTGTTTACAAGTGTACCACTTTTAGCATATCTGAAATCAAAAGGTATTTTTTGCTGTGGAACTGTTAATAGTACTAACATTTATTCATAAGTAATAAAAATAAAGTTTTAAGAAAATAAAAAATAAAGTTTGTGTGTAACTAGGTTTTTTTTATTTATTAAAATTTCGTGCCTCAAAGAGTTAACTGGTCGAGCTCAGACTCGAGTCGCATCGTATAGAGTGGTGTATTTTCTGGGTTGAACACAACTTATAGCCTTTCATGACGGCATATTATGTTTATGAGATCTTTTTTTGCCAATTAGTATTATCTTCTCGAGTCAACGTCCACTTAATCTAACGACTTTTGGAATCCTTATACTACAATAATACTTACGGCCCCTCATAGAATCAAACCATTATTTGTTTTTTTATTTGATTTCCAATATTCTGAACATAACAGGTTATTCAAAAACATAATAATTGTCGCTGTTATGTAAATTATTAGATAATATGTCAATTATTACTTAAGTACACATTAGCTTTATGTTATACATTGTGGACTATTATTTTTATTTTTAGTAAAATCTGTTAAATCAATCAAAATTTGCACATCGGATTTAGTAGTATGTCATTTTACTTCATTAGGGATGTATCCCTAATTGCAATTACCATCAAAACAATCCAGAAGTGGGTACTGTAAATTCATACTACAATAATATTTGTTTAAGTAACAGTCACTTTTATGTTTACTTAAATTTGATAACTGACACTTGTATACACATAGGTATTTTTAAATGAACACTATGTTGACCTCCAGATATTTGCTGTGATGTTTTTCTACAGGTATTCCATATGCCTGTAATGGGGTAAGCATAAAGTAGGTAATAATATATTATACTCGTGAATATATATTATTATAATTTATACCAAAATATGTAAGTGAAAGAATAACTGTGGGTTAAACGCATCGAACAAAAACAAGTTTTGCTGAAATAGATAATATATATGTGTGTATTTATATATGCATGTACTCTCACTATAAATCTTATTATATAAATGTACGTTGTGAAATCAATATATTTTACATGTCTCATTAATACAAGTATAAACAGTGATCGAGGTCATTATTGAATTAAATACGTTTATTGGTGACTTACTTAATTTTTTTAGAAGTTTTTTAATTTATGTTGAGTAAAAGTAAAACATTTTGGGTATCTCTTTCCAAAAAAAACTGACTAGCCAATACCTTTAACAGACAAATGAGTGAAATTCAAACCCTTTGTCTATACCTACGCGTCAAAACCAATATATAGATAATTCTCAAAATCAAATTGTATATTGTGAACATTTTCACGAACTCAGTTATGAAATATTTTATGAACGGTTACGGTTGCTAATAACCATAGGCAATATAACATCAATATAAACATGGATAATGTGTTTAATCATTTTTTTATTACTATTTTGATCATAAATAAATCACCGATATGCGAATAAATTAATTAACAATATGATAGCGTTAGGGATTTATATTTTCTGAACGCCCTCGCTGCCGTTTTCCGCCGTTGTTTCGACCGCAGCCGTAGGTGTTTGGTCTACTTCGGCTGTAGCGACCGGCACTTTGTATGTTTCTACTGTAGCTTCGCTCTGGGCTTCGGCTGCCGAATATGAGGATATTGGATGCGGGTTCCCGTGTCCAGATCCGTGCCCGTGTCCAGGTCCCAGAGCGGGAGTGAATAAACCGTGGAGGGAAAATCCTGAAAAACATAATAATGTAGTCACGTCGAACAGTTTTTAATGGAATGGCACTGCATCATTTCGTGCAGTAAATATGAATAGCAGCATAGAGTGTAGTTGATCGAATGATTTTTGTATCCAAACACTAATATCTCCGACTCACCAGAAGAAATAGTATGTGTTATTGCCCATGTGATTCCGTTGGCGATGTTGGACATGAGCGGGCCAACTATAGCGCCGATTAACGGGGCGATCGCGCTACCAACGGTCGCCAACAAGTGGATCAGCGAACTAATGGTACTGTACTTGGACCCTTGATAGTTGTCGTAGTGCATTTCCTTGCGGCCGTTCTTTGTCGAGCCTGCCGACAACGCCGAAGACAATTCAAGAAGGGTTTCTTTGACCAACTCCATAGGAACTTCTGTCTCGGTCGGTGATGTTTTAGTCAATGCGGGTAGTGTGGTCGAAGGCGCGGCCAACGTGTAAGTAGCCAAAGCAAACACGGACAACATTGATTTCAGCCCCTTGAACTGAAACAAGAAATCGTTTGTTAAATATATTGAGTAGCATTGCACAAACGGCAGAAGGAAGAATTGACTATTAATGAAGTAAAACGAAAAAAAAGGGTACATTTTGACATTTGAGGTATAAATAGGTATAAATTCGACATCTAAGAATACGAGATGATATATCATACCATACTGCTGCATTAACTTTTTAGAATGAAAACCTTAAGAAGTTCGTAAAGTTACCTAAAAAAATTATAAATGTATGTACTTACAGCCATGGTCGATACCAAACGTCAAAGTAATTAATCGGAAGATGGAAATGTTAACCGATGCGAAACTGTATGAACAATAATAATTTTGCAAAATCACAAAGGTCTTTATAAGAAATTAGCTGTCCGAAATCTAGGATGTAGTTAAGCTATAAAGAGTGAACATGATTTTCAAAATCAATTAAACATCAATAATTGAACATTAATAATTGAGGGTAATTTCAAATTCAACATAATTATTTAATTTGAATAAAAACGTCTAATGTATATTAACTAATGTCAATGGAGTAACTAACTTAAGTCCGCTTCAGCTATAGCTACTTTTGTCAGATTAATATTGTTCATATATAGACAATATTAGAGTTATAGTAAGTATACAAATGTATTTTCGAAACATTAGCGTATGTCCGGTAGGTATAATCTATTAATAATATTGTCCTATTTAGCTAGATTTGAAATTTGTATATAAATGTCCCGGTACACAAATAAAGTGATTAATCCAAGTGAGCGGTTTTCGACAGTTAAAGTCTAAAGATGATGTTGGTTAGTACTATAGTGCTATTAAGTGCGAATATTTAAAGGCATATTGCGTAATTAAAGTGCAGTTTTACAATGGTGTTTTTTCAGGTTTTATTTGCAGTAGCAACATTGGTTTGTGATTTAGTCACTGCGTTTTCAACTGAAGATACTAGTAGAGAACATAATGACTTACCATTTTTGGGTTCTATAGTTGGTCCAGTCGTGGACAAAAACATGAATAAGATACAAATTGAGAGCTTAATAAACGCCAGTAAGTGTTATACAAATTTTACTTAGTACCCTTAAACACTTATAAAATTAACTAAAGATAATGTTGTAAAAAAGTTTTGGTTGTGAAGTTGAGAGTTAAATCTCAAATAAAAAATATAGCGAAGAGGTATAAAATAACAGTTTTGGTACATATTTTGAACGATGAGAATAAAACAAAATTAAGTTATCTCGATGTGAACAGTAAAATCTGCTAAAGGGGAAAGTTACAATGATTTTAAGTTTGTGGAACACATACACTATAATATATTATAAATTGGTTATTTATACTAAATATTCTAAGTAGGTATAAAAAGTCAATGATACTCTAAGAATTTTCTAAAAAAAATCTAAAGTTTAAATAATATGTGCTATGTGTCGATTTTATTTATATTCTACCCTATCTCCAATATTCATATTTTTAATTGCCGCATTCAAATTTGAATATTATGTAAATATATTTTTTCATTGTAAAACAAATTTAGCTAAACATGGTACCATACACATTTCATAAATAAACGATTCATGTTATTATAGATGCACTGTGGTAGAATAGAACGAAGGTTAAAAGAACCTAAATAATATGTATTGCATAAAAATTAAGTTAGGAAAAAGCTTCATTAACGCATAATACTAAGTATAACTTTTTTTATTTAAGAATCATATGAAGATAAAAAATTCGACGTCTTTTTGATGTCAGCTGGTGAAACCGATCCATTTGTGCTACTAAAAGAAACCGAAGAAATTGATCCTGTAGAAACTGACTCACGCGAAGAATACAGTTCAGGAACTACTGAAACTCCATTGGACTTCACTAAAATACAGTCTTTCTCTAAATCATACTATCTGGGAAGACTTTGCCTGAATCAACCTGGAAGTACGGACTTTCGAAGCCACTTGAATTAATATAATTTTATTTTTAATCCATTGTATTAGCTGTAACTATTTTATATTTCAACAATTCGTTATATTCTTTACTTAAAAAAAAAATAGCATTTAAAAAAATGTGATTAATGCACTAAAGCTATTTCTATTTTTAATAACAAACTAAAATTGCGGTATAGCAGTGGAATATTATTACATTAATCATAATGTGTACAAGTATTGGATATTTTTTTATTCTTTTGGAAATATTTTATTCGTTGTTAGACATTATTAAATACAAGTCTCGTCTACTATTCCATTACTCCACAATAAACAATATAGTATGTACATTATACTATTAAATATATTTAATGTATTTGTATACTATTAATTAATTACTATTTTGTTCTATACATTTTTCTTGTTATGTGTGACTTGATATTTTATTTTATAGAGTTCAAAACGCCATACCTCACAAGTGTTAAAAATTAATTACATGTTTTAAAAAACAAATAGCCTCTCAGCTCCGCATCAAAGTTAAAATTATTGAAACGAGTTATTAGATGGTCCACTTTTGAGTTTAACAAATTAGTTCTTTTAAATCTTTGGCATCTATAACCATTGGCTTGTTGGTAGGTTGTTGTTCGATGATTTTTGTTTTTTATTTTTTTATTATAAAATCTATATTATTGTCACGATTCAGAAAAATAAGAAACCTATTTCGTAGAAAATACTCGCGTTAAAAATCAAAATAACTTGGTCATTTTTTATTTTACATCATCTATCTATTTAAGTACTTTCATAGTTTATACACAAAACAAATTACATTTTATTGTTAAACTCTATTTATAACCTCAATAAATTCACACGTTTTTATTGCGCATAGTTTTATGAATATTTGTGTTATCAATTAGTAATTATAATAATTACTTCATCAATATTGTAAGTTTTTTTATCTAATTATGGTAATCAAAAGCCGTTTCATTAGACAATAACAATATATCCACGGAATTTTTACACATTTTATTACACGGAATTAATAATGTACAACAGATCAACGCTAAAAATGTTTGTTGGTACAAAAGATATTGTAGAGAGAGTGTAAGATGAGAATTCTAAAATTTATAAGTACTTAAAAATAATAATTTTTTTTAAAACAATAATGTAGCCAATAGCATAATTTTAGGCTAATTAATAGCTTATTATTTTAGTATACTTTTATGATGTTTAATCTATCTTTTTTTAAAACTGACATAAGGAAATTAATTATTATATAATTATATTAAATATTTACAAGTTGTATCTGTCTTATAGTTAAATTGTAAATCAAATCGTATTAATTATGTTTATTATGTATATAAATTATAAAACTTCAAACTACTAAATAAACTTAAATCAGAGTGTATTGCAATGTAATAAATATTATTACTATAATAATTTATATATCATAAAATATTTCTACATTTTTTTGTTGTTAAGACACTTATAGGAATTTAACTATTAAAAAATGTAGGTCACTATTACGTTTTCCCTCCATTCTTCATAATACAACTCTCGTTGTTTGACTTCCGGTATAGCTGCTGGCTTGATCTATTTTTTTTTTTTTTGAAAAATATTTCTTATAAAATTTAAATTTTATTATATCAAAATTATTTAATATGTGTGCAAAACAATACATTATATAAACATTTTTATTTTGTGTAATTGCATAGATGACAACTGTATTATAAGTTATAAATATTTATTTAAATGCGGCTATCTAACTTTTTAAATAAAAATAGTTTTTCTGTTTAAATAATTGGTTTTGCTTATAAATCGTAGAAAGACAATTTTCTCTATTGGTTGTTTTCATCTTGACGATTCATTTTTACTTTAAACTTAAAAGTTATTTTCCCTTATGCGTCTTCGATCTTGGAATCGTCGAGCTCAGAACAAAAATGTTACTTTTTGCTTATTATTTCTAGTGTTCTGAACTTTCACCTCACAAAACAGTATAAACAACTACACACATTAAAAAATGCGTGTAAAATATTTCATTTTATTAGAGTTTTGTATTTTATTTTTTAAAGGACCAACAGCTGAAACAAATAGGGAAAATACAAACGCAATTTTTTAAATTATATAAAATTTCAATTGAATTATTTTAAATAAGCTAGCTTACTACTCAAACATTGTTGATTTTTTTCTCAAAATGTATACATTCTTAGGTAGGTACTACATAATTTTACAATATTACTCTACTAGCTACTCGACCCTAAACATTTATATTTTCAAACTCGTGTTATGCATTAATTGATGTATGTAATTATATGTGTACTTTTTTTGTTGTTAAAAGTTGTTTTTTTTTATTAAAACAAAATTAGGCAATACCGTACCTACATTAAAATCAATTAAACGGTTAAAATAGAAGTCACGAAACACAGACACCCGAGTCTAACCCAATTACCTATATCGCATTCCCATAAACAATGTTTCTTATTGTGTTTTTTAATCGTATAACTATATTGTTGAATTGTATTATTTACGAATACATAAAGACCTAAATTACCTAAATACTTTTGTCTTATTGATACCTACTTAATGATATGTATGTAATTTATTAATTGCGATTTGCTGACGTTTGATTTAAATAATTTTCGTTCCGCGTAAGAGCAATAATTATAATAATATGTTTAACGCATTGCTAAAACGTGTTATGCCTATTTAGATCAGCGGATCTCGACAATCGACACAATGGGAAAAAAAACGAAGCAGGTTAGACATATACCGATACCTCTGTATCTGTGTTAATATATCATTTTCTTTTTTATTTGAAACTAACGGAACAGGTCATTGAAGTTCCGGGGAGAAAGTACTATAACTGTAAAGCCATCCGAAAATCCCCCAAAACTGATACATTTTTGACGTTTTATGTTTTCATAACCAGTAGCCAATATAACGGGACAGTTTGAAATGGGTCTGAACCGTATTATAACGGTCCTGCGAGGCTGTGACGTAAAATTTGTGGATATTACTGTAATTTTAATACCCCGCGACAGCTACCGTTTTGTACCTTTCTCCGGGGACCCAAAAAACAGTACTACCTAATACAAAAAGCAAAAAAGGGAACCGAGAGGAGAACAGGGGAGAAGAAGAAGAAGAAGAAGAAGAACAGGAAACGAAGGAACGAAGGAGAGAGAAAAGGAATAAGAAACACTTTTTGAATGTATACCTGCGCGCATTGAGTTAAGGGTCAAGGCCGTCATACAACTAGATACCAGCGAACAGTTAACATCACGTTCGCGGTGCTCTCAAAAGACGGTAGAGAGTATTTGTGGACCGGCCAACTGATCTCATTTGTCTCAGCTAGAAGACACTCGCTAGGATGATAGCTTCAAGGTAAGACGTGCGCTGTATTTCTTACGCTACGAGTGCTTTTCGAATATTTTTCGTGATCGTTTTTATTTATCGCATTTTATTTACTAAAAAAAAAAAAAAAACTTAACAAAATGTTATAATAAACTATTGCTATGCGTAAACGTTTGATTTTTTATCGCCGGTGGCTTATCTGAAATTCCGTTGTAAATTTAATTATATTATAATAATAGTCATAAATTGTTATCTTCGGGATATCCGGATACAGTTGAGAAAATTGTAGTAGCAGAAGTGTATCTACAATTGCGTTAAAAAATAATCGCCAAGCCGTTTGACGATAATAACAGTTGATACAAACTATTATTCAAAGTTAGAAATCGCTTTAAACGCTTATTAATTATTGTACTGATTTTATTATCCTAATGGATTAAAATGTACGATTTATTTTATCACTGCTATTAGTTGTTAAAGAGAAAAGTGGAATGAATTTCCCTCAGTGTTGTAATTGCAATTTCTATTGTTAAAATCTACTTAAAAATGGTAATTAATATGTAATATATTCAATTTAACGTGTTTGCTTTTGACAGAACGAATCACAGTTACGATTGCCTACCTGGATTGGATGGGTCTAACAGCAGGCCTAGACCTATAACAGCTGTACAGAAATAAGGGATCATTACCAAAAATCAAAAGAACACAGCAACCGGTTTTTTGACAGCGGTGAGTACATTGACCTAACGGTTATTATCTTATTCGTAAGAAATTGGAAAATGTGTACAAATATTAAAAAGTAATAATAGTTACCTTATTAATTTCTAAATAATATAATATATTGTAAAGCTAAGACTTATTTTAAGTTTATTCTTATTTTGACTTATTCAAATTTATTTTAAGGCAACTTAAATTAAGGGATTACACAAAATTTACTTTAATTAAATACTATACACAAAAATGTGTACAATTAAGTTGTAGAATTGACGTATCTGTGGTATAAATTGACACTATTTATGCGCTAGGTGCTATTTAATTAGGAAGATAAGATAATAGTAATTTTTAAATTCAACGTGAGTTGCATCTTTTATTAGTAAAATAAAAGTGCTTTAATTTTAATTTTAATATACTGTAAATGAACTGCAAAAGGAAGTGGAGATGGCCTAAATTAGCCACATAAGTAAAATTATTAATAACAAATTAAATTAAATATAATGAATTTTTATTAAATTGTGTATAAGCTCGATTATCAATTAAAAACACCTTTTACCCGTCCCATTTTTTCATTTAAATTAAGTTTTCAAAAAAATTTAACTATCATATATTTTTTTTCTATAACGATTTTCATTATACCATCTTTAAACTATTGTCGGAAGTGTAAAATTTAAATCTGAGCAGTTTTAACGTAAAATTAAATTTATATAATATATAACTAAAAATAAACACTACCTATCTTAATTTTAATATGAACGAAAAAATGTAAGATAACATAAAAAAAAATACTTGTAAAAAATTCCCATTGTACATGTTAATAACTATTGTAAAAGTCCAACAGAAGTTCGAAAAAATTAAAATCAAATTATTTGTATAATATATTTGGTTATCGTTTTAAACAAAAAGACAAATGCGTTGTTGTATTAGTTAACATAAGGTATTAAGTACTATAAAAGAGTTATCAGGTTAAAGCTTAAAAATATGAAATTGGATAATTAATAATTGACTTGGTATTAAATTGTTTCAGAAGCAAGAATGAAAACTTCTACAGATATAACTAACAACAGGCCAAAACCATTGTTTCCGACACCCAGCTGCTAAAAATGAAAATCGCGATTTATTATATTAATAAATCTAATGTAAATATCATGTTTCTTTCTTCGGTAGTTTAAAATGGGATTTTCAACACAACCCCTACTACGTTTTAGTTAGGCAAACAAACTAACTTTTTGTATTTTTTTACATAGTACCTGAAATAAGTTTGCCTTCCGTACGGGGTTGTTTGAAATCCTACTTGTTACACTACTACTCCTATCTTTTTGTTACACTTTATATCTATAATGACTATTTTGTGACTATTCAAAATATACTTGTATATTCATTTTATACCTCGTCAGGTAAACCAATTATGTTTTCTTTTATTTACATTGTGTTGCAAGCGAATTACAGTTGTTACTATTGCTGTTAATTATAAGGTAACGATTTAACAGCTTTATATTTTTCTACGTGTATTTAAATATACATCAGGTGTAGTCCAATGAAATACGTCGAGTGCGTTTAACATAGTTATTCTTAATTGTGTTGTATGTTTTCTCACAATACATAAACGTACATTTAACATATATTTTAATGCAATTAAAGCGTTAGTAAGTAGTAATTTTTAGTTACCACGTGTATTTAGTAGTGTAGTGTGTACTTAAACCGTTAACTTAACAGACACCATATTCTCCATGTTTTTTTTTTTAACAAATACAATAATAATTTCCCTCTCGATTAGAAAGTTGCACATTCAATGGCGTACATTCAACTTGTAGAGTTCCACAGTCCCCGTGGACAAAAGTAGTTAGTCCCGACCAATATCTTTTAAACCTTGACACACAAATATAAGTGTATATTATACTATTATATTATGTATTGTTGGACATGTTAACTAGAGAAAATTACTAAAAGAAAAAATAATTAAATCGTTAAACTAGAGATATACACTGGCTCTTAGCTATTAGACCAAAATAAATTATAATTATCTTTAAATAGAAAAATTTAATGAATAATTGACAGAATATTTATAGCTGTATATTAAAAAGGTTTTTTTATCGTTTTGGGACTTGGGATTTCTCTTCTCCGCTATATGCATATTAGATAAAATATTCTCGAGTTATCGTGTTTGTCGACAGCTCGTGTGAGTTTTAAGTATCAGGTGATATAAGATGTACATCATAATTATAACTAAGTTATAACCAAATCCTGTAATGTACAATAGACAGTATTTGTTGTATCTAAGTGATCTATTAGTATTTATTGAAAAATCAGTGGCGTTATTTGGAGGGGGTAAGGTACCCCCCTCTAAAATTGTTAAAAACTGACCGCTGCCTTGACTTTGTATGGAATCAACATCTTACCGGGCGTATAAGCCTGTTTACTGACAAGTTAAGAAGTCTCTAAATAAATATTAGCTATAGCTAATTTATGAGCCGGTCAGATTTTCAACAGCTCCCCTTGAAAAACGATTGCAGATTGACGCCACCGATTAAATTAGTTACACACTACCCAGCTAAAAGATGGAGATTATAAATAATAAAATTGCTTAAGATCCATAAACGTAAGTACTATAATATTATAGCCATTATCTCTTGTACCCTTTGATAAACAGTCGTAGTCCGTGGATTTGACATTTGTATTATACCACAGTTGAAAAGTATAACAAATTAAAATACATAAGGAATCATATTGCAGCTAGGTATTATAATTTAATAACGTATTATATAATTAAAATACCGTTCGAACTTAGATATTATTGCAAGAACCTAATAGAAAAATATTGTAAAATAGCTGTTGTTACTGGTTGCCGGTCCTGTGGAAATTACCCCGAATCTGGCATCACTGATTAGACAGCTGATGTAAATAAACTGATAATTTTCCTAGTGAATTTTATGTTAACCTTCAGAGAGCGCAAGTCCGCAGAGGGAAGACCGAAAATTGTACTATCCGCGCTGTTCTCATCAAAAACTCGCCCAAATTATTTGCTCTAATTCGATTTTTTATTGGTGACGTTATCCAAAATGGCTTTCGGCGACTATCCGGCCGATTACAACCCCAAAGTTCACGGACCTTACGATCCGGCTCGTTACTACGGCAAACCAGATACACCCTTGTCACAGGTCAAACTCGGCGAGGTAATACATTACAATAACCGTGTACCTAATTTCTAAATGTTTAGCATTCCATAAAATAACACAGTCCTGTTATTTCGTTAGCCCGGATTGAGTAGAATAAGTCTGGTACGAGCAGGTTAGGTTATTACGATAGGTATGTCATCTATCGTAATAATGTATTAAACAAGGCGTCTACTCGTATTCCAACCAAGATAAATTTGTTAAAGAGTAATGCTTTTTATGCCTTTGAGGACCAAATTAAGAATACACATATGCTTCTCAGAGAACGGATTAGAAATGGATAATCGATATTAGAAGACTTTTTGTTTCGTAGCAATGGCGTTCATGTATATTTCTCGTTTTCATTATTCTTTAAAGTTACAGCTAACAAAGTGAAGCATATAATTCGCCCTAGGTCTTATAATGTCGGTTTATAAGGTATCAACCTATAAAATAGAGAAAACACTGATGGTAAAAACATTTATAAACGTCATTGCTCGTCAAAGGGTTTAAGGTTTATTGGGGAAAAAAACAACAAAATAATTTGGTTTACGAGTAAAATTTGTATATTATACTTATCCTTAATAAATATTATATATTTGTTAATGCTGTTTAGACTATAGTTTAACTATATTAATTACTATTTAACTTTAGTAAAAATGGACTTTTGAATGGTTTCTTGTATTACTTTTATATTAAAAGTGTGTGCTAAAATTGTATACATAAGAAATTTATCTAAAATCTATATTTCAATGTTTGATAGTTTGGTCAATGGATTGGTCGCCGTAATAAATCGCCACAGGCAATGATTGCCGCTATCAGTCGTGGATACTGGAGATGGTCTCACAAATATGTCCAACCCAAACGTACAACATTGACTCCAGTTTTACATGTTATTTGTGGTAGCATGTTGTTCTTCTACTGTATTAACTACGGTAAATTTGTTCATCATCGCAACTACAAATACCACTAATGGCGTTATTATAAAATAAGAAGTAAATATTATTAGTTGGAAAAATTGTTTTGTTTCTAAAAGTATCCGTAAAATATATCAATCATATACCAATTTAATTTCTTGTTTTTTCACTACCTTAGTGTGCTTGTATTAATTTTATAAAAATTAATAAACAATAATGAATGAATTTAGTTGTATAAAAAAAAGTTTTAAATGTTTAAATATACCATTTACCTACTCCTAAATGAGTTTTTTTCTTAAATATTTCTGCGTCTTACCTTAGGTCTATACTACTTTATATATATATATTTTGTGCCTGAATATAATCATAAACTAGAGTCATGTTAAAGATATGGCTGCTACTTGGCCAGGTGTTAGGTCAAGTCCAATCTGTCAGTTCTCAAATAGATTCTGGGATACTAAAAAAACCTGAAAATTTTAGCGAGGAAGTCATAAAATCCTACTGTTTAAAAACGTCAAGGTGTAGAAGAAAAAAAATACAACTTAGTTACTTCATGTCTTGTCTATTGGTAAAATAAATTAAATCAATTATTTAAAAAATAATTATGTATATTAAAATAAAAATTGGAATACATAAATGGTTATTAAAACAATAATATAAATTTCTCCACAATTTAATTTACATTTTATTTTAATATAATATTAAATCCCTATTATCTAAAGAAATACATTTTATAAACGGGTACATAAAAAATATATTTAAAACCTGGTTACAAAGTAAATTTAATATACAAAAATAATAACTATTAATTATAGAATTATTATGATGAAAACATATGAATTAAAAAATGTAGTATGGTTAGTTTTTATAATTCTTGAGAAGTGTGAAAAGGATGTTGAAGATCTTCAAAATCCAACATTCTTGTTTCTGTATTTAGAGTATTTGCAGCATCATGAAGTGGTTCAAATTGTTCTAGGCTCTTGATAAATTCTTCAGTTGATGTAGGGACAAGGGTCATGTCATTTGAGAAAACTTCATAAACTCCATGACTCATGAATACATGTGGTTGAGAGACACTGACTGTAGATGTTGAGGAAGGATAACCTAAAATCATTTAAAAATTATAAATAAGTAAGTTTTTAAAAAGGCAGCATATTTGGGTTGGGGAGATCATTAGGAATTATTATAACTAAATAAAACTTTGATAAAAAAAAAAAATTAATGTAAATCGTTTTTTAGACAGTCAATGTGTTATTCGTTTTTTGTGTTTTTAAGGATAAACAAAAATGGTAATGTATGTATTTCATTAACTTTCTAAGTTGGAATAATTTACTGAACATTTTAACAGGTCAAATTTAAAATATTGTAAACAAAAAAACAGAAATAAAAAAAAAACTGAAGAAAATCTGCAAAATTACAGCTAGTTAAAAAAATGTGTCTAACATTAATCTTTTGGTTCCCTTAGTTAAATGTTACCTACATAAAAAGTAAGTCCTAAAATTACACCTAAAGAAGAGAAATAAGGAAAAATATTCTACCCTTCTTTAGTTTCAATGTGAAACTACTGAAAATGTTAGATTAATACATACCAATCAAAGGTACACTCGTCTCCAGATGGTCAGTCATCGTCCGTAGCCTTTCAGACACAAGTCCATCGACACTTTCCAATGCCGCTTGATTTTCGTCACACATCATTGATTCTTCCATACTTGAACTTAACAAGAAATCAACCTTTGATGTTTGGCTATCGAACATATTCAAGTGAATAGGACTAGAATGGATTGGAGTTTGCGATATAGGAACTTTAAGACTAATAGCTTGGCCAGGGTTTTCGGTCCATACATCATTTTGCCGAGGTATTTCATAAACGTTATTAGGAAAATTATGTAAACTATACGTGCCTTTGGGTAAACTCATAAGTTGTCCTAATGTATCATCAACAAACTGAAACATACAAAATCAACCATAGTTAACTAAACTTATAAAAGGGGAAAAAATATACATTTTTAACAGTGTTATTTATATTAATATATTACCATTTTAGTATTATCAGGAGCGTTTAATTCACAATCTGGTATTTGTGTGAGCATTTTTGATAAGTTTCTTAAATTTATAATAATTGTATTTAATTCTTTAGAAAACATTTGTAAATTTCCATTATCTAAATTGCTTGCTAATAAATCCCAGGGAGAAATAGTTCCAGTTAATGATTTCAATATATTTGTTTTTTTTATATGTTTCATAATCTGTAAATAAAGCATACACAATGCGTTACTCATATTATTTTATGCAGTGAAAAAGGCGTCAAATTCCCACAGACTGCGTAACAGACCTAAAGCTTGATTGAAGAGCAATCAAAGAAATTCACATAAACGATAAAATGTTTAATTAATATCTTACTACTTCATGAAATACACAGTTCTAAGTTATGTTAATATTAATCATAATTTGTTGTGTATCAAAATTATATATAATATTTACCTGTTTTAAGTGGCCTGTTAAATTTTTTTTCGATTTCATAAATCCACATTTATGGTTTTTAAAAGTTTCAGTTTGTGTATGTGATTCCTTTTTACCGTTAATGTTATTATCTATCAAATATAATATTTATCGATTAATTTATAAAAATTATTACTCGTTTCTATTTAAAAAAGTGTAAATTTTAAGAAGAATGTAACAGAATAAGTTAACACTATTTATGAATATTATGGATACAATATAATACTATGGTTCATAATAACAAATCAATTATATTAGGAAGTATACCATTAATTGGATGCTTATTGAATTCTTCAAAAATGTCTTGAAATTCAGATTCTATACTATGCTGGTCATTGGTATTGACTTTATGAGAAGGAAATTTTTCTAGATGTTCTTGCATTCTTTTGTGTCCTAAATATGTTTTATGACATCCTCCACACACAAAATCGGATTTGACATTGTATTTTACTTTTTTTCTTCCAAGAATATCTGAATAATAACATTTTAAATTCAATCAAAATCTATATCCACGCATAACAGATTTATGATTTATTTACCATCATTATCAACTATGGGGTGCAATTTCTTAGGCGGTTCTTTAACTATTTTTCCATTTAATAAATGCTTAGGAGGTTTAGATAAACGACCACACTTTGTAGTCAATGAACATTCAATAACCTGTAAGAAAAATTAAAAAAAGATAAATTTAAAATTCTTTTCAAATAATTTTAATTAAAATAACTTCTTTTTCGGGCTGCATGGCTTCTTCTGGTTTCGATTTATTTTCATTTAGATCATGGTCATCTTTACGAGGCCGTCCTCTTTTAGGCGTCATGGGTTTTATATTTTCGGTTAGTAAATCTGATGGACTTAATAGGCTAAAAACAAAACAAAATTTGGATTATATATATATACATATATATATATATAATAGCAAATACAACTAATTTTAAATTAGTTAATACAAATTAAATTGCGTGTATAAAAAGTAAAATTTTACTTACTGAAAAATTACATTAGTATTTGTACTTGCATCATACTTTTCTACTTTCTTGTTTTTATTGGAAATATCTTCATCACTAAGTAAAGATGCATAATCACAAACCATTTTTTTTGAAATGACCTTATTTTTAGATCTAAAAACAGTTTAAATGAATGTTAAATTACATAGTTATTTTATGCAATTTTATAGGTTCCTTAAACTACTGATATGATCAACTAATATATTTTATTAAACAAATTAAACAGCTCTACATGAGGTTATTACATCTCGACTATTACACTGATATAGAAAATAGGTATAAAGCCAATTAATTTAATTTAGCAAAACCAGATTGAAGAATGAAGTTAATGGTGGTTTTGTTAACTAATATATTATTAGGAGAAGTATGAATGTTTAAAAAGAAATTTAATTTGTAAAATAATTAAAAATTTTAATTATAAAGAAAGGTTATGTTATTTTGTATAATAATATGTCTAGGTATAAGTTGAATATATTAAAAAAAAATGCCTATGTATTGGTTTGACATTTCCTTTAATAATAAAATGTATACTAGCTTTATCATGAGAAATCTAGAATCAATACAAGTATAATAGTTCAGTCAATTGTTATGTTAGTGTGGCTAACCTATCCATATAACATTAAATATTTAAATCTAGTGTTTAAGATAATAGTATTGACTAACTTACAATAAAACTGATTTGGAATTATTAGCTGATAGTCCATGCTTTCTTTTTATCTTTGTCAGTGGCCTGATTTCCTTATATTTATTGTTTTGGATATTACTTATTTGTGTATCAAGTATATTTAGTTCTGGATTATGTTGTTCTATTGAAGGAACATAAAAATTGAATGATGGTGTTTGGCTTGATGCTAATTGAATAGGAACTTCTATACTAGCTTCCTCTGTCAATTCCGGAACTACGTTTATAACATAAACAGGATAATTTTCCATACTCGGCAAGTCCATATTCTAAAAAAAAAAAAATAAGTACATTTACAATACATAATTTTTAAAAATAAAAAATAAATTATTGAATAAGCCTTTTCAATACCAATTGAATGTCATTTTACTATGACATTCAAGTTAAAATATAAATACGCTCACCAAAAAATAAATAGGGGTTGCCATTTAAAAATCTAGTTCATATGGTTTACTCACATAGGAGATGGGGGTATATGTGTTTGAAAATATATTAAGCTTAGTTCAACTAATAATTATAAAAGTGTGAAATTGTTTTACTTAAAAGTCTAACATCTTTGGTTTTTAAAAAAGAAAATTATGCTACCTACAATTAAATTAATTATTATATACAAAAATATTATATTATTATTATTATTTTATACAAAAATGCATATCCATAACAGTTACCTGAACAACCTTTGTTTATTTTTTGTCTTCATAGTTTTTGATATACTTCTCAGAATAATTGACATATTAATAATTTCTACGGTGAACATTTATTAAACGAATCCACTATAATGGTAAGTTACAAGTATACTACATTATATATGTATTGAATTTGTTATTCAAATGTTCTTTTTGGCCGCTAGGTATCTTTTAAGTAGGTATATATATTTGCAATTACAATAGGTTACAACATTATTACTACATTCAATCATTAATAATAATCTATACAATATCACTAAGTAAAAATAGTCCAAAACTTAGCGGTTTTCATTCTCTATTATCCTCATGTTATTTTATGACGAAGGACGTATAAATTATTTATTTTAAGTCTTGCTTCCTCTAAAAAAGTCTTGTTTTGAATCTCAGGCGTCAAAAAAAATCATTCCGCTTTTCAACAACGTATTGGTGAAAAAATTCTTTCAGTCCCAACAGACAAAAAGCGGTTTATTTCGTGGTACTAAAGCCCCAAAACCAACTTCTGTCGGTGTAGTGCTCGCCATCGGCAAAAAATGCAAACAGGTAATATCATCATATGTCCTTAATTAGTTAAGGTTATTATTGTACGGTAATAACTATATAAACGTTAAGAATAATCATGATTTTCATTTGAATATAGTTATTTTTAGAACTTTTTATCTCTTTAAACATTTGAAAATGTACCTTTCGATATTTATTTAGGTACAACATTTTTGTTATTTAAATGTTATATGCAAAGAATTGTTAATTTTTTTTCATGTTGATGGAAATATATTTTTTTTTTACATTTTTATTAAAAAAATTTAAGTATTTGCTTGTTTTAGGAGCCAGGAAATCATTTCAAGGTCGGTGATAAGGTATACTTGACAGACCTCTACAACGGGAAAAAAGTGAACATTGAAGATGTGGAATATGCACTCTTTATGTACAAGGACATCGATCTTCTTGGTGTGATTGAAGATCATGTAAGCAACAAAGAAACGCCAGCTAACAGTCAAGGTCTTACTGAAAAAGACTACGATAATGTTGAAGGCATTGAAGCATTAAGAACTGTGAACTAGTACTGTTATTTCTAAACTAATTCTGTTTAAAAACCAAAAAAATATTTGACTTAATAAAATAAAATGTACATAAAGATTTAAAAATAATATTCGTATTGTTACACAAGCCTAAGCGGTCTGTTAAGTATACCCTCAGGAACACCGGAACAACGGAGGTAGTAGGGGCAATAAATCTAAGGGAATAATTTCGTAAGGCTTATGTCCCCACGGTTCCACAGCGAAAAAAAGCTTATAATTAAAAAATCATTCAGATTTAATACACATAATCAGTGGGTTTAAAGTGTTTTCAACTTTAATATTACTCTCAGAGTTCTTCATGGATCGTCAGTGAGTTAAATGACTAGACGATCAGTCCTCAAATGTCTCATACGATCTTCCTGGATTTCGAAAAAAGGCTCTCCAGTCTTTGCGTCAGTTTCTGGCTCAACAAATGAGGATATAATGCGCACTATAAATGACCTTCGAAAAACTCAGAAGAATATGATAGCCCAGAATAAATATCTAAGCGATGAGTTAAAAACTCGATTAAATGATTCGACCTCATGTTTTATTGAGATTACTGCTGAAATTTCTAACCTAAGAAGTAAAGTTATTTCTCTGGATAATAGGATACTGACGCTTGAGTGGGGTCCATCTACTCCTTCTACTATCCCACCTTGGTTCACAACCAAACTAAGAAAACTAGTGTTCTTAAAGCATCAAGCAAACGTTAAGAATAATTTATTCCTTTGATATATCCAAAAATCATCCACGTGAGGTTATTAGTCTGTCGCCAGCTAAACGTATAGCGGCTCCTGTACATTTTTACAATAGAGCCGCCCAATAACAAAAATTTATTATTATTTAGTAGTTATTTTTATTTATTTAGTAGGTACTTACTGGAAATAAAAAAAAGTCTTCTTTAAATAGCTTGGCAATATTGTGGCGGATCACAAATATTTAGGTAAGTATTATTATTAGTATTAATACTAATAATTTTTAGTTTTATTAAGATCATATTAAAAACCGGGTAGAAACTTCAAACTAGAAAATAGAAATAAAAACCAATTGCTTATCACATACACATATAATCACAAAATAAGTAATAACAAAAATAACAGAGTAATTCATTTATTCTGTGATACAATCACTAAATGTGTTTTCTGATAAAATACAGTGTACTCGAAATGTTATCACTTATCTGATATAACTGAAGACACTGTACTTTAGAGTTTAGATGTTGCCAGAAAATAAATGAATAGGTACAAAAGTAAAAACTAAAACCTAAACCGTCGATATTATACTAACATCGAATGCTATTTACTTGAAAGTTATAATAGTAAATAATTACCATATTGTAATATACAAAATAATACTGTTGTAACTTATAATATGATGTACCAATTTACTTAAATTTAAAGTTTTAACTTCTTGTTTCCGCCACCACTAAGCACTGATCGCTGAACCAAGTACTAAAATCGTACAATCTAATACCAATTATCATTTACCAATCTTGATTACAAAACTAATTGATAAAAATTACATTGGTTATTTGTTATTTACTAATTTATAAATCTAACTAAAATTAACTCAAAGTAGCAGGCGATATTACATACTAGTAGATATTTGTCTTTTAATCTATTCAAACTAATTCTTAAAAATAAACTTTTGTATTATGGATTTATTGGGATCAATAATGAAGTCGATGGAAAAACCACCGACAATAGATACTAAGGAAAAAATAAAACAAAAAAGTTAGTATTGTTGTATATTGTAATAAATGCATTTGATAAACAGCGAAGGAAAATATATTCTAGTTTAATATTTTTATTATTGTTAAATTTGATTTTTAGAAGCTCAAGAAGCGTATTTAAAACAGCAAAACAAAGAAAAGGCTAGAATTGTGCAATTCCGTGAAGAAGTAATATACATTTCCCAATATATTATAAAAAAAAAAATAGGTTTAAATTAATTAAAAAAGTTTATTTGGTTAAATATATTGGAGTTGATAGTTCAATTTACTATTTATAGTATTTATTTTGACTGATTAATGGGCATTATTTAAATTCCTAATATTGTTTTCTACCTTATTTTATCACCTTATGGACACCGAGTAATGATGAAAAATAATAAACTATTTATGTTTACTTAATCATGTGCTATTAAATTATATATTTTTCATTTGAAAGAGAGTTGCAGCTAATAAATTGTTGCATGTTATAGACGGAGAAAAAAGTGACAAAATTTGCTCAAGATGATCTGCAGACAAGATTTAAATTCCCTCCATTAGATCAAGTGCTACGAAATATAGTGTAAAATATAATGTTTGATTATTCACATAGTCATAGATTGGGGATTTATACTGGAAAACTATAGTATAATTATATAGTAATGAAAGAGCAACCATAATTTTTTTATGGTGGTTGCAATTAATTACGTCTTATTGAGTAACGCAAAAAACACTTATAAATCCAACTGGTTTGGAATGTCTCGACTTTCCGTTGACGCTCTACCTAAAATTGCTCGTTTCAACTTGCCAACGAAAAACAACACAATTCAGTCACTTAATATAAACAAAAGGCTGAAGTGTTTTTTTTTTAAATGTGCTGTTTATTGCAAAGCCTTTAGCTATTCACCCAATCTTTTCAAATGTGTATTTGAAGTCTAACTGTAATTGCATTATAAATAAATATAACTGTGTTAAATAATTTAGACGTGAAATCGCTGAAGATGCAGGTATGTTAGCGTATTCATTTGGAGAAGAAGAAGTTGATCGGTATATCATAGTATTTAAGAAAGATTCACTGCCTTGCGAAGATGAATTAAATGCATTAAGAAATGGTCAAGAATGGAACGAAGACATTGCTAAAAGACTTGTAGCTCAAGTAATGTTATATAATATAACTTAAATAAATGTATATATTTATAGTATAATTTTACACTAAATAAAATAATAGCCTTTATAAAATATATTTAAAATTTGCATATGTATATTATATAAGTTTGGTTCTCTTTTACAGAGAGAACAAGAGAAGATAGAAGAATTGCTGGACGAACAAAAACGTATGTTGCAAAAAAGAACAAACCAAGATAAGCCTAAGTACAATTATAAGGAAAAGTATCAGCACTTGGTTGGTATGGAAGCGGCGGAACAGGCAGCACGAAAAACTGAGACAAATAAAACATATGGATTTGGTTAGTTCAAATACCATATAGTATACAGTATACAATGCTGCTAACGATACTCAATAAAATTAGATTAAAGTATATAGTCAAAATAGGTTTGAAAACGAATCCAATAACTCACGAAAACTTCCAAGTTACTTAACACAGTTTTATTGAGACCCTTAAACATTGATACTTATCAATCATATTTTAAACATGTTTTTTTCTTCAAAATAAATAGCACTTGTTTGTTGATTAATATATAATTTTCATTTGATTAGTACCCAGTGAAAACAAGAAAGATTTAAGATCCATTGAACAAACTCTAGCAGATATACGTGAAAAGAAGCGCATGAAACTAGAAACTGAAAGTGCTAAGAACCAATCAGAATGAGTTAGATGCCGCAACAAACTTCACCTATGTAATTTCTACACAACATAAATATTTCCAATTAAAGGAAATTTTAGTTTGGAAATATTTTCATAATCATTTATTACATAAACTAAATAACGGTGACTAATGATCTTGGATTCAATAAAAAATGTAATATTTTGATTTTATAGAAAAAACTAACATAATTCATAATGTATAAAGAACAGTGAACCCATAATTGTCATTCGTAATATTAAAAATAATGTTAACACTTATCACTGCACTTATTAGTTATTATTTACTGACATAAAAGTTGCAAGCTTCGCTTTACTTAAAGTATTTCTTTAAAATCAATTTACTAATCTTTGTACTTCTTTTTTTTTATAAATAACTTGTATTTCTATTAATTTGTACTTTGATTGATTTAGTAAAAATAAAAATACTTTTTATGATACTCGCATAAGTATTTTATCTGTTAAATCAAACAACAAATAAAAATTACTCTACTTTATTATTCGACATAACAATATTGTAATTATAAACATGTGTACTAAAAATGTATATTAAAAGTTTTTCATTACTCATCTAACCTATACCTATACCTATCTAGGACGATTTGACAAATTAATTAAGTCATAGTAATTACCCTAAATGTATAGTTTATATAATATAATTCAGTGAATGATGTACTATTTACTAAATTTTAGAAAACATTCTAATGACATCAAACTAACCAAAAGTTTAGGTTGTTGTTGTCGATATGTCGTAAAAATAGCAAATCAAAAAATTATCTTCTTTCAAGTAGTTACTACAGACTAAAAGAAAAAAAATAGTCATTAATTTTAACGATATTCAATTACACGTAAAACATAAGACTTTCAAATGGGAATCTAATTCATAAAAATTAAGGCATTATTCCTGATGTTTTTTTTTTATAAGTGTTGTCGTTATAAATCAATTCTATTAAAGTTATGTCTATCTACAAAAGATAAATCTAAATAATAAATTTATAATTTATAATAACGTATTTACATGGAGTCGTTTTTTAAAATTTTAGCAAGCAATTTTCATAATAAGTAATAATACACATTTTTCGCTACATTAATGACAATTATTAAATATTCTTAATTCTTGGATCTGTAACAGTTCTAAAAACGTATAGACCTATTGTTTGCAACAATTATGTACTTACTTATTGGTATTATAAACTAAATACACTATTATACCGTACAAATTATATTATCATAGTTATTTTTAATTATTACACTCATTTTTATTCACATAGTATTTTGAATTTCCCTCGTTATTTGTTGGTATAGTGATAAAACCATTAAGTGGTGATAAGAATCCAACACTTTTAATCTCCTTGACATTTATGTGATGTTTACAAAAACCTAACCTCACTCTGAACGAGTCCCTATCTTTTATGTGGTGCCGTTTCGCCAGTCTCCGACCTCCGTTATGTTCTTCTAGTTTTCGCGTCTTCTTCGGTAATTGAACGTTGTCAAAATGGTAAGTTTTTATCCGTTCTAATCCAATTAATTGTTCAACCATCACAAAATGTTATAATAAATAACAAGGAACAATGAATATTATTTTTATATAAATCTATAAATTTAAAATTACGAGGTTACTTAAAATTGCTGAATTTGATAATCATTCGAACGACCAATTAATTGCTTAAAATGAAATATATAGACCAACACGGTCGGTACAGTTTTTTATTTATTGTTCTCGAGGGGGTTTAATTGATTTAGATTTTCAATTTAATTGGTGAAATTCGTATTTCGCATTTTATCGACCATCGGCTGATGTTGTGTTGGTGGGTGAACCAAATTAGGGATAATGATTAATATGTTATGTTTTGTCTAGGCTAGAGGTCCCAAGAAGCATTTGAAGCGTTTAAATGCGCCCAAGGCATGGATGTTGGACAAATTGGGAGGTGTGTTTGCACCGCGCCCAAGCACTGGTCCACACAAGTTACGTGAATCGTTACCGCTTTTGATTTTCTTGCGTAATCGTCTCAAGTATGCGCTTACTGGTGCTGAAGTTACCAAGATTGTCATGCAAAGATTGATCAAGGTAGACGGCAAAGTGCGCACCGATCCCAACTATCCAGCTGGCTTCATGGGTTAGTATACATATATATATATATATATATATATACCATTAACTAATGACTATAGATATTAATTATGAAGTGTTCTTAAAACTAAACTTGATACTTGGTACTTGATGGTTATTTTTCATTTATTGCTGGAAGTTGGCGTTGAAAAAATCAATAATTTATAAACCTCTACATTTTATATTTATTTAATGTTTTCATAGAATAGATAGATTATATTATGTTTTATTTACAAAATAACCTAATAATAATAAAATACTACTAATTTTATGTTAAAATTCTCTCAAGATGTAAATGATGGGAAATTGTATTTGGGGATAAATTTTGCTATGGAATTTAATTGGAGATTAATATATTTAGTTAAGTTATTATTTTACTTTTAAAAATTTCGTCAGCTAGGGACTGTTGTTGGGTTGGCAAGTAAACAGATTTGGGTTGTGGTTTTATGGCCAATGTAGGCAGTTGTACATTTTTTCTTGAAGTCTCGTATGAATTAATGTTTATTTGTGATGACTGGGTAAATATATTTGTATCTGCATAAAAATGCATTTGAAACAATTTGAATTAATTTGATTTTTTTTACCTAATATAAAACTTAATTACCCTTAACACATTATTATGATTTTCTTAAGGTTTTTTTTTTAACAATCTAGCTATCATCTGATGTTACTAGCTATAACGGTTGTTTGAAGGTACCTAACTATACATGTTTGAAAATATCACATACTACCTTTAACTATAAAAATAAAATTGTATTAATTATAACTCGCATATAGTTTTTTTTGTAAATAAATGATATTTTCTATTATAGACGTTATTTCCATTCAAAAGACTGGTGAGCACTTCAGGTTGATCTATGATGTCAAAGGTCGTTTCACCATCCACAGAATCACACCAGAAGAGGCTAAAGTAATTCAATTAAATTTTATGCTCATTTATTATAATAAACAACAATTGATTTAACTGTACTGTTTTTGTTTTTAGTATAAGTTGTGTAAGGTAAAGAGAGTTCAAACAGGACCTAAAGGTGTACCATTTTTGACTACACACGATGGGCGCACAATCCGTTATCCAGACCCGAACGTTAAGGTTAATGACACAATTAGGTACGATATTGCATCATCCAAAATCTTAGACCACATCCGATTTGAAACTGGTAAGTAATTTTGTAAAAACGTAGTATTACTATCTTGTCTAATTTACGTATTTTTACTGTATAGGTAATTTATGTATGATAACTGGAGGTCGTAACTTGGGGCGTGTTGGTATTGTTACCAACCGGGAAAGGCATCCAGGATCTTTTGATATTGTTCATATTAAGGATGCTAACGAACATATCTTTGCTACCAGGTATGTTGAATAGAATTAATTACACAACAGTATATTAATTATCTAGCATATATATTGGATAGACACTAGGGTTTTCTTTTAATATGAAGTTAGATTCCTTTTTCAAATTAATTATAGTTAAATAGTTTCAGACACCTTTATCCACACTTTCTCTTTTTTTTAAATTGGCCACCTGTTTTTGTTAACTTTTTTTTTAATAGTAACTTATTTTATTACAGTACCATCAAAACGACAATGTTTGTCGTATAATATTTTTTTTTTAGTGTAATCAAAATTTTAAGACAATGATCACATGAGCCTCTTTTAAATGGTGTGTTCTACAGCGATAACAGCCAGGTGTCTATAATGCTACCGAATTGTGGCTGTGTAAAACAGCAGTCCATATCTCCTAATAGCTTTTCCATCAGAAAAGCTTCTCAAAAATACTGTTCGGTGGTTCAGTGTGAAATAGCCCTATAATAGTCAAATAAATAAACTACCAATGAAGGCTACTATACTTATAAATGTACACTGATAATTTTTTTTTCTTATGTTGACAAACATTACCCATTACAAACCCCTTAGTAAATACAGGTTAGGGCGTCTGACTTCGTAATATTTCAAAGTTAATCAAATTTCTAGCTTTGTTAAACCATGTTTGCACTAATTTTTCAATATATTAGGTTTAAATATGTTATTATTCTGGTTTATAATAATTTAATAATAACAATTATTGTTTATAGGTTGAACAATGTATTCATTATTGGTAAGGGCCAAAAGAATTACATTTCGTTGCCAAGGAGTAAGGGAGTGAAATTGACCATTGCTGAAGAACGTGACAAGCGCTTGGCTGCTAAGTCTAAGACTAGCAGACGTTAATTGTTTGTGTTTGCATCATCATGTAATTTGAATAAATGACATTTATTTAAACTGAGTTTTATCTATAGATTTCCCTTTCTGTATCAACGGCTATATTTACCCTTAAAAAACCACCACTTATAAAAATGAGTAGAGGACAGGTGTACGCTACAATTTTTGATAAAAAGTTAGAGTACTCAGTCCCCCTACCTCCAATTCACACTGAGTACATAGAAAATGTATGTAAATTGTCAAAACAATGTGAGGTACCTTGTATAACACATAACATAAATTAAACCATTTAGGTTATTATTCTGTTAATTATTACTCCAAAATTACTTGAATATTTATTTATTTCTGTTAATCAGGACGCCAAAATAGATTAGGTAATCAAAGTTCTTTAACTAATTAATTTATATTAGTTTAAAACATAGGCAGATGGTTCTGTGACCATTTTTAACATTTAATTATTAAACAATTGTAATAATTCCTAATTAGGATTTAATGTAATTCCTATTTTAGATACTTACATACCAAGTTTTTATTTATTTAGGTATACATTTAGTTTGAACGATCAAATTAACTTAGTTTTATATTTGTATCTGGAGTCGATGTGTAACACATAAATATATAGAGATAAAACAAACATTTAATACGGTCCGTAAAGTATATTTTGATATTTACAGTTTTTTATTGTTAAAAAATGAAAAATGGTCCTCTACTAATTCATAGCATAAAAAAAATAACTTATTTAAAGTAAATAAATAATAATAAATAAATAAATTACTTGTACTTTTTTTATCTAGAAAAAATCAAAAAGTTATGTTAAGGGGCCCATACACCTGCATATTTTTGGTCGAAAACAACTCATTCTAATTCAAACGTACTGTTCCTAAGATTACACCGATTAAGGTTTTGAACAAATATATCGGTTCTTCAAAACATTTTCAAGGCATAGGTCGTGGCACAATTTTAAAATTATTTTCAGTTAATTAATTATTTTAGATGAAAAAAGTTAAAAATTGCATTTTTGTATAATGAAATAATTAACTGAAAATAATTTTAAAATTGTGCCACGACCGATGCCTTGAAAATGTTGTAAAGAATTCAAATGTTTTTAAAAATTTAATTCGATGTATTCTTAAGGATAGTACGTTTGAAGACTGAAGTAGAAACATGAGATTTTGTACAAAAATAGATCCTATATGCGTTATAAAAGTTTGAAAAAAAATCATCAAAATGGAAAGTTCTTTCCTATTGTAATATGTATGTTTAAAAATTTTAGCTTTGTGTTAAGAATTATCGAAAAATTGTCTATACAATGCGCCTAATAAATGCTAGTGAAGAGGCCCCTTAAAATGTACGAGGAAAGTTGAAATTAAAAGTCGATTTTATTTAAAAGCAAACCCATAAAATGAAGAGGACAATTAAAAATGTGGGCTTTTTTTTTATCTGTATACATTGTAACTTTTTTAATACTGGACCAATTCCTTTGAGTAGCAACTCTATAAATTACAAATTTTATCTAGTTGGTACTTTAGGGAGTTAAAGTCGAAAAAGTTTACTTCTTCACAGTCGAAATTTGAAAAAAAAACCGTACGAGTTTTTAATTAGAACTTTAACTGGCTATACTTTCGAGAAAAAGAGTCGGATCGAGTTGAAATTTATAAGAAATATTTATTTGGTGCCCGCACACGTCAGTTGTATCAAATTTAAATTAAATCCATCCCTACCCCCCTAGAGGGGCTTCAAGTTTTTTATTTTTTTTAGTGATTTTATTCAATTTTATCACTTTTATTTATAATAATTCCTCTAGACCTGTGACCTCTCCGTTCCCTCGTTGCTTTGATTCTATTATGCCTATACTCTACTGTACTAGTCCTCTCGTATAAAATCACTTTCAATTTAACGCTTTGATGCTTATTTGTAAATACAGAACCTCAATTTAATACTTTCTAACTTTGCTGGTTTATACTGTGCTTGGTTTGGACTGTACTGGCTTGAAAATACTTACTACCGATTTGCATCGAAGCGTTTTTTCGAAAGTGATTTTATCACTTTCAGATTTAAAAATTCCTGTAAACCTATGACCTCCCCGTCCCCACTATACCCTGACCCCACTGTACTGTTTTTTTTTAATAACAGTTAGATTGAAAGGATACATATAATTGAATACATATTAATATAATTGAACAACCAGATACAAAAAAAATTACATTAAACAGTCATCTGGCGTAGACAACTTATCATCAATATGAGAAAGAAATGTCCTCGTGACATCTAAGCGCATGTCTTTGAAAATATCTCGGAGAATGTCCAAAAAGTCTTTCACATTGTACAGGGGGTCAACGTTGTATAGTTCAAAGCTTTTAAAACTAAGTTCATAAATGGTTTCATTAACATAAATTGATAAAGTATCTATCTCTGAGCACTCCAGCAAAGAACACATCGATTCAATTTTTGTCATTAATTCAAATGTTGTTTTGGTTGTATCTCCATTTTTATTGGCGATCTCTTCGATAGTGTTCAATAAGTACTTCAGGTTGGAATCGTCTTGGATTACTAACATCTGGTTATAGTCGTTGAGTAAGGTAATCAATTTTGTCGCGTAGCTCAATTTCTGTTTTTTGTCTGATATTTTTTCTATATGCAGGTATTGTTCCCAATAACATTTAATCATAATGGTATTTAAAAAATTCTTATGCAACGTGAAGTACGATTTGATTTTTTTATAGTGGTCCACGGTCACGTCAAACTCTGACCAAATACTTTCCCAAGATCTTTGAAAGGTTAGGCTTGTGGCGACATGTGTTCCTAAATCTACAAATCTGGTATGGCCTTCCAATAATCGTTTGTTCCCAGGGTCCAAAGTTTCCATAAAAAGAGTTTCCGGTTCCAACACATCAATTATCTTCACGGGGCTATAAAATGTGGAATGGTTTCTCTTTACCATAGATTTTATGTTGGCCGCTGTAGGCTCTATCCACTTGCCGTACAGACTATTTTTGTTATCTTTGGGACAATTATATTTTTGCAAGTCGTTCTCCAGTGAGTTAATAACGTTTCCATGTGTAGTCTTTACCTTCGTTTGTGTGATGTCGTCTTTCAAAAGGTGTATATTCGCCTTCTCCAGCCAAATCTTATATAAATAAAAGTCCCACAAAGAGCCAATCAAAATAGGGTCTCTCTTGTACAATGAGATTATCGATTTACTAACGTTATAACCACGAATTTCTTCTATCAGGCTTGACCAATTTTTCATTTCATTAAACTTATCGGCCATTACCATCATATGCGTAATTACTTCATTCAAGTATTTGCATTTTACGACAGAATGGTCCACGTCGGTAACTGTAAAAAAAAACCATATGGTTTGTTAATATTTTATTTTTGGTAAAAATGTATGCATATAATACATATTTCCTAAGAGGAGCCCGGGTGAAATAATGTAAAAAGTTTTTCTTTTAAATTCCTAAGGACAAACATAACAATTTATGAAAAATTACCTGCAGTTGGTGAGTATGGCAATGAGGAAGGTGAAAATGTTGATTCTTCAGACGGTGTTACTGCTGGTTCAACTGAGTTATTCGTGTCTGTAAAATAGAATCTTTGTACCGGGTTGGGTCAGGAACCACTTATTATGCTTCATGCCTCATTCAGAAACTGGCCAAGTATTAACCTAACGGCCCATATTTTACGGTTAGGTTTTTTTTGGGGATTACTATTACTATTATTTATTATAACTGGATGGCATTTTTTTATTTCTAGTTTTTCTTTATATCGTGTGTAGTACAAAACTAAAGTCTGAATATAAACACTAAAAAAAATCTGCCTTGACCCAAATGCAATAACAAGTTCTTTAACACTAAGATAAATTTAAATTTACAAATAACATAGTCTTTATATATTATCATGTTTTCCGGCTGAACTTACACATTTCTGTCAGATAGTGATTATATCGACCAATCGACGTTGAATACAATTTACTTGGACTTATGAAATGGAGGTAAATGTGGATTTGAAGCTTAGCCACCCGATCCGCGTAAAACTCAACTAAACGGACATATTTAAATTGCTGTCAAGGATGTTTTGATAGTCCGAAAAATAATGTAATTACCAAAAAAAAAGTCTTAACTACTGAACTTATAATTACACACCACAGTTTAAGTTAAGATTTTGTAAGCATTTGCCTATACTTTACTCCTTAAAAATGGACGGCGTGGCGTCCTCGTAGTAACTAATGTTATAATCTTTTGACTCTTCAGTTGTAAAAACCTCAAAGCCAAAAAAATTATAATAATTTGATATCTAAACTTAAATAAGTGTTAAAAGGACTAGTTTTCAAGAAGACAATTTAAAAAAGCTAAATAAATCACAACCCGTAGGTATAAAAATTAATATAAATATCAAATCACCCAATTTGCCTATGGTATGATGAACAGTCGTTGACACAATTTAGAAGTCATTTATTTTGGACAAGATTACGTTTGACAATTTCGTATACACCATTATATAATTTTTCAAAAGTAAATAAATAGATAACAATTTTTTTCTGATTATATAAAATGATGATATTAAAATTATCCGTCTAATATAATAATACAGGAAAAAGAAAATTTAAAAATTAATCTCAAAACAAAATGCATAATATACAAATTACAATGACTACTTTTCAAGACTAGAATTACATATCACAAATGTTTAACAGAGGTCATAGTGGTTTTTAAAAAAAAACTCGCCACATGTATCATCACACGGGTACGTGCATTTTGAATACGCTTTTGGACACCAGTCTAGCATGTCTTGATTTCATGTGCCTGTCAAAGTCTCTCTTGCGCACTAAAATTTTACCGCAACAGTCGCACCTGAACGCAACAAAAGTACTTTAATGTAACGGCTTCGTTTACGCGAATACATTGTGTATTAAATCTAGAATTTTTTCATACCTGTACGGCGTGTCTCCTTCGGCGTGCAACCTAACGTGCTTGTTGAGGTTACTCGGATCGCCGAACGGTCGAAAACAGTACTTGCATTTTAACGGTTTGAATCCGGTATGTGTCCTAAAACATTCGGTACTACAGTGAGACGGTAATTATTTAAATAGTTTTGTTGATCGAGTGCAATTCGGGATGTTAATAATTGTTAGTGTTAAAATATATTAATAATTACCACCTACCTTATGTGAATTTTAAGACCGTACTTCCTGGAGTACACTTTGCCGCAGTAAATGCACAAGTGGCCTTGCTCGGAGTGGCCCAGATTGCTGACGATCGTCTCCATTTCGGCGAACCGCCTGTCGAACATGGCCGTGCCCGCGTTACTTGCGTCCGGCATCATGGGCGTCCGGTTGTCGATGGCCGGCGGAGGCGTTGCCACCAGACTGGTGGACGACGAAGCGGGCGAATACGGCCGGAATGCCGATTCCGATGACGTCCTACACGACTCTGGGGTCAGGCTAAACCGGAACGAGCCTTCCTGCACAATGCGGTCCTCGTCCTGCACCAGCCTGGACCACAGCTTGGCGCTGGGCAGCTTACCGCAATCCAACGCCATGTGGATTTTTAAAGGATTCGGTTTTTCGCAAGTATAGCCGCACACGTGACAAACGTATTTTCTCTCGTCTGTGCGTAACAACAACCATATATTATTGTTATTATTGTTATGGTGTAATCGGTAATAAGTAATATTACTATGTATAACTATAGCATTTGCCCATTTATTTTAATATATAATATATTAGAATGTGTATTTTTTTACTATGTAAACTTTAAATCTAAGACTATATTGATAATGCTTGTATATGTATTTAAAGGGAATTTTTTTTTTCTAGTCCCTCTCTTTTTTCATTCGTAGATCCACCCCCGTACTTAGTGTATTTCAGCTTGATAACTATTGGACATTCTCACCTCTGATGTTGACGGGCGTGAGAAAAGGCACGTGGAGCATTAGCTGTAGGTCGGGCGGGAACCACATCTTAAGCGGTTGTCCGGGTGTCACCACTGTGGTGGTGTACAAGGCGATTGTGCCCGCGGTCAGCAGGCTGATGCGACAGTTGTACGCGTGACAGTCGTCGGCTAACGGCACGGACAGTATCCAACAGCTACAACCCGCCACTGTACAGCCGGCCCCTTCCGCACACATGAGTTGTCCCATCTTGTCCACAGACAACACCATCTGAAAGCACACCACTTGTGTTAATAAAAACAATCGTTCAACACCTTATATAACACATTGTGTACGACTATGCCCATTTTTCAATCCACGTGCCTACTATAGGAGATGCCTATTGCCTAGTTCTTTTTGAAAGACCATTGCACATTGAAGTAATAATGTATCACTGGAGATGATCGACACGACAATTAGTTAACAATATCATTTACACTTTTAAAATACACGGAAGTTATAATTGAGTACTATAAAAAAAATTGAAATTAAAATTAAAACTAGGTTATCAAATATTAATAGATTATACAACGGAATAAGTACTTGGTACATAGAAGCAATGACGCAACATGCAAAAATGTATGAAGCAATTTTTCAAGTTTTAATTCTTCTCAGTCTAAGAAACAAGCTACATTATATTTAATAATTACATTAACACAAACCTATACAAAAGATTTCCGAGTTTTTGAGAGTCAATGTTTAATAGGTAATTTAAAAATTACCTAATAAAAACCTAATAGAACATACTGTGTCTGTTACAAGTTACTCTTATTAGTTGATTCTAGAATTCTTATATGTTAATCTGTTGGGCAATAGCTGTAATTAGAATTTGAAATAATTCCGAAAAATGTTTAAATAAAAAAAATTACCAACAAGGATAAATCTTAGTTTGAAATTTAAATTAAGGTCAAATCTCGCAGTCTTTAGCTGACGGTGTGCGCAAAGAGAGGTTATTTATAGAATATTTGTCTTTAAAAAACCAAAGTAAATCTATTGCGGATAAGCTTTGGCTATTGTTTTTCATTGGTAAAGTTAAAAAAAATGTTGATGCGTTGACCGTGCTTTTGCTTACTTTTCTGCGCGAAGCGGCGCCGTCGTAAGGTGTTCCGATGTTGTCTTCCAGGTGGCCGAGCATATCGGCGACTTCGACGGCCGCGGTTCCACAGTCGGGCGGCAGAAACGTGCCGGCCACGCATCTCCTGATCTTGTTGGCTGGTTCCATGTGGACACAGTGCTGCAGTGGGCGATGAGCTCGTCGGGAGACCTGCTCGCTGGTTCGGCCGGTGGGCAAGTGCAACCTGTTTTGTTGGGGGCGCGGGCTCGAGCCTCCGGTGGCCGCGATGAGGGTGGAGCGACTATTACAACAAAAGCCCTCGTGTACCACCTTGCGCCCGGTCGTCGGGGGATGCGTTGCAGCCGCAGCCGATGGCCCCTCACCGCACCGCTGGCGTCCCCAAACTTTTTTTTCTCCTTCTACATAGCGTTTAAATAGGAAAACATACATTTTGTATTAAATTAATATACATATACATTATACATTTTCGCTTTAATTGATCTGTGATTCGTCAACCCTTGTTGGACGGGTCCGGGCAGTGGGGTGAACCGACAATATGAACTAACGGGGAGGAAAAAAAAAAAAAATATATATATATATATATAAAAATATACCTCTTCTCAGCTTTTCAAGCTTGTCGTGAACCATAAAAATGAATCTTATAAAAGAAGATAACATTCTTACATTATGTCTCACTTATTGAAAATTTCATTACCAGTTCATAACGTTTTTAATGTCTTTGTATACCTACAACTTTTATTTTTCTATTAATAGGAAGCCACACAGCACCAATTTCAGTTAATTAGATAATTTCTCACGACGTCCACCTTTATTCTATATGTAGCAGTCGATAAGTTTCCATATGACTTAAATTATTATTTTTTTTTTTGTTTTGCTAAATTCAATAGCTTTATTTTTATGAATCGTTCCACATTAATAACTTTGATAAAAACTTATTTAGTTACAGTAAAAAATGCGCCGACGATGTACGGCTTATAATATTGTTTTTTAAATTCAAACTAAATTTATAAGATACTATCCGGCCAATAATAAGTAAAAAACGTTAAAAGTAGACTAATAAAGTAAAAAAAAAAAAAATCAAATTATCATTAGGATATTCCTTATTACTGGTACATTATCATACTGGTACATATTTGATTTATTTACTGCCAATTTTTAGTTTAAAAAAAATTTGTAGGTACGATTTTGTTGTGTTATTTAAAATGCTTAACTTACCTCAACTTCCTCTCACGTTGACTAAAAATTTAATTTAATTCAACCAATCTTTTGGTTTTATGCGTTTATAGCCATAAATAGGGAAATAATTATTTAAAATAAATTATGTATAAAAAGCTGGCTGTGAGTTATCAATTTAAGTAATATTCTATTTGTTATTTATAAATGTATTAAAATAACAATAACATAAAATGTAAATAAATAATTGTATTTCGGAGTTGTTTTTTTACTTCTTTTTTGCCACAATATGCATTGAAACAGTGTACGGTTGTTAAACGAACACGGTTGTTCAAAACATCAACTGTACACAATAATGTAAATATTTTAATCGAGTGACGTCATTATTCAACTTTACCATTAAATGGTGGCAATACCCACAAGTATATTTTGTATGTAGAGTTTTCTCATCCAAAAGAATTATTTTTTTGTTTACCCGCAAACCGTAATTCATTTTTTTTTCTATTCAATTTGCCAACTAGACTGTGTCTTTTATTGTAAAACAACAATCACGAATTGTAATTATTTTCGGGGCTCTGGGAAAATTATAGGTAATTTTATCTGTGCAGAATATGAGCGTGCAAACAATTTAATGGCAGCTATTAAAAAAAAGAAGCGTTCCTTCTTAAGTATATCACTACCGAGTGGAATTATGTAAATTTTTTTTATTAAACCTGTCAAAATGTGTAATTTTTTTTTGTATTTTACAATAATTTACATAGACACCAAGCATATACCCGGCACTTTATTTGTTTGACAAAGTTGTGTTGATTTTACCGTTAAGCCGTGTATCGCGTGTAAACGCGGTAAAAAAACCAAAAAAAAACATCTTTTGCAAAACTCAAAAGCCGCACATAATCTCCTTGTGCTTGCCGGTCTGAATATATGTATGTATGTGAATCACATTAATAATAACAACTAATCAGGGTTGACATAAAAAAGCCAGGGTTGTTTTTTCAGGTAAAATCCCGCTAAATTAACATAATAGAAAAATAGATACTCGGAAAAGGACCGGTTTTCTGTATTTAAATAAAACAAATAACATCAAATTGAAATTTTCAAGGAGATGAAAAAAAAATCGAAAGCGTGACTTTAACGATGTTGTTTACTAACTAAATCAAATATTAATTCTATATATATAATCGTGCCATATGATAAGTTTGCGTAGCATCATCGCTGGCATCTTTAAACGTGTAAGTTGAAACGTCGGATTTCTCAATGTTTATACAATTTTAGTAGTGTCTCCTATTGGAATTAAAATGTTTGAACATGCTAAACAAATTGTCAATTATTTGTACCTCAAATTTATAGTAGTTTTTAGGAAATATTATATTGTTCACTATAATTCTATACCAAATAATTGAATGTGTATAGCTCGATGTAAGTGTATTTGACTTGTTGTTTGACAGAGATTAATGAATAGGAAAAAATTCTTGATTTGACATGTTTTTAGGACAACTGTCCATATGTATTTAAAGAATTTTTCACATTGAGCAATAACACTATAAATAAACCAATATATACTTGGTAGTTCATAAATATATTTTTTTCCTTTTAGGTCGATTTTTTTTATTAAAAAAAAAAAATGACCAAATATAGATTAAATTACATATCCGACTTTCATTTTTGCCACCAATGCAATATATAATATATTATTTATCATTTGTATGTTTTACTAATACTGTTCGAGCGTATCTAGCCAAAAGTGACATATTATACTGGTTTTGTATTTATGGTGTACCTACTTGATATTGTAGTCCATCAGTAGAACGACTGACAAATGACAGTATTGATTCGCAATACGTGTCTGATTATTTTCTGTTAATTGACATTTTCAATAAAAAACAATAGACAAAACATTGCAAAACCCAAAAAATGTACTAATAATTTTAACCTGAAAGTCTAAATAAAAAAAAATGTATTATATTATGTACAATATTTATTTGTTAATAATTTATAAAAAATAAAGTTAACACTTCTTTAAAACAAAACACAAATGAAACAAATATTATACAAACAAAATAAATGACAACTTTTTTCTTTTCCATCTGATAATACCTACTAATAATTCCTGTATTATAATTCTCTATTTTAATTTTTTAAAATCTTTTATACTTTCACATTTTATTGCTTTACAGATAGAGACAATTTAAAAAAAAGCAAGCACAGTCCAAACTAGTAGTACAGTATAAACGAAATATAGTCTAAACTACCAAAGTATGAACCAACATACTCTAATCCAAGTACAGTTTGAACTAGCGCAGTCTAAACCAAGTTCGGTATAAACCAGCACAGTAAGTAATTACCAAAGTGGGGTCAAGTATCCACAGATTGGCTTCGAAGCGTTTTCTTGAATGGGGTTTTATAATTTCTCCATAAAGCCTAATTTCGAGTACACGATACAAGTACTGTAAATCCCATCAAAAGTTTGTAATGGTAAAACGAGGCTCCTGGCTTTAATCTTGTGGTACGGATAAACTAAGATTAAGGGATTCACGGATTAAGGGCCATGCCTCATGAATATTCGATACAATTTTTGACTGGATCGGACCATTTTTTGCTAAGATATGGCAAGTATTAAAGTTGAAAGTTGAAATACCGGTAATTTTTTTTTTCTTTTCTTCTCGGTTTCGTGGGTGAAGACAATACTAATTATTCAATAGTCAACTAAGAAAATGAGAAGATATTTTGGTTTACTGTGATACTTGTGTTTCCAAAGTCGATTTAGATCCAAATTTGTACGCTATATTTTTTAGATAGAGTACTACCCGAGGAGACCTCTACTTTTATATGTTGTTAGTGGGCCTAATTATTTTATTTTATTTTGCGTTTTGGGGTGGGAGGGGGAGGGTGTCGATATGAGCATCCTCGTCAAGCACATCATCTGCTATTCGGACAACACTGCAAGGTGTAACCCGCCGGCCGGATCCTCTCAAAGCCGTCCTCTCTCGTTCCGGCCAGACACGTCGCGGATTGACATGATAGTGAACGACAAGTGCTGTTGACGGTCCACGATCGCCGATTTAAAGGTGTAATAATCCCTTTTGCCGAACGGATCAACTTTTTTTCGGGCCACTCGACGGATAAAAAAAAAATCAAAAACCTATGTATATAATACAAGAACACACGGCGCTACCCCATTGGAGTGTATTACACGCGTTCGGCATGGATCATACGAGGCGCAAATCTCTCCCCTACACGTGGGCAAGTCGGGATCGAGGGTCGAAGAGCCACACACACAATACCGTCGATCCGGGCCGGGTTCATCCCCGGCAACAGACTTAATGTCCGCAATTAGATTTCCATTGAACCGATTTTTTTTTTGTTGTACGGTGTGTGGTGACAACAACCACCGCTCGGTTTAATATAATATAATAATATTATAATGAAATCGATCGGCCTCCCCATCGTATAAAAATATATATTACCCGGCGTGTAAGACTGCAACAAAAACACATTGTACTGCGGCCTTATTCAATATACCGCACATATTTTCTATGTCTAGTACAACATTATATTATTATTATAATACTCGCCCAGTTTGGTAAATTAACGCGTTTAAGATGACAAACGATTGCACAGCGTTTAAATCTGAGGCAATCGCAAATTAATACAATTTAAACGTCTGATTATTAATTATAATAGAATTTTTAAAATGACGCGTTAGATGTAGTTGGCAATTATTATTGTTATATTTTTTAAAGCGCTGAGGATCATACGAGTAGTAGTGGTGATATTAGGAAAAAAAAATTGTTAATTTTGCTTATAATGGTATTTTAGAAATTAGAAATATAGTAGGCTACAGACATTTCCTGTTTTTTTCTTAGCAAGATTGATTGAAATAATCTCGGATTACCTACTAAAGTTAATAAACTAGAGCCATCAAAAGTTACCCCGATTAATGAACACACTATTGGATGATCCAGGAGTTAATAAAACCGTTGACTTGAACACTGCACTTGTGGCAGTTGTTTGTTCCGTTTGTCAATGGCGTGCACACGTGTCTTGGTACAGCGCACGTGCCGGTTTTGCAGTGTGATGGTAGTAATTATACACTTGTCGAGCTAACAATAGTGTATTACATAATGGCAGTAATTATGTTCCTAAACGCGAGTCTTATCGATATCGTTTTTAAATGGTGTGGAATTTTTAAGACTTCAAAAATAGTAGTTTAAATACAATCTTACAACACATTCTTAAGAGCACCCCCGCAAGCACGGTATTACTTCTTGACATTTGCTAATTGACAATTCGGTAGTTACAAATACAATAAAGGCTTAAACCGACGATTAAATTAATTATCCAACTCTTACAAGTCTTACAAGTTACAATCGCTATGTTAATCAATTTCCAATTAAACTCTTTTGACGCTGCTGCTAATCGGGTCATAGAGGCGAACAGCACACACACAATATAGAAAATCATTTGATCCTTATCGAGTGTCCGTGTATCACCGCCGGAAAACCCGTGTAGGGGTGCATGTGTTTTCAGGCCTTTAATTGAGTAATCTGTATACAAAGGTACAGGTGGTTTTTTTGCGAGCCGCAAGGGCGCGACGCTCGAATGCATAGCAAGTGGGCGGCAATGGACAATAGAATAGGCTTTTTTTATACATACATAAATATAAATATCGGATGAATGCAAATCGCATTTGAATAAAAGTTTGATACGACCGACGATATTATCATCGTCGTGCAGCTGCACCGACCCCGTATGTACACGCGTGTCAATATAATAATATGTAAAATATGACCACAGATTCATAGCTGTGTTTTGTCTATAGAGACGACGGTGTAGCCCGGTAAATACATGCTGTAAATTGTATAAGTATTACTCTAACTTCGTGGCAGCGATGTGACCGGAATCCGGAAGTATGAAATACTAAAAATGTATAACCTACTGCTCTTGTTTTGGAATCGCCCAAGAGCCCAATGAGTGGTCTATATTGATTCAGCCGCGCCGCGGGGACGCGCTTTCTGATGGGGAGAAACGTATTGTTTAACTTCCACTGTGGGTCTTTAATAGCACTCGGATTGCAGCAATATTGTATCACGCGCTAAAACAACTATAACATAATGTATACTCTATATCGAAGGGCTGGCCGGCCACCGCATTAGGGACGATGTGTAACATCAGAACAGCTTTTTCACTTTCACCATCGCTTCCAGGTGTTTTAATGTTTGCGTTCATCTAGTTACCATTTGCGTTGAAATTCAAGCACTATGATATTATTTTTGGGTATATTGAACGTATATGTATATATATATCTATATATATATATAGTTTTGAAGCGGCCAAACAGCTATTATTTAATGATAAGAACGGTGACATTTTAGTTTAAAACATAAATAATATATAGTCGGCAGTCTTCGAAGAGATCAAACACCAGAGACGGGTCTATTACCTATTGTATCGTTAGGTCTGAGGCGAATTTAAGATTTTGTAAATTGTAACGGTCCAGGCACACGTGTATCCCGAACTACCCTAACTCCCTTCTTTTAAATATTGTAAAAAAATATTAAATTAAATAAGCGAGTTACCAAATGGTCCATGTTTTAAAATCGCATCATAGCTAAACAGTCATTCTAATCAGGATTTGTTTTCGGGAAGGTTGATAGTTTAAGATTATGAGTATTATTAACATTTGTTTTCTCATTATTATTAAAACTAAAAAAAAAATGCCCTAATTTTTGAAACAAAATATATTGTCTGATGGTTAGATTATGCTAAAATTAGGTTACTATAAAATCATGTTATTAGCTCTCTTATGGTAGTCAATCCGAGTTTTAAACCCGTTTAAAAACTTTGTATACCTACTACTGTTTTTTAAAAATGTATTTTTATTTTTCAAATTGTACAAATTATGCTCATCGGTACAATTGAAAAATATTAGTAATATTTTTCAGAGTCAGTAATAATTGAGTCCCAGAAACGTGTAGGTACGTTAGTCATTTGTGTAGCTTTCCAAAAATGGGTTCCAGCTAAATGAAAATAACAGGGCAACACAAAACATACAGCCATAGTACCTATAGAAACGAAACGGTTAGAATTGACGGGTAGAAAAAAAATATACATTATTCATTAATTATCATTATATCTGCGCTGTTTTAGGCGACTTTTGTATTTTATTTACAACCGTACGATTAATATAAACTAAACGTCGTTTCCTGTTCGCAAAATTCACCCTTACGACCATTGCAGCAGTGTAAAGCACGCATTAAATATATATATAAATATATAATGTTAAGACTTGATCTGCTGACAAATGACGAATATTGTATACCTATAATGTTGCGCGTACCGGACGTGTCGGCGGAAATTCATCAATAAGGATAATGTAGCACAATAACAATATAATAATAATATAAGAACACACAAAACGGTGTCGTCGAAGAACATATTATACTATTATAGTGGGGTCAGACCGAAAAGGGTTTGCCGGAGGCGGCCAGGGACTCGTTCAAGTGCTCCAACGAGGATTAACCATAACCAATGTTTACCGAACGGATTTGAACGCGGACAAAAGTTTTTCCTCGATTGTTACAGCTGCCCGACATGCAATGCAAATCCTTTGGCGAGGGTTTTTCTACATGTTATACACAGTTGCCGGAAATCCGAGTGCATTTAATGAACCGGAGTTTAGCCAACGGCAAAACGCGTTATAGAGAGAAAAAAAAATACTATAACGCAGTGCTTAAGTGATTAGACAACAAAAATGTAGTCAATAGCGAATCGGATAGGTTTTAATTTTGAAAATGATTACCAAAGCACGAGCATGCTACAAATTGCATTAATTATGTTTATTGTTTTTTTGCTAAATTGCACTACAGAGGAATTTATTACTACAGTATACGTATATGGTTGCAAGTATATCCGTTCATAATTATTATTATTATTCAGTCAATTCGACTTAATATTATATTGGCGGTACGGTCACTGACTTTTAGTGATGTTAGTGCGGCTTTAATAAGATTTCTGTAATACGATCATATTGCATGTTACCTATTTAAACTAATATCTTTATTTTTTTTTTTTGTAATATTCTGCTTGAGTGACACGAATTCAAGTTAGCGGTTGTACTACAAAACTAATATTTTCATAAGCAATAAACGTAACTCGATATCACATCGTCGTTACATAATTTCTTTCAGATGAATCCTATAGCGTATGACAACTATATTCGACTTACAAGTTTCAACAAATCATAGTTTACCTACACTATTTACACACATCTTGCGGTTACTCCTATTTGATGAATAGATTGACTGGTCTGCCCCAAATCATAATTTGTTATTGTCTCGTTAGTATATTATTAGTTAAAACATGAAATTAGTGATAATCATATATTTGATCTTTCTATTGGTCGTTATACGCTAATGGCGATGGCTAGTTAACAGGTGACGACACTGAAGCCTATTGTCTAAGTCATAATTAAGATTAGATACTTAGTGTACGTTATAGACCCTCTACTACAGGACACAGGATTTACTATAACGGCAATCAATAAAATTAGATTAAATAAAACATAATTTCTGGCCTGTTTGGTAAATAATAGGTATGATATATTTTGTTTGTCATAATCAATAGTTTTTATAGTATTTGTTTTTGCAACATTGCGTTGTACTCTCTCATATAAGATTTGTTAGCAGCAGATAAGATGGGTAAGAACTGCTCAATTATTAACAAACTGCATACAAACTTTCTTACGAAAGCACATAACAGCGGTGATGATTTCTTTGAATGAAACGATTGTGATGCTCTTTAGCCGACCATAAGTCAAGCGAATTTAATCATAATGTTTCAAACTTATATACCGTGGAATATTGTGTTTATGACGGTGAACTAATTAAGAAGTATTATAATCTGGTTCTAGGTAAACTACCCTTCGTCAGTGTAAGGACTGACCAAACCTCTGCTTCGAATTCCAATCACAAGCGAATGTGGCATGTGGAAAAAAAGGCGCATGCTGACAGCAATGATAAAAGTGAAATAACACATTACAGAGCATCTGTATGTTTATTTATGTACCTATACTTTTATAAGATATGTGAATAATAATTGACCACGAATTCATTTAATGGCGATTTTAATTTTGCAGCTTTTTGTTGACGGAATGTGTTATTTATCGTCGTAGTGTTTATCAGAAAAACTGGCAATGACCGAAGATTCTGAACGTTACTTTAACACCACGGAATGGTTAAGTTCTTTTGTCTACACGTAAAACCAAAATCATGTTCGGTAGTCGTGTAAGGTATTTTGTGAAGATAAAAAAAAACCGTTAACGGTAATGTTAATTTGGCACATTTCTTTATTACAACTGGAAACTATTATCATATGTACTTTTTTGTACTCAAAACGTTGTTGTTTTATTATTAAAAAAAACGTTGAAAACGCCTATTTAAAATGAGCTTAATATGTTGGCACTCGCATGGAATAACATTAATTGAAAATGTTACATAATTACGGCGTGCACGCTTTGCAATGAGCGGCATATTGTTTTGATTTGAACTATCATAATTCATTAATATTTAAAAAACAAATTTAATAGTTTTTCCTCCTTTGTGACGTGCGGTAGCCAAGAATGTGTTTCTCCAAACGAAAAATATAATCTTTTTAATCACACAAAAACCGACTCAGAACTATTTTAACTAGATTTTCATTACAGACATGTTAATTAAGATAACCATTTTAATTGTATCTATCAAAATTCAACACGGTCTAAATTGACCATTGTTACTATATTGTACGATGTGTATGCCCGAAAGGAGACCAGTCTGTTGTATAATTTGCCAAATTTATACATATGTATATTGTGTTTAAAATGAGATAACAACTCAGAATTTTAATTTTTACATACAATCATATAATGGTGTATTACATAACTAATTATATATAGTTGAATAATCTTTCAAGGCTAGCGTTTTGTTTCATTGAACGTCCACATTTTATTATTTTATCACCAGTCAATTTTATACTCACAATTCGAAAGGTAAGTATTAATTTAAAAAAAAAACAATAATATTAGCTATAGAAATTAAACAATTCAACTGATTTGCAACACGAAGAAACATTTTTAAATGTCTAAAACTTAACATTCCAAATGATGTACTTATGATAATTTATTTCACGTTGTACACGTGTTTAGCTTGAACATGTTTTTTAAATTTAATTTTCTAAAAATTATCATTAACAGATTTGCCAGGAATTATTTAGATATTTGTTGTATTATTTGCCTCTTCTTGGAGAACAAGTTATTATGCAAGATCCGCGCTAACCGCAAATGAAAAAAACCGGTTAATTTTCGTACCACGTTGACGCACTTATTCTTATTGTAGGCACGATTCTTGCTCACAACATAACACATTGAGTACCCGTGGATGTATCTGTATACTACTGTCTCTGCAATAAAACTGATTTTAGTGAACAAGACATTTTTTAACGGTATTCCAGCGTTTAATTTTTTTTTCAACAAATACCATCTAAAATTTAACTTGTCAATTTTTTTAAAATTTCATTTTGCTATAAAGAAAAAAAACTATAATTTCTAGTGACGATACACAATAATTCTGCATATTAAAATAATTATAATAAAAATGGTAAGTACATAACATGCATAGTTTCTTTATCGCGTTAAATGGGTTAATTTGATTACCGTCTCTCAGATTTAAGGATTGTTTATTTATAGAATGTAGTATGTGTATGTCTCACACGAAATATGAGAAATTACTATTTATTCGGTTTTGAGAATTTATTTCGGTATAATAATAATCATAGTAAATTTACCTAATAATAATGACCAATGAGACTTTGAGAATTTTTATGGTATATTTTAAGTAAGTAAAATATAATTTCTTAAATGGAAACCATATGTGTTAAAATATACCAACGCGTACTTGGTAGGTACATAATATGTCGCAATAAATATCTGCCAGAAACGAGTGCCTACGTCTTCTTCATTATTTAAGAACATTTAAATATTGTATACCTCTTTTTTGAACCGGTCTTCAAAATGTGGCTTCATTCGTGATATCCTTGGTCGCACCTTTTTTAATAATTGTTTTTATTTTTATTATTTCCAAAAGCTCTGAATCGGAGAAATAAAACTGCCCCCAACTTATTATCGATTGCGATCATTTTTTTTTTTTTTTAAGCATTCAGGAACAATAGTTTCCGTATTCTGTTTGCATGCACTACCAGGAAATCAGAATATTTTTAATGGGTCAGGAGTAACACTCGTGTTACACGGTGATTAATAAACATAGATAAGTTTTGAAAACAGCTAAAATCTCAGATTATTTTAATCGATTCTTTGAATAATTAAATGTAATTTGTAACTTCGATCGACGCGATGAACCATTCAGTATTGTATAAGAGACATTGCTATCGTGTTTGTATTTTGGCAATATATTAATTTTTTTTTATCAAATCGAAGTGATTTACCTAATGCAAATAGTTTTACCACTTCAGCTATCGCTTGTTCGCGGTTTTATTTTATTATTTATTTGTTTTTAGCTCGAGTAATATTGTAATAAAAAAATCATAAATATTGTGTATCTATCTAATAATAATTAATCATTCGTTTTCTAAATAATTAATGATTATAACACTAGTGTAATAATTATCAAAGCTACTACTATGAAATAGTGAGTTTTAACGGTAAGAAGTGTAATATATAATGTAATTATAGCTTGTTGATGTTTTTGATCTATAGACAATGAGTTTTGCGTGACACGAGTTAGAAGCTACGTAGACGCTCTATTGAAACTAAATCAAGTGTCACTTAGATGGTATCAAATTAGAGATACATGAAAGGGGATCTAGAGTTCAATAATTGCGATGAATATGACCGACTTCTCGAACGGGGAGTGGACGATAAAAAGGCTTGTCGCAAACAAATCCTGGCCGCATTCTTGGGTGAGTCTTAATAATTGATACAATACACTCTTACCTGTTATCATTAATAACGTGCATTTCTTAGCCTCCCTGATGTCATTCTCGTCGGGCACGGTGGTCGCCGGATGGACGAAAACGACGAGCTACAAAAACGACGACGGGCTGACAATCATCACCCAAACGGAGACGTCGTGGATTGTCTCTTCGTACGTTTTAGGCGCACTCATAGGCGCCCTTCCGGCCGGCAGGTTATCCCACAAGTACGGCCCCAAGAGATTGCTGCTTTGGCTCGCCGTGCCCATGACGGTCGGTTGGCTTTTGCCTTTGGTCGACATAAACAACGTGAGTACCTACTCATGTCGGGTTTTCACGGTCTTCGTGACAACTTCGTGGGGAATATAATTATTTTGATTTTTTTCCAAGGTGTTGTTCATATGTATCGGACGATTCACGTGCGGCCTATCCTTGGGAGCCACGACGGTAGTTCTGCCTTTGTACGCGGGCGCCGTCTCCTCGGACACACTTCGCGGTCGTACCGGAGTCTTTTTGGACTTTATGATGTGCGCGGGCATACTGTTCGCCTACGTGACCAGGTCTTGGCTGCCCGGATTCCGAGAGTTCCACATCGTGTGCTCGCTGATACCCATCGCCTTTGCCGCGGTGTTCAATTGGATGCCCGAGTCTCCGTCTTACCTGTACTTTGTTGGCAAATACGAAAAAGCTTCCAGGGCAATGAGGTCGGTGTTACCACCATGTGATGTATTTTGTCGCATTACTAAGTAGTATATTATAATATTATGTTGTACGTGTCAACAACAGATGGTTGCGAGGACGAAGTTTCAATATTCGCGAAGAGTTCAACCGGTTGGACAGATCTCAATGGACTAACAAGTCAATAAGCAAAACCAGAATCGACAAGTGAGTTTTTTTACACTATACAAGATTATCGATACCACGTACCTAACCGTGGTCGGAGTGTAATTAATTACAAGATTATTTTCTCAGGAAAGTCATGCACAAGGCGGTAATCATTTCTTTCGGACTTGTGCTCGCCCAAAGGTTGTCTGGTGCCGGCGGAGTGATCCAGTACACGGTCAACTTGTTCGAAATGACCGGCGCGCTCATCGACCCCAACACTGCGTCCATAATAGTAGGAGTGTTTCAATTGGTCGCATCGTGGGTGTCTATTTTGCTTATCGATCGGACAGGCCGCAGGACTTTGTTGCTGATATCGTCGTCGGTCATCACCGTGTGCTTGGCCATGCTCACTTGTTACTTTTACTTACTTCACCGCGGTAGGTTTCCCCTCTCCGGTACAGTTTCTTAAAATCCACACGGTATCTCTAAAAAATTAGGATATCGAAACCGTTTTTGTTTATAATATTGTATTAATGGCAATGTTATTGTATATTTTAGGCGATCTGGCCGACTCTCCATGGAAATACGCTTCCCTAGTGATCGTGTGTGTGTTCATATCGGGTTTCCGATTGGGGTTAGGACCTATACCGTGGTTCATGGTCACTGAACTGATATCGTCAAAGGACAGCGGCCGCGTCCAGTCCGTGATGGCGTCCTTCTCGTGGTTCCTGTCGTTCCTGATCATGAAAACTTTCAAATTTCTAATCCAACAGAACGCTACCGCCCTGTGGTTGTCGTGCACCGTATACTCGGCAGCCGGGCTGGCGTTCATACTGTTTTACGTTCCGGAAACCAACAACAAGAGCCGCGAGCAAATCCAAGCCGAGCTGTCGATCGATTGATTCACATTGGGGGTTTTTTTTTTGTAAAAAATTACAACGGACTACCTAAAAAAGTATTACCTGTCTAAAATCTGCGCAATATATTCTAGATCATACGACATATTGTTATACTTTTTTGTCATTGTTAATAAATGATTTATCAATAATTTTCTAATATTTGGACCATCAGACATAAAAGATAATATATGGACCAACACGCCATATATAAACCAACGTTTGGAGTGACCCCCCCCCCCACCCCAGATTTTTGGGAAATTTTACATAAGAAACTGAATTTTAATAATTTTTTAAAAAAGAAACTCACTTTTGACGACCATTGCCAAAATAGTAAAAAAATTCGAGAACACTTTTTTCGCCATAATAGACATGTAGTGTAATTTTCAAAAAAATCGGAGGGTATTACTCCAAACGATCGTTCATATTTAGTGTTTTTGACCCAATATATACATGTATATATATATATTATGTTGATTAGTGGTTACCTAATAACGATTATGATATTTGTAATTGCCAATTATCATTATAAATAATTATTATTAACGCCGATGTCTCATGTATTACAACACGCAATATACAAAATACTTTTACTAGTATTAATTAATGATTATGTTATTAATTCTTTTTTAATCTTAATTGTCTATATAATTATATATATTATATAATACTATGTAGTGAAAACAAATTGGAACAACTATTACTTATAAGATCATTTCAGTATTATTTAATTGTTTATTTATTAATATACTTTTGATTGATTATTTATCACAACTGATAACAGTCTTTAAGTAATTAACCACTATTGAATATTTTGTTGTTCTCGTATAAATTAATAACTGCAACATATGATGTTAGTGTTGAATGTAAGAATGAATAATATTCAACGAATCAATATGATACGTGTACAAAATAATGATTTTTACTTAAACAATGCCATTTTAATGGACTACATGAAAATTCAGTTCAGTTGTCATTTATACATTATTTTTATTAATTTCATTGACATATTGTACGGCTTGTGGACTTTTTAAAAATGGAATATTTAAAAGTGAAATTTATACATAATCACATGATATTTTTTGTACTTAAAACTGTAGTATAAGTGCCAAACGGTTCGAGGTACATCGAAATACCATACGAAACAAATTGTTTGATGAATAATTTTCTAAAAAAAAACTATCATTTTTTTATAATTTGTTTTGGTTTGTCAGCGTATAACGATAGTGTTCTTTTTCTAAAATACTTAGACTCAAGGGGAGCGATCAACGGTATATTCAATACTTGAAATAAAAATAATAAATGTTAATTTTTAACTGTAAGCGAATAGTTTTAATAATTTAAAAAAAAAATTAAACAAAACACGAGCATTGTTTGTTTTTTCTATAAAAATAACTATTAGACGAAGTAAAAGCTATAACAGCAGATGTTTACATGAATATTGCTATTTGACCACTAACAATAAGCGATGTTAATATTATATTAATAACCGCAAGGTGTCTGCTGAAAGAATATACAGAAGTCAGAAAACGTATCCGACTAAAGTCATCGCTTACAATAATTGTATTCGATAATTAACGATTCATTGTTATAATTGTGTGGCTTGGGTAATGTCAGTTATTACAAAGTTGTGGATACGGCGTTTAATTATGCATAATATATAACGGATATTTTAATAAATGTAGACCAGAATTTTAAATTAGCCCTTCTAGAACCAAGCCGCAGAATTTATATCAGTGATGACGATTATATTGTCATTTTAATATTGTCGTTGTTCATATTTTGTTCGTTGTTATTTTTATGTTTTTTTTTTTTTGACATTTAAATTTAACGGCGACCATAATGCATACGATACGAACAGCCATCGGTAAAGTAACGTGCGTTCACCGTCGTGTAATGGTACAGCTGCACTGGATGCTGTGTGGTCGCGGCTGTTGTGTGGACGTGTTCGCACATTGTGTGTGCTGCTCTCCGCACGGGGATATTTTATTAAGGATATACGATACCAGGGGCCTATGCGGTCGGCCGGCTATCCGGTAGACGCGCCGCGGCCGCCGCACGGTTGTTGCCGCCGCCGCAGCCGCCTGTGCCGCGGTGTAATCACAGCGCATGGGACCCTAATACGAAATACTATTAAAAGCCATTGGAAACTATTGGGCTGTCGATAGCTCGTCACTCGACCAATCGATCGGAATCGAATGGAATTATTAACAACATTGTTTGCGTCGATTTCCGTCGAAAACAGTAGAAATTCGGAAAAAACACTAACTACCTACGTATTATGGAAAAAGGTAGGAAAAAAAAAGAGTCGATACAAAAACGACGACATAGCGGCTACGCGAGGTTTGACGAGGCCGGCAAGTGTACACCGTAGGCCTCGCGTCGGTTGCAGCCGTTTGTCGTTCCTCGTTTCGATACACATACAGCCGATGAGGTGTTTTCACTTTTCCTGTTGAATGCATGAAAAAAAAAAATAAATTTTAATAAAACTGCAATTTTCGTTGTGGGCGTCATTAACATAATAATTATAATATTATTTAAAAATGGGTTTATTCGAACGATGATTTAAACAAGTAACAAACGTTAAAATTTAAATTTCCAACTATTTTTCAAAATCAATATCTCTTTGGAGTTTTTTACCCAAGTACACGAAATCATCGAATTATTTTTTATTACCAAGCTACTATTATTTTATTCCGCTTATTGTATTAATAATAATTAATGATGTGCTACAATTTCACACTGTATAAAGTTACAAGTTGAAATTTACCATTGATTATAACCAATAATGTAATTTGTAAATTTTAATGTTAAAAAAATTATCTAAAATGTTTTAGTAACATTAAAAAATATAATAATTGGCAACACTTCCGTTGGATAACTATGAACTACCACTAAGTAATTAGAATGCTAAGTAATTTAATTGTTATTTACTTTAGGAATAATGATGATTGCTGACTTGGACACAAAAACGTTTTCGGAGCAGTATGTTTTAAAACAAGCAAGGTTTCTTATATCCCCGACCAAAATTATCTGAACAATAAGTAATAAATGGCTTAATAATATTACATTCGTTATAAGTTGAATGACACACAGTGTAATACATGTAAAGTTGTATAGTTCGCTATTATAAAACTAATCATTTCCATCGTTTTATCTCTTAAACAAATGTACCAACAATGAACCACTTACCAATTTTATTTTACAGATAAAATCCACGGCCGTTTTAATAATACATTTCGTCATTTTTTTCATTGCTTAATAAATACACAATAAATGATATGAAAAATTGTTTTTAGATCGTAATTCAGAAACAATTCTAAATCTAAATTAATATAGGTATTTATAAAAAATAACATTAAAGAATACCGCCACATTGAAACGTTTATGGAAAATAAGTAATATGGTACATAATTTGAAATTTGTTTATCCAATATACATAGACACCGTACTCAAATTTTACTCTGACTCAATCCATTGGCGGAGATCAGTGAGAAGGGTTGGAAATCCTAAAAAAACCTTGCAACTTAAAATTAGTTTTTTTCGAAATACATGCATTTATTTTTTAGTGAGACATTTTTTGAAATAAAAATATAAGTTGCACTAATTTTAAGGTTTTTAGAATCCCAAGGACATCCTTGATCGCCGCCAATGTATCTAATCATAATATAAAAATATATTATAATTGGTCCAACTAAAATTATGGTTAGTCGATCGACCTAAATAGTATGTATACTTCCTTTAACTAAAACTTTATTTGGCACAACTAGAAATTCATTGTGTTTACTGGACCGACTATGTATTTTTTTTCTGTGTAATCGTGGAGAGGGAAATTTGTGATTTTCCTATCCTTATTGTAGCTTACTATGCCTGCAGTCATCTAGCCAAGAACAATGAAGTACCTATATTTCAATATAGTGTCGATAGATTATGCTAATGAAATCCATATACACCGACTGGTCGGTGCGTTGTAAGTACACCGATTTGTTTAAATCCTACGACTTGGGAGGGGTGGGGGGAGGGGAGGATTGTTTTTAATTCGCGTCACCGGGATTTGGCTTATGCCGGCCAAACCGGGTTTTATAGCGATATCATCGTCGAAGACAAACCAGCCGCGATGACCGAAACCCTTCTGGATTTTCCGGTCCGTGCGCTAATAGGATATTGAATGAATCCGGCGACTGCCGGGGGACTCGGATGATTTTCGTTTGTGCGGTTGTATAGTAAAAAAAAAAAAAACACAGTGCTTCCAAACCAGGCTGTGGGTCTGTGCCGTTTAGGAAACACGGCGGGCATACACTTTGAGCACTCCTTCGAGCAGTCAAAATCCGAGGGTCCTGCCCCGCGGTAGATGCGTATCGAATCGCGGCCGGAACGAAAGCTTTTGTGGCGGATTTTCACAATGTCGATTATGCACGGTTGCAGCACCTGTTTGGTCGGGTCTCCTATTACTCATTGCCCGCCGGCCGGTTCGGTTTTGATTGAAATTTGTATTATTATTATTATTATTGTATTTTTCTACACCGAGTTAGGGTTGCGAAACGACCGGGCTCGACGTTAAAGCCGTACTATAGCCGGCACATTTAATATCGTTTCCTACTTGTATCCTGTTTAAAGGACAACCGGGCGCACCGCAGGTCTGTGTAGTAACTATTGGTGGCCGAGGCTTTAGTTTTTAATACAATTTCAATAAAACACTTGATCAGAAATTCCAAATTCCATCCATATCACTATTTATGTCAATTGACAGGATTAAATGTTTTTAAACATAAATAAATTGTTATATTTTTTTATCTTTTAACAGGTTAGCTTTTTTTTTTAAGGGAAGATCGTTTCAATGATGGCTTGATACAAATCATTGGTTTGAGTAGATTTCGCGTTGGTACAGCTGTTTTTAAAAGACAACGTGTATCTTTTTTAATAGACAAGTATGAATTATAAAAAATTGAACTTAATGACTTGTTATAATATTGTAATTCATATAACCTGAATGTGTATTATTATGTAATTTGAACTATAGTCATAATTTTAGAGACATGTTGTATCAACTATCAAGTATTGTCTGGAAAAGATTTATGAAATTTTCACTTTTAAAATGTTTTCAAAATCTTCTAATTTTATTGGTTTTAATGTGTTTTTATCGTTAATTAATAGCCCATGCTCGGCGTATCTATCAATGTATTCTACAACTCGATTTTTATAAAATATTTGTGAGGTTAACTATGTAAGTAAAATGATCAAGAACTGGTGTGATGAATTTATTCACTTAGAACATTGTATAAAATAGTACATTAATGTACTATAGGTAATAGTGAATAGATTTAATGGGAAAAAAACAGAAATCATGTGAAACACGCATTGTACTACCCTCGTACTCTTGTGGTTATTTTCTGTTATAAATTAATTTTTTTGATTTCTTATCAGCTAATGTATTTGTCATTGTCAGCTGCAACAGAGAAACGGCATTAATATTTATCGGACGTCGCGTTGCTAATAATTTAGATGTATTAGATATGGGTTTTGCATTATGAATTTCGCGAGTTAACAGCTGCTTTTCCGAACCCCTATGCGGTAACATGTCAAAAAAAATATAAAGAAATAATAACCCTCTTTCCAAAATTATGGATTTAAGCAAACCGCGCGACATACTTGTTCTTAATCGAGATTTAATAACTAAACGCCGCAGTCGCTCACACCCCCGGCACAACATGAAAAATTACTATTTTTTTATGATTTTTTTTTTCAATTTATTTTCGAAAACACATAAACTTTTGATACGACTCAACAATATTCGATTAATCACATACGCTCGCTTACGTTTTTTAACGATAATAATAATAATAGTAATAATAATAATTAAACAAAAAAAAAAACACAAAAATTTTGATTGAATCTCCCTCTCGACTTGACAGTATAGTGGTCGACTGCCGAGCTGTTTCTGCATTGGCTTGCTGTTGGTCGTCGACTTGATTTTGAAAAAACAAAATATATTCGAAACTACTATTTTTGAAAAGACATTTTCGGAAACCATATTTCGTTTGCAAAATTTGGAAACGACTACTACCAATAAACGAGGAGGTGAGCGCAACAGTGGTCTAATCTAAAAAAAAAAAAAGTAAAAAAAATGAGATAATAGTACTATTTTATTTAGAATTTATTTTTTTGGTTGATGTGTTAAGCTACTGTTGCGTTCACCAACTCAAATACAGAATGCATAACCCTTGGAATCGCCGTTTATTTGAAACTCCATTTCCTGACCCACACGCTTAGCACTTTCTCACCGTGTCGACTTGGCTTAAATTCGTTAGATATAAGATATCAGTCTGGGGGCCGGGCCAGTTTCCAAGTTTATTCATCCCAAATTAAGTTTTTCCTTTAAGTCGTTTCCAGGATTATTGGTTCTAAGTTTATCGTTTCAAATGAATGTAGATTCCAATCAATGTCAATTCAAATAATTCCAGTTTCAAACATTGGCTTCTTGCTTTGAGTTGTCCACTTCTTCTCGACTGGTGTTTTCTAAGTCGTGGTTGTCTTTGGGACCAAGGTCGTCCTGCACCTCGGCGACGCCAGTATCTTCCAACACGGTCAGTCGGGTTTTCACTGCATTTCGAATCATACCTATAAAACACAAGCGTTAGAAGTGTGGTTTTTTAGGACACTACAAACTTGCCTAAGCATTGTCTCTCTAATTGCAATGTACCTTTTAAAATAACGACATTTTCGATACGACTTGTGTGGTCTGCTTGTAGTTGTTCCATTAACCGCGATGCGAATTCGGGGCCTAATACAAAAATGTCGGTTCGGTCGGTATTCCTAATGAGATTGAACCAAACAAAACGGTCTTACTTTCAACTGTCTTGGCGGCGGCGTCAGCGTCAGTCACCAACCCGTCTCCGATGAGATCGCCAAGTACCTCGGGAAGTAGGTTGGACACGCTTTCGGGTGTCAACAAGACGTCTTCTTGAGCTGACACAACATCTTTTGTCACTGCTTTGTCAAACCACCGAGTGTGGTCGGCCTAACAGAACAATTACACGTGTTTCATGTGTGCTAGACACAGCTGCTGATGATTTTTACTCACAGAGATCTCGGGCAGCCTTTGCGTTTCTATTTGTTCTTCGGCGGTGTGTTTCGATTGTAACGTTCTCCGGTGCCGAGCCAGAGCGTCCAACTCGTCTTCGTAAAGTATCTCCTCGATGGCTTTCTTGAAGGTGTTTTGAACCAGCGATTCGGCTACAGACGTGACCATAGTGTCGAAATCGAACAGCTGTGTGTACACGTCGTCATATAATTGACTTAAATCTAGGTATTTAAGAATGTGTGTAAACTTACATCGTTGTCGTCCACTTGGGTGGACGCGTCCATTGTGGTCGAAGTCGCTGTTCGCCAATTAGTCAGTGGTTCGCATCCGAATTCGTCGGTTTGAGCACCAAAGGTCTGCGACGACGGGTTCTCGTATAGCTGTCCAAATACAACGGTTATCGTTATAGTACTAAATAACATCGACTGACAGTATAATAGTCTCATAGAAAAATTCTTACTTCTTCCAAGTGGCTGGACGTTTGACTGTCGACGTTCTGTCGACCTCTGGACTTGGGTCCGCCCAAGTGCAAGCGCAAAGCCCGGGTCTGGTAGTCCATGGCTTTCTTTCTGGCCATCGCACGGCGCCGGGCTTCGTCGTCGCGAGTGACCGAATACTCTTTGTTTAACTGTGAAAAAAATAAAAAAATAGCCCCCGTGAGATCACATTTTTTCATATTAACAAAAGTCCGTTATCACACAAGTGTAGTGTTAGCGTTGTTTCAAAAGCCAAAAATAATTTTTAAGGAGTTAAAAAACAAAAAAAACAAAAACGTACGCCGCATGCGTAAAAGCAAGTGGCTCACCTCTGACGACAACTGTTTGGCATAACCAAAATACGGATTCCATTTGGGACGCTAAATTTCATAATAAACGTTTACAATATTATAATATGATTTGTTAAAAAAAAACATTTGAAAATCTTAACGTTTACTTAAAGTACAAAATGCTACTTACATATGGCTTTTTGGCAAAATTGCTGCCTCTGATCACTCGCTTGTCGTGCATGATGTTCGTGTAGCCCAATTGTTTGCACATGCTATACAAAAAATAAAAAAACCCAAAACACTATCAATTAATTCAATACGGTTAATTATTATGAAATTAAATTTTATATAACGCAATAAAATATTTGGAAACAATAATCTAATCTTCGATATTTTACCGTTTGAATTAAGTGCTTTAAGCATTGATTAGCCAAAAGTGTCGAACTAATTAACTATAGGACTGAGGGGGAAAAATGGAATATTTTACAACTAGTAAAATAAAAAAATAAAAACCAACAAAGTTAAATGTATTCATATTTAATGGCCAGTTCGCGTGCCGAGTTGTTAACAACCCACGTCGGGCCGGCCGCATTTCTTATGTGTGGGAGTTAAGTTTCTTAAAAAAAAAGAACAGTCCAAAGAATATAAAAAAAAGACTATTAAAATATTCTTAACGATAACGTGCGACCGCAGGTAGGACGTAAAATGGCTGCACTTTATTATTACCACAATCATTTTATAGGTCAACGATTTTTATCAGGATTTTGATGTAGAGATAAAAAACAAAAAATAAAAAACAATACAGGTGAATAACACTATAATGATTCAATATAGAAAGGTATTTGTGCAAACCGCATACTAACATCAGCTCATACATCATGTTTCAAAATTATACACTCAGAAGTTGTACATTTTTCGTTACACATAAAGTGGTTGAATTTATGTAAATAACACTACTAATAGCTTGAAATAAACTAAACGGGGTCTTCTTTGACCGGTAGGATAAAATCAGGGTCGAATATCCGACCAGACCAACGGCTAAGGTTATTATTTTTATAGCCCATGTTGTATAGCTATAGTATAGCCGTTGTGGCGCCAACGGTTAAGGCTAAACGATTTTCAACAACCTTTCTGATTTAAAATAAAAAACATAGCAAATTGTCGCTGTATTGTAGTTTGATTATAAAATAAACTACCACTCAAATTAAATTATAATACAGCAATTTGCATTGGTTTGGGTGCAATTTTTTTTTATCGTTTAAATGCAAATATTAGTCGTCAAACGCATTATTTGTACATACTTTGTAGGTAAGTGTTATTTAATAACTTTAAAAAAAACCTTATTCCGCGAAAATATCGATTAAGCTATTTCTCTGTACACATGTCAAAAATAAATATTGACAACCCTTCAATGTTTTCTTGGAGTGCTGTATTCCGTAGGTCATGGTTATTGAATGTTATTTCTAATCATATTATGATATTCATTGGATTTTGCGGATTTCCTATTTCGAAATAACATTAATTTTTATTACAAATATATAAATTTATATAAAATAAAAAATCATACAACATAATTGAACGTTGGGCTTTCTGGTACATGAAAAAAATAATGAAACTTATTTTTGTTAGCAAATAAAATAAAAGCAAATTATAAATAAAAAAAGTTCTAATCTTTACCGCATTTTTGTTTTATATTTTAATAATATTAAGTTGTCAAAATTAATTTAACTGAGACTTTTAAAAGTGAGCTAGTTTCATTTATAAATGTGTAACATAAATACATTAACGAAATGATTAAGCAATAAAACCGTCTCTAAGAGAACAGATAGGGATATTTATCAAGGGGCAAAGGATAGGCAATATCTAATCAAGGCAATACCGACTAATTTTAAGGTGAACACATTTTTCTAGTTTTAGAAGTTTTAAAGAGATTTTTCTTCGAGTTATGGCGAAAGTTAATATAAAAAAAATAACTTTCATAGAAGTCAATAATTGCTGGCGAATCTATTGGACGGATTTAAAAATGTTTTTTTAATGTATGTGAAGTTAACTATTTTTTTTTAAATGGGGCTAAAAGACCGAATTTTGATTTAGCTACTAGAAAATTAATTAAATTAATTAGAAAAAACTATAAACTAGTAAAAATATAAACGCTTATAATGAATTAAAAAAACAAAAACTCAAAATAAATAAAATATGTACCTATTAAAAATTTACATATTGATATAGGTTAGTGGAATTTTATGTCACTGTAAATTACATTTACAGCGGCAATATGTAATAGATTGCCACACTCTGCTAGTTTTTGTCCGTCTCTGGGAACGCGCAACGCGATAAATTGTGCTTTAGCGGGACGTGTATTTTCACGTTGGGCTTCGCAAAGTGGCCGTAACGGAAACGGACAGCCGAACACTTACTCGTCGGGTTCGTTTTTGCAAGGCGCGCACCGCTGATGTTGTTTGTCGTAGAGTACTCGCGGCTTGCTCGAGTACGAGTAATAGGAACGTTTGGACGCGGACCCGTTGTTGGCGGACGAGCTGCCGTCGTCGAGGCCCAGCAGGGCGGCGAGGTCGGGCGGCGGGTCCAGGAACACGCCGGTCTTGACGGTGGTGATGAATATCGGCCGCCGGACGGCCGCTCCCGGCGCCGCCGCCTGCTGCCTGTGGTGCTGCTGCAGCTTCTTCAGCTTGGCGTCCAGCTTCCGGACAAATTCGTCATGGACGTGGTCGCCGCGGCGGACGCCGCTGCCATGAACGTTTTCGGCGTCAATTACCACAAACGCGCTGCCACCGCGGACGGCGTGCATCACGCGACGTCCGGACGTCCACGTCGGCGCCAGCCCAGCGACATCGGGGCTCGTCGGGTCGAACGGCACTGGCATGACGGCGCGAAGCGGTGGCACCTTGTGCGTTGCGGTTAAGGTATTCGTGCCCGACGGTAACCGGCGGTCGGGGGTGGCACGCACGCGCCCGGATTGACCACACGCGCGGGTCAGTGGCTACCGTTTCAACCCTTTACAACCCCCTTCGGAACCTAATAATAGTGTACCCGCTATACCTATTGCACGCCAGATACAGGGTGAGGCGCAACAACGTAGACAGTAGTACATCGACATCATACACAGGACACGACTTAGGATTTAAGAACTAAGCTAGAACTATAGAGCTTAAGAACTAAGCTCTAAATAATATAACTCGAAGAAATGTGAAACGCATTTAATATAAATTTCAACCAAGGTACCACAAATAGTAGGTATAAATAGTAGTATAGACACAATAATAATAATAATAATGGGTTTAGGCGTCGACCTGAATGTTGCATTTTGTTTTTCCATTATATTATGGAAATATGCGAACATTATTATACGGTTTAAATTATAAAACCGTCGGCGTTGTGAAAACGGCTAGTGGCTGCGCAATTGAATAAAACTCGGTGAACAAAATGTATACTTTAGTATAGGTATATTCTCGATTATGTGGGTAAACGACTGGTACTTTGGTATTATTACACATAGAAAGAACAATCACCCAACCCTATGGCAATTGTGTCAAGTCGAAACGGCGTTCTTAACACCGAAACTTTGAGCGTACCCTGTTTGCAAAGGTCGAACCACCATGCATAATGCAATGCACGATGGTCGGTGGCCTCGACCGAATGTGGAATTTAATGAACCGCCTTTGAGCACGACAGAAGAACATTCAAAGGGAAAACGTCACTATTCATCTATAATATAATAATTATTGTGTTAATGTTAATAGCGCTAAGGTTTTCGGTATTGCTCGACTGCGACAAAGTCAACGACCCGCAAATGTATAATATAATATGGTCGTGTGTGGTGCAACGTTCCGTGTGGCTACTATACTTTCTTACCGAAGACCCTAAGTCCCAAAAGTTTAACTCTGAGTATTGACAAAAGAAACAAAACCATAATATATACTTAATGGTTGATACGTGCTGTTCACATAACACATTCTTATATTTTAGGGCATACCTAATAATTTTATGATCTTTGTGTTGTGTATGTTAAATAGATACGGAGAGTTAAAACAAAAAATGAAGTAAAAACTTACATCCAACTGATTGTGTAAAGTCGAGTTAATTGTTTAAAGTTAAAATTTGTGATATCCACAGGATACAGTCGATAATACATATATTATATAAATATCATGTTTATATACACCAAAAAAAAGCTACACCTTTATTACGGCTAAGGTTAATGTCTTTAAACAGCCATCCAAATGTGTAGGCGAAAGAGTAATACATTTATATATATATAGTTCACATTGACCTGGATTTAAGTTTATTGTGTCGCACGCTTTAGGGTTGATTTAACGGCTGTCACATTTGTAAAACTTAAGACAATGGATTACCATAACGGCAATAATTACTTGTATAACCATCGAGTGTAGTGTTATAATTAATTTTATGATATATCCACATTTTATTTGCAATGAAAAGTGCTTGTTAATTATACTCATTAAATAGACATTTATTTAGAGACTGGCCCAGAAACTGATGTACAGATTTAGCGCTAACTTTATATGGAATAACGTTGTTTAGCACAGTACTAATACGGTTTAGTAAATTGTGTGTTATTATTTGTCATACTCAAAGTTGTCGTTTTAAATGAACTTTTACTTGTACGGTATATAGTTTAACGATGGCGCGGGGTAGAGGTATACAGCAGCGGCTTATTTTTATAGGCTTTGTAATATTATATTGTGTAGAAACACGCGAAGTCACTATCTAGTCTATTAAGTCGGTCTGATTATAAGAAAACAGTAATTTCAAGGTTTTCATTTCGATATTGTCATGATATGTTTCTTAAGAAGGTAATGGAAATGGAATTTCGGATAATATCTTTTTTTAAGGTACCTAAATATATAATTGAAAATATACACAACCGACTGGCCATTAATATATATTATTGATAGTTCGTTATCGGATCGTTTTTTGTTAATTTAATATTTATTGGACTTTTTTATTTAGGTGTATAACACCTATAGTATAGTACAGTGGAATATTATTTATTTACTTTATAACACATTTGTGTTATCATGCTTGATGCATCGCAGCCCTTTATCTTTAACGGTATTATTATCGTTTGCACTCTGCTCAGCATCCTTAACGCCAATAGGATTTGAGGTTATTACTTATTTGTCTAAGGAATCGATGTATGTAGAATTTACCCCTTTAATGACTCGTTAAACCGTTGAACGGGTGAAAGCATGAACATTTACGGAGCCCAGCATTAGTACATAATATTAATTTGACTTGAGCTATTGAAATAAACAAAACTAATCAGATTTGATATTATTATACTACTTTTTTTTTGGAAATGCTTATTTATAATACTAATCGATATTGTGTGTATTTTTAAATAAGAAAAACACTGCAATTTTATCTGAGTACTTATACTCCTAATGGGGTGTTACTATTGAATAAATAAAATCAATCTAACTTAAAACTAAAAGATTATTATGAGAAACTATAGCAATAAGACCAATCGTCTTCAACATCTTGTTCAAAATAAGTTTTTATTTCAAAAGAACATTTATAAATAAATAGCTTTTTTAGCACTTTACCTAAATTAGCCACATTAAACCCTTTTTTTCAATACACGTAATAATATAAAACTGTCCAACAAGTCTTGTGACAAGCTACTCCCGAGTATGAATTCCCTTGTAGCATATTATGTATAGGGGTGGAAAGGCATTGGTGTATAAATTATATTTCACCGATCTAATTGAAGACACAAATCATTGCCACTAGTTTTAGTGATGACATAAAAACATAGGCGAGAGCACACATTGAATCCGTCTCTTTGTCTATAGACCTATCCATTCTTATTCTATTTTTTTTTTTTATAAATTAACAACGAATGTGTATCTTACTAAACAAGACAATTAATGTATATTGACAAATTTCTAAGACCATATACATAGGTAACGCATATAAATATAAACATAGGCATAGAAAATGTACAATATTTGAATGTGTTCACTACGACGTGGTAAAAATTTAAGACTGCCAACATCCAGGCGGATTTTATATAAGAGTCTCCAGGAACTACCGGGCGATTCCAGACACTTCAGCATCTTCACGACCGGCGTCCAGCAGAATTCAATCGTCTTGTATTGGTTTACCGAGCAAAGTATAATACCAAAAAGACTTTGTGTCGTTTTCAAAATTCATGTTACTTATTCGGTCTCTGTGGGAAGGGGGGGGGGTGTCTTTGATATGCAAATCGATTGAGTATCACGACGTGAGTGCGCGTTTAAGTGCGTGTTTGGCTAAAAATTAAACAAGTATGTGTGACTGTGGTGTTATTATTTTTTTATACTCTTTACTTGTCTCGGTCCAGTTGAGATCTTATCGACAGCGGTTGAGGATGGCTTGCAAACGTGTACGGTTTCTTGTTGTTGTTGCTGGTGCTATTGTTGGTGCCACGGAAATTATTTAAGACGTCGCTGTCTGTCGGCTCTCCTCTGGAACACTCCGGTCGTGGCGAGCTGATCATTTCGGCAACGAGCAAACGAAGAACAAACGATTTTTAATATTTATTAATATTCCAACATGTTATTTCCAGTAATAATAATTATCACTACGCCGTGTCGTACAACACATTTGTCTACTAGTACTATTACACTACTACCGAGATTGTAACGTGGCCGTCCACATAAATTACACAGTATTGAACAGTAAACAGTTCAACAGTTGCCCATGACGACATTGACAAATTCGGCAAGTCTGTACTTAAGGGAGAAAGCGAGTACAACAAACAGTACGGACAAGTGCGGCACATACAGCGAGCGCGCTCTGCTACCGTTTCGAATAGTCCAATCGACCGAATGCGGTTTTTAGCCGCTAGATGGGGCGACTTAATCCGAAAAATTAAAAATCAAATAGCACGCACGTCACTTGAATACCCTTAAACATACCTACTAGTGCAAACACTAAAAAGTGGACGAAATTTTAGTTTATGTGAATAATGTTAGCTTTGATGCGGATAGCTGAGAAGCCATTGTATTTACAATGATATCTTCTAAGCCGCTGAACCGATTTCAGAGTCGGCAAAAATTGAAAACATTCACCTCTTCCCGTTCAAAAGCAAGAAAAACACCCCTAAAAATGTACGTTCGGTCTGAACCTACTGTCCTCGTCGAACATTAGAATTCCTGTAGACCTGTGACCTACGGCCCAATATATAGAAACTTATAAATTGTAGTTGTTAGTTAAAACGGTGAAACGAGTGTGATGTGAAGTGATGCCTTAAAGGGCCTCGGATTAAATTAAAAAAAGGAATTAAAAGATTTGCGGGCCGCATAGACACGTGCCTATCTCGTCTAATGGGAAATATGGCCCTGGGCTAGGCTTAGATAACTCAAGTGCTGCGGCGGCGGCGGTGGTGCACAAATCAATTATTATACCCTTACCATAGTGTCATTATTTTCTACTCGGTAAACGACCGGAAACGGTCGAGGTGTCACACATGTAGTACCTTGTCTAAGACACAAAATTATTGCGACACAATGGGTTTTCGGTGGGATATATTGTGTGCGATTCGCCGATGAGAAAAACAGCATATTAAGCTGCAGGTGCGCCGCCGGACCCGGTTGGACTTATTGTGTTCAAAAAATCTCTGACCGGCCGAAAAATCACGTACGATCTCGTTTACCGGGTAAGACACACACACACGTATTGCGTCTTGGACGGATATAGTGTGTAGTACCATAAGGAATGCCCAGTGGTCCGTAATTATTAAATATTATTACTATTATATATTGTAGTAGCCGCCCCGCTGTGACGACGGCGACGTTGATGCTGCTGCTGATGCAGTTAAGGCGCTATGTATGACCCGAACAGGTATAGGTACTATAT